CAAAATGGCTAAAATGGGCCTTCCGACGGCAGACATCGGAGCCGACCGAGGCTGGATGCCCTGCATCCGGCTGGGGTGATCTCTCGGTCCCCCTTCACCGGCCCTGTGCAATTATCGTTTCGACAATGGTCATGGCTTTTCTTGCGCGTCTCCAGTCCAATTATGCTGACCCTCATTATTCTCGCTGGCCGTGACTTTTTCGACCGTTGCAAGCCATTACATCATTGCGTCTCGGCTGGCCTGGCGATCGGTTTCTGACACCGGCTTCTCCTGAAACCTTCAACCTTTATATAGTCCATCCCCCGATGTTCTCTACTGCCCAGCATCCTTCCGATCCACGGTTCAATATCAAACAGCTTCTCTATATTTACCCATCTCTTGCCTCTATCCGCCTTCCTCTACTTGCCACTCGACCTTGACTGTCGACTATCAAGTTTGCCTCCCACACACCAAGTATCAGACAATCTACATCGTCATCCATCCAATTCAACCCCATCCAAGTCCACTAGTATGGCATACCCCAGGCCCGATTCCTTCTCGCTCGACGACGAGCGGATGTACAGCATGAGCCATCCGAGCCCACTCACTCGTCCCAACGATACCTTCGCCAAGGGTCCCGATCCTCTGTCGGCTAACTGGAGCTACGACAATGCCATCGATCTCTTCTCCCTCAACACCATGATGCCGGAGACTTTCCCCTTGGAGATGTCCAACGAGATGATGAACTTGGACCCTAAGGACTTTCCCGCCGACTTCTTCGCCCCACCCCCAGATATCAGTGCGTTCACCATCTCCAACCACTCGGGTGAGGATGCTGCCTCCTGCGGCTCTCTCTCTTCGGTATGTCTATACCCCATTGACTTTGAATGATGAACTATAACTAACATTACACTCAATCAGGACCTGGACAGTGACGACCAATCATGGTCTCCCACCTGCCGTGTCTCTCCCCTTGAGCCTATCCACATGGAGCTGCCCAAGCCTGCTGCTCGCACTTCCAGAACATCTACCCGTCGCAAGACTGCGTCTCAACCGAAGCCCCGCGAGGTTACGGCGACAAGGTGGTCGTCCAGTCCGGAAATTACACCTCAGGACTACCCCGCCACCAGTGTCTCACCCCCGCCCGCCCCCTCCTCCCCTGCTGCCAACAACACCGCCCGCAAGACCACCCGTAGTCTCTCCAGCGACTCCAACGCCAGCACGGGTCAGGCCCAGACCACCACCGGCCGCAATGCGGCGAAGCGGGCGGCGCACAACATCATCGAGAAGCGGTACCGCACGAACATGAACGCCAAGTTCGTTGCCTTGGAGAAGGCGATGTGCGGCGGAGTCCAGAAGCCCACCAAGGGGGGCTCGGCGTCGCTGAAGAAGTCGGAGATCCTGACCAATGCCATCACCTTCATGCAAGAATTGCAGGAGGAAAACAAGGTGCTCCAGAAGGAGCTTGCCATGCTCAAACAAAGCATGGTCCCGAACGGGATGTGGCGACATAGCAAGGGGAGTGAGGCGTTTCACGCTTAAGCCAAGCGATGCGGTGTCTTATCTCTACCCAGATCCCCTTGTAATGACCGTCACGGATATTGTATAATATTATGATTCTCTTTGCTTTTCTTTTGTTTCTTACATCCTACTACTACTACTACAGCATCTGGGAGTTTTATTCATGGCCCTCTCCTGTCGTGGGCGGCGAATTATGGGATTGTTTGGTGTTGTGTTGATATATACCCGGAGATAAAAAGTTCGACCTAATCCACTCAACTACTTCTACTCACTTATCTTCAAATTTCTACGAAGTAATAAGTAAAGACTCCAAAGTAGACGCACAAAACAGAAAATAAAAAAACAGACAGACCTAGACCACCGCAGTCAAAACAAGTTACCCGTCCCTGGACCCATCCCATCCGTTACACCGACAAGGCCCAAACCCCGCCCGTCACCACCCAATGCATCCAGCCTTGCGAATTCTCTACTCATCAACCAACACCCACTACCCAATACCCAATGGACAAACAGTAAATCACTAGTAAGACTACCAGACTACCTAGGCTCCTAAATAATCAAAGTATGCATTGAAATACAAACCAGCCCGCCCTCTTATCCCCGACTCTGACCCCGACACACCCTCCATAACAGAATCAAGGAAAATGATTCTAGAACGTCCTGGCTGGCCCGACCGATCCAGACCGGCCGATAATTCCCGCCCGACAATCCACCCACTTTTTGCTTTTTCGGGAGGAGATTGTGTGCATGTCGTCATCGAATCAATACCTACTTTACTTTGTTGGATACACATTACTGGGTTACTTGGGTACATGTAGGATGTACTTGATGGGAGTCTGGACCGGGAGTTGCATTGATACCACACACACACTTACTGTAGATGTTGAAACCTATTATCGCTTACAGGTAGGCTCGGATAAGTACTTCCCTGCTACCTCGGGACTGGTTCTGTGCGTTAAGCAAGATGCGATCTGGCCTGGTCGGTCTGCACTGAACGGAAATGAGATGAAGTGATGCATTGTGATAGAAGGAATGGAGGGGAGTGCTCGGTCGTTGCCTACTCGCTTCATTTTCACTTTTTTGCTTGTTCTTCATTCTAGACCTGCTTTTGATGGGCGGTGGGCTGTGAAGAGTGTAGTAAGTAGTGAGTGAGTGATGAAGAGGAAGTCGATGAGGCTGTAAAACTCTCTCTCTCTATCTTTTTGCCGGCCTGTGTGTGTGGGTGTGTGGGTATATATTGGTGTATACAATGCCAGATGAAATGTTCTCGAAGAGATACTATACTACTACTATACATCCAATCTCTGGCTAGTATTATCATACAATCTGGATTTACTCTATACAACTTACTGCTGCCATTACACCATTATTAACTCCTTGCATTGAATACTACTTACTTATCTACCGACATACCCCAAATCCAAAACAAACCCAATCAGAATGCCCAAAACTACCTCTAGTACAAGGTAAGTACTTTTACCAATCAACACGTAGTCAATGTCCATTCCCTGTCATGAAAGCTAATTGGAATGTATACATATCCTTGATGTAAAAGTACCACGCGATCTATCACATCACTCTCCACAATTAGTGAGGCGGACTACTACTCAGACGCCGGAAGAAGACAAAGTGGAACGAGGTCGACGTCATCGAACACGAATCAGGAATCTACGCAGAAACTGAAGCATAGAAATCTGGAGAATCTTCATCGGTACCGGGACGGGCCGCGGTGGGAGGATCCATATTGTCTTGTGGAGAGAGAGACGAATGGGAAGAGGGTTGCTAGAATGAGGGATGAGTTTAGGAAGGTGGAGGAAGTGTTGGGTTTAGGAGATGAGAAATAGATAGAGTGCTAGATGCAAGGGAGGGGAGTTTTTGGATGTTGATAGAATATACCCGGGTTGAATTTGGGGGATGGTGAAGGTATTCGATATGTCAGGAGTGAAATAGAGTTAGGCTTATCGATGGGTCCACGTTTGATGAGGTCTTAATTTGCATAGTATTGAACTACTTATAGGAAGATATATAGTAAGATCTACGGAAATACAGTACATCCCAGCTATTTCTAACAGTGAACTGTAATTGTCTCCGAGACGAGTCTGCGACCCATCGATCATTAAGAGGTAATACCAGTTTCGCGCAGCGACAACGACCCCCCTAATTCCAAAATTAGAAGACAAACACGCAGGTAGGTGACTGGCAGTGGTGTTTATCTAGCAAGAATAACTTAGATAAGGATTGAGCATTTTTATATGTGCAGCCTCGTTCCGCTATATATCCAGAGTGTTATAATTTGCCAGTCTGCTCCCCTGCCCAGGGTAAGAGAATAGGATTGCTATTTGTTGACTCAATCAAGGAAATTCTCTCTCAAATTTCTTCTTCTCGGTCTGCTCGATCTCTTCTTATCTTTGCGTCGAAATGTGCGGATCGGGGCATCTAAATGAGCATTCCCGTTAGCCAGCACCGACGCCCGACCCCATTCCGGACAACTAACTTCTAGTGCCTATGTTGGATTTTCAGATGCGTGAATGGTGCTTGGAAAGAACGCAATTAATAGATTGAAAATATTGGGATAGTAAGTAGTTGTAATGGTGGTAACTCTGATCGAGCATACCTCAGAAATCGAGGCATTTGCCCTTTGCCCTTTCCCCAGATTCGACCGACGAGGGGGAAAGCATATATTCATGACTAAGTTTCCACAAAATACTTTCAGAGTGGTGCATTAATGCCAATGGGAGTCTCGGCCTCTATACTGGTCCATTGCGATGTCATCGATTTAATGATATTGCTCAGATACGGACCGACTTCCATCATCCCATAGAATAGCATTAATCCCGGATCACGATTTCTCTGGCCAGGAAACAAGTTCCTCGATCTGTGATGAGCTGGTATTCTGGATGAATTTGGACGTTAGTCGCGGAATTCATGCAGCACGCTAACAGTGTAGCTGAGTAGCTTTCCCAATGTCTTAATGGTCGGATCCCGATGAGAAGCATGAGTTCAGGACAATGACAATATCTTCTTTAGCAGTGGCTAGTTCGACCTCCATGGAGCCCAAGGGAAAGAAATAGAAACTGCAGTTCCAATACTGAGTCTCTATAGTATCATTGCTATGATGGCGATTCTTCAGATTACTTTTGCACTTATATGGTATCCAGAGAAGTATGGGTTGACTGTAGGCTGTATTTAAATGGCTCTCAGAAATAACGATAAGGAGGGTGTCTGGGGAAAGTATTGTCTGCAAATTTGTTCGTGTAGCTGATGATACCTTCTTTCTGGTTGTATAATGAATTATAGGGCAATAAGCGGTGGATTGTATGAGAAGGGATCATCTTAGGAGGATGAATAATGTAAGGTAGGTTACCATCTTGTTACTCTCCACCTACTCTTCAATCTCGCCGTTGTCTTTACATGCATCTTGACAGTTCCAGTTGAATGTGTGTATTGGTACCGATGTATCTGTGTCGTTAACGAGGGCTGTCATTTTCTTCAGCTATGACGAAAAGGAATCCTGCAGTGCATGGAAAATACCGCCTTGTTCCGCGACGCTTGCGATGACGATCAGGGTAGGAGAAGCTAGAGAGTAACAGTAACTCTAGCTGGCTGTTCACTAATCTGATAGCTAACAGATAGACCGCTATCGATGACGTCTCTGCACCATACGACTCTCCATGCCTCGACAGGTCCGATTTCTTCATGATTACCCCAGCCACCCCTGCGATCATCCTTCACCTCAAGATACCTGTGTTATACGATTGCATGATGCGAGAGCAGCGTTCATTAATGGAAGCTGGGTGCTTTTCGTCGAACCTTTTCAGGAACGACTCACCCGTGGTATGGGGACGGGAGGAGGGAGCGGACGTGGCCTTGGGAGCCACAGAAGAATCGGACCATCATGTAAATCTGTATATGTCGGTTGTTTGCCCAGGAACATGCGGCACCAGGGCCAGCAGCGACAGCCTGTTACAGTGTCAGCACGAGGCCACGACATAACTGGTACAGTGGCTTTGGTCAAGTCGATCTTCTCTTTCAATTTCTCTTGTAGTCACCAGACTACAACCACTTGCTCTAGGAATAACAAGATATCTATTTTGTCTCTCGGACCCGCTATTCCCTGCAGCTCCGAGACTATCGTGATAGCGAATGATGATAGTCCATAAGGCAGTGCCTTTGAGATGGAAACAGGCATAGCCAGGAAGACGAATGTACGGAGGACTATGCGAAGGCTATGTTGTTGTGAGCTTCTTAATATCAAGAATATGCAAAACTCACAGAACTCTTTCTCTCCATGCCGGGGGCGGTAAAAGCTCTGATGATGTCTTGCCAAAGAAGTAGCCTGAATGTCAACGCTGCGAGGTATTCGGAGCAAGAAGGGCCCCATTGAGTGCCTCGCGAATTCCTGAATTCTTGCACATATCAAAAATGGTTTTTGGTATACGGCCATATTCTTGAACAGTGCCTATTGACTCGCGATTACGAGATAACTAGGTCAGAAAGCCGCTCAAAGAAACCCGAGACTAAGGAAATGGTCCTATCTCCACGATTGTCGGACATCCATAGTGTCGCATTTGCGCACTCTGCCTACTTTATAAATGCAGTGATAGCAATATATACAAGAAGGTCACCAGGCAGTATTCTGGTGCTGCTCGATATCTTCTATAGGAGATATCTGCACCTTCTGTATTCTCCCATGATTCAGATTGAGACGTGCAATGATGGCAGAAAGCCAGATCTTCCAAACATAGCTGGTACCTTGTAGCAATTCGATTTATATGATGAGAACGGTTGATTCATTTATATGACCGAACAGTATGAGTTTTGGGAGGTACTTAGGGCCAATGAGACATCTAGCATTAGAATATACCCAGAGCTCTCAGCTGGTCTGAGTCGACTGCATTTTCTGTAGCTACACTTGTCTTTCCAAGGTCTAGCTCTGTTGGCTTGGGTATAGGTTGCTATATTGGGTGTCGTTGATCAGGTTTGCTGAATCTGATTCAGAGACGATTGTTCCATAACCCGACTTGTTATCATACATTCCCGTTTCCCAGACATTCATTGAGGTCTGAGATTTGGTATGTACAATGAGAACATAGATCATCAATTAGTTCTGACTACTGGTTGGTCACATATATGTAAAAGGCGTCAGAAACCCGTGGATAAATAGACTAGTTGACATGGAGTAGAGTAGATGGAAGTGGTTGATGAGGAGAAGAGAGGAAGGATTAGAGAAATTATCTCGATATTTATATAACTAGTATTATCTTCACTTCTTCTGTTTAGGGAATGAAGTTATGACTGGGATATTCATTGGTTGGCAGTAGCTTCACCTTTGTAGATTGCATTGCATTGCATTGCAGATTGAATTAAAACCATGCCTGTGTAGTGATGTTGGGCTTTGAGGTATGATATAGGCATGATAATGGGATTGTATCACTGCAAGGAATCCACGCCTATAGGAATGTTTGTACGAGATGCAGTATGTCAATTGTATTAGCTATTAAGTATTGCTGGCTGATTAGCCCGTACCTAAGAGACAAACGATTGGTAAAAAATTATCATGGATGGAAACATGACCAGAAATTTTCACGATTTAGCTTCCCAACCTCATCCTTCAACACAAATCCTCGCGAAACTGTCCCTAAACTTGCCCTGTGACATGCGAAGATCTGTGGCGCCGATCATCCGTTCGAAGACTCAGTTGACGTTCAAGTTGTTGAATATGACCCCTGCCGCGGACCAAGGCCATCCAAGGTGCCGTATTACTAATTTGCGACATGTTGTATCCTTTTCCATTCTATGTAACGCTCCTTCCCCGTTACGCCTATAGCCAGGCATTGGTCAAACTCTGCTTGTGTTACCGGTTGGCCGGGCTGGAGCTTCATTCTAAATGGCCACTTTTCGACGATGGTATGGCTTTGCTTCATCACTGTCCCCATCGATTTGGCAGCCTCACGCATCCTGTGCTTGACTATATAACTATTGTTCACGTGTCAGCGGTATGAACCATCTTCTTTGATGTTTCATTGGATTCCAACTTGCCGTTCAAAAACGTGGCTATAGTCTTTGATCATGGCCTGCACTGTTATCAATTGGCCAATTTTATTACATTGAGTGATAATTGACTGCTCCTCGGAGGGCAGGTATCCGGAGAGGTGCTTATTGGTATGAAGCTCGAACGTCTCTTTCGCTTTATCCTGGGCGGTCAAGGTCTCATTAACAGCATTGAGAAAGAATGTGATAAGGGTAGCATGCGGATTATCTACAGGGGTTTGGAGCAAGGGCACCGTCGCGTTTAGCGTTCTGTGGATCCCCAGATACCCTTGGTCCGAAACGTTGGATACCTGTACAGAGCCAGTTAGCACCCTCCACGAAACCTTATCTCTGAACAAATGCAGCCTAAGTAGACTGAACTTGCCCATACTGGGTAAGCACAAACTTCCACCAAGAGGCAAGGAGTGTGTCTTACATCGACCCGATCGAAATGATTGACGGGAAGGTAATTCGGGAGTTCCAGGGCATCGAGATGATGGAGTGTGAGCGAAAGTTCCAAATCCGAAACACGGCAGAGAAAAGACTGAAGGACACCGCGAACATGGTAGAATAGTTTCCCGTAAATGTCAGCAGTTGCAGGCCCGCTTGACGTATCGTGAACTTGTTTCCATTCCCAGCCCTCTCTAGGGTCTGCATTGTCCCTGACTGGCCAGATATCACGGCTATGAAAGAGTGTGCTGCTGACCGTCAGCATCATGACGTAATATACGTCTATTATCGACTTACGGGTTCGGCACACGAAATTCATGGCGCGGATGTCCAAAGGGGAGCAGGAGGCCATCTTCCCGAAATTTGTGAAAAGCGATGCGGTGGGAAGGTGGCAAACAGGACATATAATATTCACGAAAGGCTATTCTCAATTCAGCTAAACTGTTGGCTGTACGGATGCTTCGCGCGCGTTCAACCGTCAAGCCTGTCGGTACATCGAAATAAGTCAAGAGGCGAGACCAAGATTCCTTGTCTAGAATGACTCTCAAAGAGCGCTGCCCAAATTTCCACGTATTGGGTATGAGGCTTCCTGGTGTGGCATCCTTTACCTTTCGGCAGAAGTCCTCAATCAAAGGACGTACACGTCGTCCAAGCAGCTCCATGTCGGATTCGCGTACAAAAGCTGAGTACCAGAAGATGAATGATGCAATCGACTACTGCATCGCCGTTTCCCGTTCCTTGGAGGAGAAGGAGCATGATGATGTTGCGGGCCACAACGTCAGAGTCGTTATCGTCGATTGTAACCTCAAGTGAACGATCATAGCTCCCCGGAATCCGAGCAATTGTCTGAATAAAATTCCGGAGGTCTCCTGAAGCTGAGGCAACAAAATGTTTGGTCAACTATCGCCTTCATATAGAAAATACAAATTAAACACACCGGCAAATAAGAGACGAAGGTCGCCGTCATAGCGAGTCCCTTCATTTGATTCGAGTTGAAGAACATCAACGGCAGGGGTACTGCCCCACAGGTACTTATTTGGTCCAGCAAATTTCATTGAAGCCATTACAGAAGGCAATGAAGGCTGTTGCCGCTCAAGCATATAAGCTGGCTGCCAAGTTTCCTTACTAAGCGATGACTTGCAGTCTATTTTGTGTTGAGGCCAATGGGCCTTCTGGCATTCTGGACCGCAGTACTGTACAGATATATTGGTTAGTATAACACGACATTCTAGAAATTTTTATGTCTATGGCTGAACGCACATTGACGAGATGGCAGCCCTTGCACGTGAATCTCCCCACCCTTTTGCAACCAGAGATTAGCGCAGACAGCTTCTAGTGCTGCCATGATCGCAGTTAGGGTAGACCTTGATAGATATTCACGGCGCTGGAAAGCAAAGCTATTCGCTCAGCTGAGAGAAATCAAGGGGAACCTCGGATGTAGTTCAATATTTGTATATCCAAGTCTAAGCTAAAGTAGCTGATGAGGAGATGTAACGCAAAGTGCAGATCGAGGTTCTAACTGACTAGAGAGTGCTTTTAGTGAACGGGAGATGGAAGAATATATGATTTGAGTCATGATAATAAAAGTGTAAAGTTTCAGGACTAAGCCTCTCAGTCATCAAACGGCCATGCTTTTTCCCACTCAAGTCTTTCTGCGTCTGATTGTGCAAGCTGATCAATTAATTCTGTTTTGACCTGTTTTAAAAGTTTCCGGGCGTCATCATACCGCTCAGGCGGCACAATACCTTTCTCTGGCCACAGCTCACCCAGTGACTCTTTCACACCTTGCATCAATGCCATGCTTCTGGTTGCCCCATTCGCATCTTCCTCAATTGAATTGACTTCTTCAGGGGAATATTCTAAAGGAAAAGGAGGATTGCCGGAAGCTTGTACGCCTGGGAGGCATGGCCACTCATCTCCAAGTTCAAGGACCCTGGCCCGGTATAGAGCTTCCCCATCGATCAGCAGATTCTGAGCGAATAGCATCATGTCAAAACTCGATGTCTGCTGAAATTCCATGGCTCCGAACAATTTCTTGTTTTTGGCATAAGTGAGCTTCCTATAAAGAGTCGCAAGTGATATATTCAGATACAACCTTTCGGCCTTTGCTTTCTCAGGAGGATCAAGCTGATCAAAGTTCTCAGGAAATTCTGGTGGATCAAGGCCAGTTGCCGGAGGACCATCATAGTCAAGAAGGTATGGCTGACGCGCATGATCAAACAATGGTAGAACTTCACTGGATTGCCAGTCAATAATGCCTAAGACTTCTGACGGCCTGTCGGGGTCGACAAATATATTTTCGGTGTGGAGATCAGGATGCCATAAGAATGCGGAACAAATCGAGTCGTCAGTGGGAAGAAAGAACTGCACCAGACTGAGATAGTCCTGGATAGCAGCTACCTTTTTGGGACGTGAAGGTTGGTATGTACCGGGACCGTAGAGCCCAAGAAGTGACCGGGGTAGCTGAGTCATATTTTGTACACAGGCAAGTTCTCGAAAGCCAACTGCTGATTTGTATGAAAGCAAATCATTCCCTAGTAGAGAGGTCAGATGAGCAATAATAATGACAGGCTACAATGGGGAATCTTACATGGGCCCCGATCGAAGTCCACGTCAATCCTACCGTCGTCAAGAAACTCTCTTCCTGTTGTTGGACCAATGGCAAAACGATCATATTCGGATTGAGACCCGTCTTCATTCACAATGATGCATCCACGGTGGTCTTGCAGATCGCTTGAGAAATAGAGACTCCCGTACTGGGTAAAGGATTTTGACATCCATGCCTTTTGGTACCTAGAAATTGTTTTGATGAGTTCGAACCTCTTCTTGATGTCCATCTGTGGCCATATTTTATCAAGTTGAACACCCCCAACCTTCTCCATGATGATGTATTCTGAACCAACTGGGTTGCCATCTGCTTTTGAACTCCAGGCTAATACTTTCGGCACTGGAGTGCTCAGCTCGTTCCTTACCTGAACCAGAGTATTAGACACGAGTTTGACAATCATGATTATAACAATAATGATCGAGGCTTGCTTACGAAATCCATCGTTGCCACTTCGCTAGCAGTGGTGTAGTGAGGCCGTCCAGCGTTTGGATTGGGCACTTTACCTACAACCTGCGTCCCATCCTGCATCGTGAATAGGAAGGCTTTATTAAACATTCCATCCGAGAACTTCTCGATACGAACACAGTCTGAAAACGTAAAGCCGACCGCTTCGGCCGCACACTTGGCCAATTCATTCATATTGAAATCAGCGCGACGAATTCTCAGTTCATGAGCTTCATTCAAAAGGAAGCGACCCCTTGTATAGCTATGCCAGTCATGGATTGTATTCCAATCTGTATGGAATGGCTTGCCGAGATTGGTGTTCGATAGACGGTCGGGATGCGGCGACATTTTCCCTCGATTCCTCAGCGATGGAATAATCCGCCGGAACATAGTAGAAGAGTGATTCGTGAGCGACTCGAAGAAGGAAAAGTTGATAGATGAGGGGAAAACTGGGAAGATCTTATATCGACCACCTCGTAAGCGCCGCTCCTTGTCAGCCAAGGAGTTCCGGTTGATTAAGCCGATGGTTGGCTAGTTAGGAGCCGGGAAGGAGCTATGCCGGAAGGGGAGAAGTCGCTGAATAAGCAGAGACATAAATCGGGGAATCCGAGGAGGCGGAGGCGGATGCAGCAGTATCTCGTGACATACTCAGTACGACATCCCAAGACCTTGGGCGAACCCCAAGCTACAGTGCAGGCTTTCTACAGCACGACTTCTACTGGACTAATGTATCTGAGGATACTAACATATAGACCGACAATTATCGTCAAGTTCAAGTACCATACAGCTAAAACAAAAGTTTCCATCGAACTGCTTTGACCTCTACCCTCCGCCAGCTCTCTCTCCTTTCATTTCATACTCTCTTCCAGGTCGTCAAATAGCTGTGACACTGTAGCCTTTGCTTTAGAGTTATCCGATGTGATCGGAATATCTGCTTCGGCCCACACCTTGTGGGAATCTTTGCTCGCAATATCTTTCAGCGTTGCATTTTCCGCATTCTTGTTGATCTGCCACTTGTATCTCTTATACTCCTTTCCGTCCTTGGTGAATGTCTCGCCGTTGTCCAAACGTGAGCCGATTTTCGAATCGTTGGAGCCGGACTGTGAGGGCGCGGCTCGGGTACCAGCAATACCTTGGCCTGCGGCTATCTTCTTCACCTGTGAGTTCCTATCGAAAACCCACTTCTTCAAAGCCTGGAATGACTCCCGTCTTGCGCGGCTCATCTTGTACTCTGGTGATGTTAGGACATGGCTTCTCAACGCAGGCCAAGTGCTCACCTTGGGGAGGGATGAAGTTCAATTGGGGGAAATGAAGGATATCCGTGAGGTCAATAGGAAAGTCCGAATGAGAAGTGTGGTAGAGTGATTTATCAAGAGGAAAAAATGTTATATCTTCGAGTAGCTGTGGATTGGCTGCAAGTGCACAAGCTCTGGGGTGCTTTGGAGAGAACATGGCGAGGAGAAAGAAGCAAGATTTATAAGTTCACGGATACAGCCTTGTCGGGCTTTCTGATCAAGTATTGGTTCAAGGAAAATAGTACTTGTGGTGAGCTAAATGATGCCCGAGTCATTGACGAAGCTGGCCACTGCAGGTCTGGCGGCTAGCCAGGCCCAGTCATATCGGTTGGTTTGTCGACGCATGAGACATCACCTTTGATTTGCCCAGGCAACAGGCAGAAGAAGCCAATGAGGACTGACGCTGGTTTATTGAACAAGCGCCGTGCATCTGGTTGGGTAGATGCTAATATGATTATAGATAACGTCTGTTTGATAATATCACCTTGAGATAGTGAAACGCCAGCAGGCGTTCACGAAGGGAGACCAGAGACGCATGTGGCTGTTCATTGTTTCAACATGATCTTCCTTTCGAATGTATATTATTAGAATCTGGTGAATGTGCCACGGCTATTGATTCATTCTGGTTAGGATCGAACATATTAACAAGCCTGAGTCATTCGAAGGAACTTGCAGGACAGCGACGGCGCGTATACCATTCTCAGCAGCCCCTAACGCGTAGGCGAGCGTCAGTGCCGTTCCAAATAGTAGATGATAAAGCAGGTACAACAGTACTAATTGGACCATTCTTTTGGCCACCGTCATGCCACCGACCATAGGACAAGTCTTTTGGAGGGGAGAAGAACAGCGCTGCGGCAACACGTTCGGTTCATCATCCTATCCTTGGCGGATTCATTTACCAACTGTTTCCAATCAACCGAAATGTGTCTTGGAGCCCTGGCATACTATTGGTACTTCGTAGCGCATTCACGGGACCTGATCAACGCACCAATGTCCAATGAGAACTTTTTGTCTGCCTTGAAACCAGTTATCGGCACCCAGCTTTTCTCTATAAGCGCGCAGTTAGCGCCCGAAGACTCCAGGGAACAATCACAGCCTCGTCCCGTCTCGAATATGCACCAAGCATTATCTCCCATCTTGCAAGGCTGCTGTAGCAAGCGAATAACTCATCAATGTGATACGACGATCTCGCAAGGCTGGAAGATGGTAGCAAAGTCTAGACTTCGCTCGGCCGGAGCCTTCCGGTACAATAATATTGATCGACCTAATTTCCGAGCGGGCTGCCAAACCCGAGGGCGATTGTAAGCAGTGGTGAGGAGATTACTTCTCAAGGTACCGCTGAACTAGCAGGTACCTGAGGTATTCAAAGTGTTGCACACAACTCCCACACTTGCCCCTCAAAAGAACACCATGGCCCGGAAATGAGGTTACCCCAAATCGCATCCAATCGTGACTTGCGTTGTGGCTAATTTCGGTAATATGGATGGATACTTGTGAGATGATTCTTTATTTCAATTTTGGGAAAGCAGAGTAGAAGTATAGGAGAATACTTTCACTACGGTTTTGGGGTTGGAAGCCCCAACAGCAGATAGCATATGTTTTGCTGCCGTTGGCGGTGGTGACAGTAGAGCTTCGGCATAATATTTATCAACACAAATATCATCACCACACTACTCACTATTGAAAATATAATTATCTTACCGCTTTAGCCAAAAGCAAGCCTTGTGGTGGCTACTGGTACATGTGAGAGGAGGTGGCCGAGTGGTGTTTTAAATCAGCCCCAGATGACATTCCTTAATAAAAGGTCCTCTAATCCAAGCTTTAAAAAGGCATAGTAGCTTTGACTCCCACAGCTACTAAGACTACATTTGGCGAAGGAGTTCTTTGGGTGGATATACACCCAGTCTCGCAACCAGCTCAGAACGCGCATCACTCCAAAATCACGGGTACTTTCACAGGAATGTAGAGTCATGTTAAGGTCCAACATGATTGAGAGGCTGCTGGGGGCTTTGTTTTAACTACGAAGTATATCTGGATCTAGATTTGAGAGTTAGTTGTGTCAGTAGAGGGAGGATACGCTATCCTGATTTTAAAACATCAGGCCACTGTCAGACAGAAGGCTGCGGGGTTGCCGCGTCAGACACGGATGATGGTTCTTCAATGCCATGCATAGACAGGAATTTCCTTATAACAGGATCTTAGCATTAAACTTGATTCTATATTTAATAGTAAGTGCACAAGATGCTCTAATATATGGGGACAATGAGCTAACTCCTAGCACTATTGCGACCAACCTGTTTCTTGGGCTGACTCTATCTTCCCTCGCCAGACTGAACCTCTATCCTGTCAACTACACGACTCTGCTGACTTCGAGATGTATTCCAAACAAACAAATGACACGCGGGCAGAAAACTTCAGGACCCTGGCATTGACATACTCTTTCGAAGTCAAGCTTCAGATGTTACCTTTACACTAATTGGTCGCGGGCATTCTTCTCACGAGTCATATTGGGCTATGCGATATGTCTATTACTAGTATTACCCGATCCTTCTTATTTTCGATTCTCCATCTATTTTGGTTGTTTCGGGGGCATCAGCGTGTGCAGCGCGCGTCCCAGTTTTGAAACCTCGAGATTCCTCGGTGCTAGCCATACATAGACTGTTTTATCTTGGCATTGTCCCAACTAAACAGTAAAGAGTGCAGTAGTTAGTTATATTTTAGGCAATTATGTAAGCCATTATATTTTTGAGGTATGTAGTATGGAGATTCACTTTTTAGACCAGTTGCTGTAGGTTGAAGGCCCAGTGCAAGCCAGCTAAGATTTGAACAAAAGCTCGTTCTCCAGCCTGAGATGGTCAACATCTGCACCTCGGTTTGGAAAGCGAGCACCAAGTCGTAAGTCAGCACAACACCCGTTTCAATATATCGGCGACAAAAATATCCGGTAGAGTATAGTTGTGTGGCTTATAGGGGGCTGAGAAGTTTTTCACAACATTAATCAGGGCACAGTTCTTATATATTATCTGGAGACAGGAGGTCCACCACCAACCTATCGACTAACATGTTACATAAGCCTTATGATTGGGTAAATAAGTAGAAATCTCATAGAATAAGTCATAGGAAACTTACAGTGTAGATACTTCGACTCGCATATTACTCCTTCCAATGGTATATTATCATTGAGACAAAGTTTAGTGATGTATATTCGGTGGCGATGACTATATGTGGACGTGGCGTATCACCGCACTCACTGTGTATTTATAGGGACCCATAGGGGCTGACGCAGTCATCCAGTTCTGATTCAGGGTAATTGCATAGCCAACTTTAAACCCGCGTTTCACAGCTCAGAATTGCGTTACACTCGTTATTCTAACGCATCGGAACCTTCAAATACGTCCCTAGATCCTTGCCCGGACCGCAGCTTTCAAGCTACATTACATCAGAAATCCATCAAAACAGATCCATATGCAAAGCGACCCAGTTACCCACCGGAGAAGCATGCATTAACTATTGGGAACGCAAATAACCCTGTGTGAGACGAAAGAGTGAGGCTACTGTGCTTCCTGCCACATTGACAATTGCCCCTGTGATGTTCCAGAGTATGAGCTGAGCTTCTCCTGAGAGGGTGTTAAACCCTATACATCGCCCAGGTATTGGAAACCAAGATATTGACGTGGAAGGTCTGCCTGGGCAGAGTACAAAACCCTTCAGTATGCTCCAACAGGCAGACACCGACCCGTACAGTGATATTCAGCACTACATAAAACCCAGAGAAAGTAATGATTTCTCAGTGTAACATACCAGGACCGTTGCATTGCTATATCGATATGTATATATCCCTACAAAAGCTTCCACGGACTAATACTATAAACCAACCCCTTTTCGGCGGGCCAACCGCGGAAACAACTTGAGCGCATTCCCATGGGTTTTTATGTTTCTTAGTTCAGGATCTATCTCATAATTTTCAAGGTCGTCCAGGAACACCGGATCCACAGTAATCAGTATATACGGGAAGTACTTCTATACAGGATACAGTTACATGGAACCAACTTCAGATGTATATCTAGTGAACCTTCAGTACTAATAAACACAGTGCTAGTTTCAAATAAAAAGTTGTCAGGTTAACAGTCAGGTATAGTCACTTTATCCAGAAACACTCTTATCTAGAAGGCTGTGTTCAATATAAGTCTAGTATTTTACTATTGAGTAATTAAAATTATAAAAATGTGAAAACTGAATGATATTAACCGCCCCTCCTGAGCGTACCTAGATAGCGAGAACATAAGTCTTCTAAGTATGACCTTAATTATTGACCTAATATGTTGTTTCGTCAGGAGATAGTAATTCACCGGATCAATAATTACTGTGGCCGATCTTTCCCAGATGGAGCTAAGCGCAGCGGAGTACGTACATTCCTGTCAACACAAGGTTTGTTGATGTCTCGGGGAGCATGTCGGAGGAAAATTCAAGTCCTGGCAAGAGCACGGAAGCCCTTGCTGTCAACATCTCTACCCGCTTTAATTATCTAGTATGTATGGTTATCGATTGCTCATATTTGGGTACAAGAGAAGGGGAAAGTGGGCTGCCGAGAGCTGAGGTCCATTGCAGATCGGACTATTTATAGTTGACTGGTGGCAGAATTGTGGGTTCCGGAGAAGACAATAACAGATGATGGGGGCTAATGGGAGAAGATTCGGACAGTGACCAGCATACAATAGATACTGGTTCCCAGTGTTGCTCTGATGATGGCATCTTTGACTTCACAGCGCCAGTGCCATTCTATCCATCCTGTTCCGACTTGCTTCCCCACACCAAGAAGAGGAGGATCCTACACCCGACGGAGAGCCGGGGAGAGCATCGGAGAAGTTGATCCTTGACTGAGACCATGACAGCAGAATACTACATTGTAGATTGACGATAACATGGAGAGAGCATGTGCCTGATCATGCAGCCCCAGTGACCTGCCTCTTCAGGATAGCCCAATGTTGCAGAAATTACGGCATTGGCCCGATTAGCTAGTGGCTTATCAAGAAAGCGGGGGAGAAGCTACCAAAGTGACGAAATAGGAGCAGAACTATCAATTCTGCTAGCCGTGCCAAGAACCAGGAAAGGGAGAAGGAAGGCGGGTGGAGCCGGTCAGGCTGGGCGGTCCCTGAGGTTGCACTCGAGTGGCACCCGACTTGTTCTCCCGCCTTCCGCCCAGCCAATCATAAGAAACCCGGTCCTGGCAAGGTCTTGGCGGGGATGGTGCAAGCCAGCCAAACAACCGGTTTGTTGGACGCCCTGCGGTACACTGAAATCTTGGGCTGTTCGACAAAAACAAAGCAGGTAACACAAAGATATAATACGGCGGAATGATAGGATATCCCTGTCGATCAGCCGGACAGGATGGCGCTAGTGTCACCTCCAGCTTCGGCTACCCTCGCAGCGGACCCAATCAGCGTCCCTCCCAGCCCCCGATACAGTAATGGTATGCACATCGCAGTCTTAATCGCCTGCAGCGGCAGTAATGATAGTCCTGCCGGTGAATAATACCCCATAACAAACAAATAAATAATACTACTTATCTCTCCTCGTCCCTTTCACTTTCCCTTTGCCGTCTTCAATCCCCTCATCTTGGTCTCTTCGGCAGCCTTTCACCATGCTGTCGTCTCTCCTTAGCCAGGGAGCAGCCGTATCCCTCGCGGTGTTGTCGCTGCTCCCTTCGCCTGTAGCCGCGGAGATCTTCGAAAAGCTATCCGGCGTCCCCAATGGTGAGTTATAGACCCCAATTCTTCATTTTGAGCCACATACTGACGTGATTCCTTCGAATACTACCAGGCTGGAGATACGCCAACAATCCTCAAGGCAACGAGGTCATTCGCTTGCAAATCGCCCTTCAGCAGCATGATGTCGCTGGTTTCGAACAAGCCGTGATGGATATGTCCACCCCCGGACACGCCGACTATGGAAAGCATTTCCGCACCCACGATGAGATGAAGCGCATGTTGCTCCCCAGCGAGACTGCCGTCGACTCAGTCCGCGACTGGCTGGAATCCGCCGGTGTCCACAATATCCAGGTCGACGCCGACTGGGTCAAGTTCCATACCACCGTAAACAAGGCCAATGCCCTGCTGGATGCCGACTTCAAGTGGTATGTCAGCGACGCCAAGCATATTCGTCGTCTGCGCACCCTGCAATACTCCATCCCCGACGCCCTGGTCTCGCACATCAACATGATCCAGCCCACCACCCGCTTTGGCCAGATCCAGCCCAACCGTGCCACCATGCGCAGCAAGCCCAAGCACGCCGATGAGACATTCCTCACCGCAGCCACCCTGGCCCAGAACACCTCCCACTGCGACTCCATCATCACACCGCACTGTCTGAAGCAGCTGTACAACATCGGTGACTACCAGGCCGATCCCAAGTCCGGCAGCAAGATCGGCTTTGCCAGCTACCTTGAGGAATACGCCCGGTATGCCGATCTCGAGAGGTTCGAGCAGCACCTGGCTCCCAATGCCATCGGCCAGAACTTCAGCGTCGTCCAATTCAACGGCGGCCTCAACGATCAGCTTTCATCGAGTGACAGCGGCGAAGCCAACCTCGACCTGCAGTACATCCTGGGCGTCAGCGCTCCCGTCCCCATCACCGAGTACAGCACCGGCGGACGCGGCGAACTAGTCCCCGACCTGAGCTCCCCCGACCCCAACGACAACAGCAACGAGCCCTACCTTGACTTCCTTCAGGGAATCCTCAAGCTTAACAACTCCGACCTCCCACAAGTCATCTCTACCTCCTACGGTGAAGACGAACAGGTATGCACCTCACCTGACCCATTCCATTTTACATCCCTCACCTCTCTCAACCAAACTAACAACACCAACAGACTATCCCCGTCCCCTACGCCCGCACCGTCTGCAACCTCTACGCCCAACTCGGCAGCCGCGGCGTCTCTGTAATCTTCTCCAGCGGCGACTCCGGCGTCGGCGCCGCCTGCCTCACCAACGACGGCACCAACCGCACGCACTTCCCTCCTCAATTCCCCGCCTCCTGCCCCTGGGTAACCTCCGTCGGCGCAACCTCCAAGACCTCCCCCGAGCAAGCCGTCTCCTTCTCCTCCGGCGGCTTCTCCGACCTCTGGCCCCGCCCCTCCTACCAACACGCCGCCGTGCAAACCTACCTCACCAAGCACCTGGGCAACAAGTTCTCGGGGCTTTTCAACGCCTCCGGCCGCGCCTTCCCCGACGTCTCCGCGCAGGGCGTCAACTACGCTGTTTACGACAAGGGCATGCTTGGCCAGTTCGACGGGACGAGTTGCTCCGCGCCGACGTTCAGTGGCGTCATCGCGTTGTTGAACGATGCGAGACTGAGGGCCGGGTTGCCTGTGATGGGGTTCTTGAATCCGTTCCTGTATGGTGTCGGAAGTGAGAAGGGTGCGTTGAATGATATTGTGAACGGCGGGAGTGTGGGTTGTGATGGGAGGAATCGGTTCGGGGGCACGCCTAATGGTAGTCCTGTTGTGCCGTTTGCTAGTTGGAATGCCACGACCGGGTGGGATCCTGTGTCGGGGTTGGGAACGCCGGATTTTGCGAAGTTGAAAGGGGTGGCGTTGGGTGAGGAGGGTGGTAATTAAGTGTGAGATGGGGGGAAAGGGATTTTCTTTTCGATGTGAATATTAGGTGAATTGTGTGGATAATTTTCATACATAATTAAGTCTGCATTGGCAGTGATAACCTGGAAGAAATGTCTAATGAGTGTGATTTGTTTACTTATGTATATTGAGTAATGGAATGTAGATGACTTGTCTTTGTACTGTATAACGAAATGATTATTTGAGTGGAGGGTATTAAAGAACTATAAAATATATACAAAGGTTAACCCATGCAGTCGTAACCCATAATGCAAAGCTCTACTCTATCTGTATCGGTAGCAGATAAGTGTATGCAATCTATCTTTGTTGATGATGCAATCAAGCGGGCACACCACCAGTGCCAAACAGCTCCATCTTGATGCGGTCCGCGCTCACTCCCTCGGCAGCCAGCTTGTTCTTCACGTCCAGCATGAACGACTCGGGACCGCACACGTAGTACTGCGTTGTGGCATCGTCCAGGAACAAGTCCCTCTTAGCGTCCAGCTTGCTGAGGTCCAGCCGACCGGCAAAGTCGTAGTCTTCACCCTGCTTGTCCTCGGCAGCCGGGTGGCTGGTGAAGAAGAAGGCCTGCAGGTTAGGCACCTTGGTGGCGAGCTCGCGGATCTGGGGCTTGAAGGCACGGGCGGCCGAGGTGCGGGCGCCATGAACGAAGGAGATTTTGCGCTGGGTCTCAGATTCGGTCTCGAGGACGGTGTTCAGAATCGAGGTGAGCGGGGTCAGACCCACACCGGCTGCCAAGAGAACGATGGGGCTGGAGCTCTGCTTCTCCGCATCGGACAGGAAGAAGTCACCCTGGGGGTGTGACACCTTAATGATGTCGCCTTCCTTCTTGAGATCGTGCAGGATGTTCGACACGAGGCCAGGGTGGGCCTCCGCACCCGGTTCGGTGGCATCGAGACCAGCCTCCTTCTTCACGGAGATCCGGTAGTAGTCGGAGCGAGGCTTGTCACTGAGAGAGTATTGTCTGGCTTGAGGGTGGTTGAGTTGGGGGACGAAGAGCTGGATGGAGATGTATTGTCCGGGACGGAAAGAGGGCAGGGGCTTGCCATCGACAGGTTCGAGGTAGAAGGAGGTGATCTCAGAGGATTCAGGAACCTTCTTGGCAATGCGGAAATCGCGGAACTCGGTCCATCCGTCGGCCTCGTTGTACAGGGCAGCTTCGCGGTTGATCATGATGTCAGCGAGTTGGAAGTAAGCGGCCGCCCACGCGTCCTTGATGGCGGGGGTGAAGGCGTCCCCAAGGACCTCGCCCATGGCTTCGAGCAAGAACTTTCCGACGATGTTATAGTGCTCGGGCTGGATATAGAGGGAGGCATGCTTGTTGCAGATGAGTTCGACAGCGGGGCCGAGAGCACCAAGGTTGTCAATGTTGGCGGCGTAGGCGAAGACAGCGCCGGCGAGGGCGCGGGGTTGGTGGCCGTTGACTTGGTTGGAGGAGTTGAAGATGGCATTCAGCTCGGGGTGTGCGGCGAGCATGTTCTTGTAGAAGACGCTGGTGACGGCGTTGCCATGCTCCTTAATCACAGGCACAGTGGCCTTGATGATGTCAGTTTGTTCCTGGGTGAGACCCATTGTTTGATGTGGATATGTCTGCCGCGAACGGATAGATCTGGCAGGATTAATGAAGCTGAGAGTATGAAGAGAGAACAGAGTCAAAGAATGATCTTGGGGAACGTAAGGGGAAAAGCGCCCTGATGGTGATGGTCTATCCTAGTATTTATAATCCGGTGAGCAATTAGGAGGTGGTCCTTGAGGACTTTGTTAGTCGGGTGGACGGCAGGCCGTGGCGGGAGAAGTTTTTTCTTGCTTCCACTTTTTTCTTGTGTATACTAATTTTGAACGGCGCGGCCTTTGAGCATCTCCGCGGAGAAACTGGGGAAGTACAGAAGGTGCCAGACTAACGCGTCAAATCAGGTTCCAGGTGATGCTAAGGCCGTCGATCCGTGATTGGGCTGGGAGCATTTTGGGTGTGAAAAGATAATCGAGTCTATCGCAATTGGTTCAGGGGGCTTTCACTCCTGTCAGATAAAGCAGATCCCCCAGTGGGAGCTGCATATCCGTCACATCCATCACTGTTGTGACATCTGATACAAGACTTCTGGTCGTGGTGTTCCTCTGCTATCATGACATGCCTAGAGCCGTCAGTCACACAAGAGACACAATAGCGAGCGAGCTAAAGTAAAATGACTCGCTGTAAATTACTAGTTGAGGCCTTTGATCAGCCCACCAAATCCCGACGCCCGACCGGAAGTTTTAGGGAAGTCCGAGAGCAACCGAGTCTCGGCCGTGGGGTGATCCATCAACGCTCACGAACTCCTCGGGGAGGCCGTTTTCACGGTGATCCAGTCACGAAGATGCTGTTAGTCACGTCTGATGCATCTTTAGGGAATATTGCACGATGCTGCGGCAATGCAGGGACTGATGGGGAGACCAAGTAAGACGCGATGATGGAGTGGAAGTTGCGCCTCTTCTGTCCCTCGGATCAAGGTATCTCCGGGGCAGACGCACACTAGTCCGGTTTTGGATGGTTGATCTCCCTACTCTGTTAGACCGTTACTAGTAAACTAGTTCATAGGACTCTCTCAGACTACCACAATAGTCTCCTGCTAAGCTCTTGTCTTGGCTACGAGGTGGAACACTCCACATCTGGGTCTATGCAAAGCATCGGGTCATTCTCATTGTTAACATGTAACGTCAACGAAATTGTACATCCGCGGTCGATTAATTCCGCGTGGGGCTTTTCCCGAGTCTGACTCCCAGAAGCGACAAACAGTAATGCAACCTCAATTCAGCTTCATAAAAATGTGACTTCAAAAGAGAGACTCCATGGTAACTAACTCGTTGTCAGATGAGATTTCTCACGAATGAAACATATCGGACTATACTCCTCCTCCAAGTATAGCGGCTATTGTCTGGTTGCTCAACGCCACAAAGCAAGGTCCAGAACACTCAAAGCTCCTCACTTTCCGGCTCAACCATGGTCACAACCAAGTCGTCTAGCTCATTATTTATGGCTGCTCTTCCCGAGTCCGAGCCAAACCTTCTCCGACTGACGGCTCACCATCTGCGAACCGCGATGACCCTCTTCAAGCCTCCTGCCGGAAGAGAACGTCATGACGTTTGCTCCAGTTGAATTTGCGGAGCTGAAAGCTCGCCCTACCCCGGCGCATAAAAGCTGCTCTAATGCTCTACCAGCCCACTTTTCTTGTCGCAAATCAGTTCCATTCACAATTGGCCTTGTCACGAACAAATCGTAACGAACATCATCATGGGGCCGCAACAATGGTTTCGCAAGCGCAATCCCGACAGCCAGACGGCTCCCATGTATAGGTCGTCGAATAACCAGCTCCCTATGTTGCACCTCGCCGACACGACGCGGAACAATTTCATCGCTGCCGTAGGGGAATTTGTGGGAACCTTTCTGTTCCTCTTCTTCTCCTTCGCCGGGACGCAGGTGTCTAATACCCCCAAGCCAGCGCCCGGGTCTCCTCCAAACACCTCAAACCTGCTATACTCGTCGCTATGCTTTGGGTTCTCGTTGATGGTCAATGTGTGGGCATTCTATCGAGTGACTGGAGGTTTATTTAACCCCGCGGTATGCCCTGCCATTCCAATGTCGGAATTTGCAATTGATCGTGATGCTAGGTCACTCTGGCCCTGTGTCTGGTTGGCGGATTATCTCCCATCCGTGGGGTTATTCTTTTCGGAGTTCAGCTCATCGCAGGCATTGCCTCTGCCGGTGTCGTGGGTGCTTTGTTCCCAGGCGACTTGAATGTCGGCACTCGCTTGGGCGGTGGTGCCTCAATATCACAGGGATTGTTCATCGAAGTTTTCTTGACGGCTCAGTTAGTGTTTATTATCATCATGCTGGCTGTTGTGAAACATAAATCCACCTTCCTGGCGCCTGTAGGCATTGGCCTGGTATTCTTCGTGACTGAGATGGTTGGTAAGTAGATGTCTTCCACCCGACTGCTGCGAGATATTGTGCGACTAACCTCATCCTCTTCCAGGGGACTACTATACTGGCGGCTCACTCAACCCGGCGCGATCACTCGGTCCTGACGTCATCAACCGCAGTTTCCCCGGGTACCACTGGATCTACTGGGTCGGTCCGTTGCTGGGAAGTCTCCTCGCATGTGGCTTCTTCACCTTCCTCAAGATGTTCCAGTACCACCGTCAACCCCGGTCAGGACTACAATGAATGGGAAGCCAAGATGGGCTCGGGAGGTCCCGGATCGTGGGACATGTCGATGCACCGTCCCTCATATAACTCCGAAGCCACTACGGTCGAGCAGCCGCAATCCCCATCAGCCGGCAGGAGGAACCACACCCCGACCAACTCTCAGCCGCAGAATAACCCTAATATTCCTAATATCCCTCACGGGGCAGAGCAGGTGTAGACATTCAAGACATTCGGGTGTGACAGGGAAGGTGGAAGGGAAATTGACGAGGCGCTAGGGTGTATAAGGTTGACAGCAACCGGCCTTTTTACGTAATTATTTTCTCGGTGTAATATTTTCTTCTATTTTGCTTGATGTTCTGGCCATGTTCCATGAGAACGTTGGACGAATACTCAAGGGTTGGCGCGGGTGGCGTGGTGGTTCATGTACGGAGTACCATTTCAAGGCAATTTGACCATCTCCGCGGGGAGCCTTCTATCTCCGCGGCTCTGCAGTCCAACTCAACCTCCGACTTCCGGCTTCCGCAACTTCCACAACAGAGCCAGGAACAAGTCTTGGCTTTGCTCATTTTTTCGGCGGAAAAACTCATGCTCGGGGTGCTCTCACGTGCCGGCTTGCAGTGGCTATAATATTTTCTCGGGCGCCAAGACGCTCCAATATGAGAATATACATAGTACCGTCACTTGGCAGTTAATCGTGCCATACATGATTCCTGCGCCAGTAATACTACCAGTGGAATGTACCAGTAATCTTGGATCCTCCTTTATTGAGGGAATATGCTATGAAAGGCTGGAAGGATAGACCCTTCCAATTCAATCAAGTGTGACATTATGTCTTGCCCTAGAGGTATCAACACCCTTCTTATAATTTTTGCAGTGTACGCGTCCTTGCGCCTCGAATTCGCAGTGCATTATATTAACGGGGTTTACAAAGGGCAACATAAGTATCTGTCCCTTGACCATATGTCTTTCTCGAAGAGAAAGACCCGCGAAAGTGACGCTTGAGATGGCCGAAGCCCAGGTTTGGAATACAGATCGGTCGGATTAAGTCAATCGATGTGTGCATATCCATGGCGTCTGTGATATAACCTCAGGAACCGCCCAGCCTGACCGGCAACACCCGCCATTTTCCTCCCTCCCCCCTGCCTCTTGGTATGGTTAGCAGAATTGATGGTTCATGAATTAACTTTGAATCTATTGAATGCGGTAAGCTGTACCTCGACGGATTTTAGAACCCGGTTCTCGCTCAGCTTTCAATAGTTCGTTTAGTTATTGTGGATGATTTCCCAGGCAGTCCTGCTTAAATAGCGGCCCTACGCTGCCCAGCATGGCACCAACGGTGAGTGAATTATGGGGGGTACTTCTATTAGAGAAGAAGAAAAGCTAGAGCCTATAGAACCGGCCAGGTATCATTTATTATTAGCCCATAATGGGCTATGTCTGATTATGCGGATCATGTAGTTAAAAGAAGATAATACCGATTCGATTTTCTGCTAGATTGTTGACTATTTATCATCAGTGCACAATACTACCCCCCAAAAAATACAGATTACCTGCCATTCCTATATTATTCTGTCTTCAGACAAATGGCACCTGCAAACAATCTATATGCGGATTATGAGCTGTGCTGAGAGGTTCACCCGCTGAGGACTTTATGAACCTCTGGGTCGGTGCGGTTTGTGATGATTGGACGCAACCTCTGGAGGGTCATCGGTTGCGGATCATACAAAACGCTTTGCTCATGTTTTCAGTTCAACTTGACAATTTGCAACTGATACGAGGAAGGCTGCAGAAGATATTTACCGTGGAAATGAGTCAATGGCGTGCTGGCCACCAGTTAAATAGTACGGTCGATCACGAGACCATACGAATGCAGACATACATGATATAATAAAGTAGAACTCCCACGGATCAAATGAATTACTATATAACAGATTTGGTGTCTATATATAATCACATGATAGCCACCGATACATTAAATATTAGCATGTATCCGTTCCCAGTATAGTAGGTTGTAGTCAATGACGAGTTGATCATGTTGCAGTATCAAAGTTATGTACGATCCAAGATGCAAGCAGTTCTCAAATTTCCCATAACAAAGAAGCAGCCAGCTATAAATGCCAGATGAATTCTAGTGGTATTGTACTTAGCTACAGTTAATCATTCATCTTTCTAACCTTCTTCCCTCCATCCATCCATCCATCCATCCATTCATCTATCTATCAAAGGCAAGAACACTATGCCAATTCCCACAGACGGAATATACTTTCGCCTCCTCAATTACCAAAGCCGAAACGTACTTGTTGCCAACAAGGGTATTGGTGAGAGTAAACTCACCGACTTCAACAGTGTTGATAAACATTATGATAACCAGATTTTCGAGCTTATCCCACGCGGGGATGGTACCTTTTATATCCAGAGTGTTTATGTTCCCTCGTCTGGCACCAAAGGTCGCATATTTTCCATCAGTGGCGGTGTCGGGATATCATTTCTGGCATCGGACGCCGACAGTACTCGCTTCACATTTGAAGAGGGTAGCGGCTATTTGGCGGGATGGTACCGTCTTGTTACTCCGGCTTTCGATCTAGTTCTTACTGACAAGTCTGGTTACGGACCATCGAATTATCGTGCGAATGGAGAAAAATATGAAGATCAATATTTCCAATTTCAGACTAATTACCGTGAGGTTACCAAGTCTGCTGAGGCTTAGCCATGTCAAATAGTTATGGTGTGATTTTCATTCAGGTGTGTGGCATTACCTTTTGATTGACAACCTGATGATATGACTCAGTGAACTGTTTTAGTTATTTGTTTTAAAAGTTTCAGCTTTATAGTCAACATCATCACAGAGTGTAATAATTATGATAATCACATGTAACAGATGTTCTGGAACAAACATTATTTGGTTTTATATTACCTCAACGACTAATCTCCCCAATGTATTGAATCTCTTGTATAATCTGGGAAGAATTGTATAACCAATACTTGAATTTGATAGTAGTAGTAGTAAGCTTTCGCCAATCCAGACCAACCGAAAAGCCATCTCCGAATACCCTGATTAGCGCATTCATGCCGAGATAGCCCGAATCCCAATATTTAACCGAGATGCTGGAAGACTGAGTTTACCTTTTTTAAACTGATGAGTCCTGGCCCTCGTCTCTGGGAAGATGTGATTATCAACACGCCACCAGTCAGGAACGGTTTTACCATTGGATTAACTGGCAATACAATGGACATTCCTATAATTGTCTTGTTCTGTCTAGATGTCTACTAGGCGGCATATCTGTCCTATCCGACATCCGATCGCTTTACTGGCCTTCGTTCCTACCTTCTGACTCTCCATTCAAGAAGAATTGATACTTACGTGCTTCCAGAACGTTGTTCTCTCTGTTATAATCTCTCTATTTCGATTATGTCCAATCTGACTGGCATTTAGTATACCGTCTACATGAAACCTACTTCAGCACAGATACTACGAAAGCTCCGACCATCTCAATATAAGCCACTTCAAATATGTCCTTTGCCAGATTGTACGGGATATGCGTTGGTGCCATCTCCGCGCTCCTTGGTCGCCTGGACTGAAAGCTAAGAACTTAGTCGATTTAGGAGACTGTATTCCGAGCAGCGATCGGGCAAATTATCAGCGCTAACCAACAGGCAGTGCAACGATCGTCTGTATTGATGCTTGTTCTGGCGAATTTCTCGCCCCATTTCGGCTGCCTTGGGGGCCAGAGGATCGGGTTTGATTAAGCCAAGTTCAAGCGCTCACGATGATGGGCTTTACTCTTTTCCATCCACTACTAAGCAGGATAACCTGACTCGTGCATGCGACCGCTAGGTTCGTACCTGCAGTAGGCATACAATCCTACGATTAGAAATGGCTTGAAGTACTGGTGGGATAGGGATGGAGGTATTGCTTGGTTTTGGCCCTCTGGGGGCCAAAAGCCACCGCCGCGGCCAGACTGATGCTCTACACTCTGTTACCGAAGCTCAGCCACCAAAAGATAGGAGTTGGAAATACTAGAGACTGTTTCCCATCAAGGGACTTTCTGACGCCAAGTGTAAGCCAACTGTCATTCTTTCTTTGTTTTGCTTGTTTACAGTCATTCTTTATCGTCCTCCGAACAATGCCACTCTTTAATGCAAAAACCCTGCTGGCAGGGCTCTGCGCTGCCAGCATCGTCTCACCATCGTTAGGGCTTCCTCAGTCCTCGCATCCGGGCTCGTCGGCTGTTGCAAACACTCAGGGTAGAGCCTCTTCTGAGAGCCATCCTTCATGGACTTTGGAGTCGGATTCAACAGCTGCCACGGTTTCGACCTCGAATACCCCTTTGTACTCTCCTTCGTCATCGGCTACGGCCTCCCTTGGTGCTACTCAGGGTTCCTTGACCGATGACCACGATGGAGCATCGAAGTCATCCACGCGCTCTTATGGGGTCACTACAATCTCGTACTCCAGCGCGCCTGTGAATAACCCCCAGAGGTCAGTATTCCCCTGAGAACCAGACCATTGAATTCTAATTGAAGTAGTGCCCATGACGCATCCGCCAGCCCGTCCACTCCTTCGGGTCCTCACTCTCATACGACGACATTGTCAAGCTCTTCTGCAGGTGTTCCTGCTCAAAGTCAGACTACTTCGTCGAGTCGTTCTCACTCTGTCGTCTCCAAGGAGACTTCCACTCGCTCACCTAGCAGCTTGTTCACTCCTTCTGCTTCCACTGAGACTCCCACCAATCCATCTCATACTCCTTCAACCTACACTATTTCCACTCATTCTTTTAGCTCCTCAGAGCATGCTTCATCTGAGTCTGCTACATCATTCCATGCAGTCAGTACATCAAAGCATACCCACACTCACACGCCTACGTCTTCCACATCTTCATCAAACACCCCGACGCGTTCGTCGGCTTTGACTCAGCACGAGACTTCCACGAGCTCTTCGACGCCTACTCGCTCTCATACCCATACCGCGTCGACGCCGGCTTCATCCAAGGCAAATACTAGCTCTTCGATCAAAACCCACACAACTCATAGTCATACTGAGGACACTACGTCAAGCTCTGCCTCTCATACTCCTACGTCTTCCAAGTCCAGCTCCAGCTCCGCAGAGGATGTCTCATCAAGCCCTGCATCCCATTCTCCTACTCCGAGTACCCACTCCATCACCACCACAACGAACACTGATACCAGCCAAAGTGCTAGCATCACGTCCGGTCCCTCCACGACACCGAACTCGACAATTACAACCACCAGCAGCACAACAACTTCTTCGGTTGATGTCTACGCCATTATCAAGCACCTCTATAAGCTCGTGAAGGACACGTACCCAGTGATTAAGAAATGGAAGGAGGACCCCAAGTCCGTCAAGGCATCCGATCTCATCAAGCCCCTGAAGCGTGTCATTCCTGTAGCGGATGACGTTCTCGACGTGCTTGGGGCTCCGAGTTCTCTAAGTTCAAGCTCTGGTGATAGCGAATCGGTACTCGACAGTTGCAGCAGCGGTGGAGGCCTGCTGGGAGACCTCATCGGCATTGCGAGCTGCATCTCCAGTACTGCGGATGAGGCAGTGTCAATTTTGGGCAGTTCCTCAGACAGTGATTCTTCGGATGAATCCACACTCTCATCTTACTTTGACGCTTTCGAGACCGAAGGAAGTTCCCTCAGTGCAGTGGGAGTGACTGCGACTGGCTCTACCGCAAGTAGCACTGGTACGACAACGACCACATCCTCTGGCGATACGTCTTCGAAGTCTACGAAAACTGCCACGTCTACCAACACAGATTCTGACACGTCCACTCAGTCCACGAAGACCAAAACCTCGACCAAGTCCACCACAACCTCCGACTCTAGCTCGTCTGCCGGCTCAGGAGGTCACTCGGCGAGCGCGTCTGCCTCACCCACATCGACCAAGTCTTCGACAAGCACCAAAGAATCTTCCACCTCCACGAAGACCAAAACCAAGTCTAACACGGAGTCTTCCTCAAAAGCAGCATCATCCTCCGCTGCAGCAAGCAAGACTGATTCGTCTTCTTCTTCCGCAAAGTCCACATCGACCGACTCTACCTCCACGAAGAAGACCACTTCCACCAAGTCCACCGCGACCTCTTCTTCGGCACCGCTGTCTGCATCCTCGTCAGCTCACACATCCAGCATTGCTACCACCAACACAACATCAACCAGCACCAATAGCAAATCCAGCACGTCGACCGACACCACGACGATTATCATTCACACGCACAGCGGAACAGCCAGCGGCACCACCACGCACCACACCTCCACCGTGACGCCCTCACCATCGCGCAACCAGACAGCCACGACCCTCGTCACCACAACCTCGTCCTACACCCCGCCCCTCTGTTACAACCAGTAAGTCCTGCCTCCATCCCCCATCCCCATCCAATCCACTAACCCCACACAGCGCGGACCCCGACAACGGCGCCGGCAACGTCTGCATCTGCACGCGAAGCAACGGGGACTACACCACGCTCTCGGAACTCCCCTCAGGCAGCGGCTGCTCCTACACCTCCATCCCGACCCCGACAACAACCAGCACCACCAAGACCACCAGCACAAAAACCACCTCGGACCCGCCCTTCACCGTCACCGAACTCAACAGCGACGTGATCGTCTGCGCGACCTCCACCCTCAGCTACTTCTCCACCTTCACATACACGCAATGCGCCGGATCCAGCAGCACCATCTACACGGCCCCGACGCCGACCCCCACCGCGCAAGTAGTCATCGCCTACCTCTCCGACGTGTACAGCTTCTGGTCATTCTTCACGCCGGACATCGGCTCGTCGATTGATTTCTGTAACGATGCGGAGGCCGGCGAGCTGGAGGCTAGTGGCAGCATTAAGGTGATAGATCCGCCGTATCCGGATGGGACGAAGGAGTTGGATTTCGAGATCCATGATATGAAGGATTGTGTTTATAAGGGCACGAGTGATGAGCCGGGGACGTTTACTTGTCCGGATCTTGCGAAGACGGTCGATTGTGAGAGTTATGGGGAGAATAAGGTGCATGATTGTTATGGGGCGTTGTCGGTGAGTATGTTTAATCCGGTGGTGAGGTGTCAGTGGTATTAGTACTTCTTTTTTTCAATGAGAGGGGCCGTTGGGAAGGGGACGGGTTTGTTGTGTAATTATTTAGACATTTGTAATTATTGGATGCTATTACTATGTTTATTGATGATTATTCTTAGGACGGGGGAGTAGTTTACGAGGAGGGTATAGATTGTGCTTCTATCGGTAGTGTGGAGGTGCAGGCTGAGGTTGGTACCATGTATGACCTTAATATGAAATAGAGATAGTAAGATGGCAGTGCTGAAGGCTGCCTTAGCAATGGCATCATCTGCTTATATACAACCATTGATTGTGTTGAATTATCTTGAACTGGTAATATGAGTGATATATAAACTAACGCCATAACAGAATGGTATCTAATCGTACAAGATAAGCCCCCGACCAAAGTCGCATTAAAACCTTTATCCAGGTAAGTAGTCATCCAACATGGTATTCCAGTAATGCCTTCTCCCACATCCCCGAACCTACATCCATATAGCCATCCAAACCCACGCCCATGCCCGATCGACGATACCATAACCCAATCTTATGATCATCCGGAAGGATATTCACATGAATCGAGTCAACGCGGCGTGACTCTGGAACCAGGTCTCCCGGCATGAGGCCTTTAGATTCAATATCGATCAGCCGTTCCAGGACGAGCACGGCCCCCGGTGTTGTCCAGAGACCTTCTTGTCTCTGGCAGCTGCGTAGTAATTGTAATGCTTCTCTCCGGATGTACCAGTCGCGACATTTGAAGGCGCAGAAGAAAAGAGGGGGGATGATGCCCATTCCGATGGAGAAATTAGGCATGGTTGATTGGGCGGGTGTGGAGAGGAGGAGGATTTTGGCGAGCGCCACGGCTCGGCCGAAGTTGAGGTGAAAGGCATCGAAGCGGGTTTCGCTGCCGCCAAGACGCGTTTCTGTCGCGGCCATGATGTAGATGATCTCGCTCCAGAGTTTTAGGACGGTTAGGATGGTGTTGTCGCGGAGGATGAGGGTGTTTCCGGCGCATGTCATTGAGTTATCGAGTTCGGTGGTCCAATGCTGGAGTTTGTTAAGGATGGCCATGCGTCTGCTGTCTAGGACGGTGCAGTAGCCTGGTGAGGAGGTGCCGGGAGGACGTGGAGTCAAGACGAGTCGGCCTAGACTGACGAGCAGGCTGCCTGCCTTTTCTAAGCTGTCGGTCGGCTCTTCGAGGCTGAGATCATTGATCTCTATATAGGGAACGTCGAAGCGATTGCTATCTACCTCTTCAATGAAGACTTCGTCGGCGAACGTCGACCATTGTAGTTGTAGATGGGCAAATACTTTCATTAGCACTGCACCAGTGGTTGAATAGCCCGGCATGTCTGTGGATCTCCATTCTTTGAGGAGTTTGAGACCCCCACGCAAGTGACAATAGGCAGAGTGCGTATCACCCTGCAGGAACATGAACGAGACGAAGAGTACGCAGGTGACGAGGGTTATTTGCATGTTAGAGCGGGATAGAACTCCTCCGCCCGCTAGCTGATGTCTCAGTGAGGAAATTGCTTTGACACATTGCTGGAGAGGCAGACGGCTGTCTATGGCCCCCTGTCCGGTGCTGGTTCGCTCAAAGTTACAGTGGAGCGCACTTAGGGCAATGGCAGCGTGTCTGACCGCTGGCTCGGCCTCGGTGACTTGGTGTACCAGACGCAGCCAGAAATCATCGTCAAAGTAACCAGAACATTGAAAAGAAGTATTCCTGCGGAAGAAGTCGAGATACCAACGCTCCTGCCGGGTGAGGTCGATCTCATTGGTGTGTAAGATCAGATCCGACACTAGAGACGGCACACTCACCGTTGAAGATGAGCTGCTCGTCGATGATGGCGATGTTGAAGCGAGCCGGAGTCTGGAAGCGCGCGTTCTCCTATCGATTGTTTGCTGGTATCCATCGCAAATCCGTCCAGTGCTGCTGCACATGCGACAGATAGGTCGGGTCTCGTCACATTTCTTGTGGCGTATCCTACATGATCCACATTAACGATGGTGTCCCCACGCACAAGCAAACAATCCAAGATCCACGGTGACTCCGTACCTACAGGTCCGACAACCCGTACGCACCTTGGTGTGACTGACCCGAGTTCTTTTCTTCGGCGCTGTTTCCTGAACACCCATGGTTGATGATGACATGTTGGAAGCAGGCCAAGATTCCGCAGCCTATATATGCGAACTGGCTATCCAGCCAGCGAGAATCAAGAGAGTCATGGCCAGGGCAATGGGGAACGAATGGGGGGGAAACCAGGATGAGGCAGTGGGAGGATGACACTAATGCTTCCTGCTCGCGTTAGTCAGCCACAGCCGTTTGGGGGCGATTCGGCCTGATTGGATCCGTTCGACAAGGAAGATGAGGTTTCTTCCATCGTTTGGGACCATGCAAAAGTAAAGTTTCGCCAGGAGGGACGTGTTTCCGAAGATGCCGGTGAAATTTGCTCTCAACCTGCAGAGGATGCTTTGTACCTTGTGGGCAATTTGCCTTATTAGTATGGATCAGGGACCTGACCTTGGTACTCCTTGGTACTCCTTGGTACTAATAAGATGGAACCAAGCAGCAAAGGTATGTGCTCGGGTCCCCGCACATCCAATCCACTGCACTCACGATCGACTAAAAGGGAACCTTCCAAAATCCGATCGAACTCCGATCGAACAAGCTACAAAGAGCATAGGCTTCCTCACAAAGACCACAATATCAAGCATTGCAGATTAGTTGCTGCTGACGAATACGACACGTCGGATTACCGGATCCTTTCCCTCGTGTTTTGGAATCCTTCGGCTCCTCCCCTTATTGCGCCGGTGCGTTTCTGAATCCAGGCACAAAGGCCATCGAGTGGTCATCAAATTTGACATGAATCAGGAGCTGCAGATCTATATTTTTGCTATGATTTCCGCCCCCGCAATGCTCCCGGATAATCAACCGCCGTGATCGTCAGTCTTGGCTCCTGAGCAACCACCGCTTTGATGTCAACCTAAATCCTCCCTCCAACATCTGTGTGAGAAGAGAGAGACGATAGGTGTACTGACGGGTATAAGCATGATCGTGGCGGCTTGTCTGAAAGCTAAAAGCTGGGGACATGTGGCTGCCTGGAAAACGCCAACGAGGCTGAAACGGGAGATAGTTGTAGATCACCGGCGCTGCGGGCTAATTGGGGATCACGAGATTGTCTCATATCCAGCCCCAATTCCTCATGTCTGGACTACTGTCTCTAGCTTGGGCCCGCCTCTGAATGAGCGTGGCTAGCACGTTTTGTGCGGAGTGCCAAAACTGTATGCAGCACCACTCAGGAGCCTGGACCCCCATTATTCATCACCTGATCGTTCAGCCACGAATCGTATAACACAGCGCTTCAGCCTCTTCAGCTGAGGTTCAGGGCACCGATGCTGGTCATTGGAGCTGAGCAAGTCCTACTTGCCGTGCTAGTCTTAGAGGAAACGAGCATCATCGATATGCCGGGCTGTTATCTCTCGCCAATCACAGGACGGGCTTCGCATGCATGGGCTACATCCCACTGCTCTTACCAGCTCAGTCTTCCTGAGATACCCTAAACCCCAGAAGGATGTACGATCCGGGGTTTTCAACAGGGCCAATCAGTCATGGTTGTGATGGCCTCTCTCCTTTCTTATCAATGTGGGTTCCCCTGCTTTTGTGATCTTCCATCTTGGCACCTGGGATCAGACTTCTCGATAACAGCAAATGGCGACCGCAACTGATTTAAAACGAAGGTTTTTGTGCGACGAGGCCGTCTATTTGTATTCGTGTGGGCTCTTGGCTCAGATAACGATCTCTTTTACAGTTCGGAATAAGTAACCACACGCAGCTGAAGATATCTACGGAGTAAAGATATCGCCTATGACCCATCTCAGAATGGGTCCAGCCAAGAGACCGTGCAGTCAATGTGCAGGGAGGGGGATAAATTCCAGCTCCTTACCATGATTTCATTATACTATATGATTCAATGGTCCCTCAAGCACAGCAGACCCGAAAGTCTCTGAGAATAAATTTCGTAAGTCAGCTTATTATAGTAGTGATTGCCATCGCTTTCTCTCTTGGCTCATCATGACTGAGGTGCGTGTTTGCTTTTGCGACAGCCGGTGACATTCCCAGACTTGTTTGGCTAATGATGCACGCGATGTCACAGCCAGTCTACAATTCCTCAACGCCGGAGGGTGGTGATCCTACCCAGGTCGACGTGAACGCGCAATACACCGGATTCGAATACAACTATGTCTATATTACTACATGCACATTCATCGTGTTCCTTATCTTACCGGGGATTGGGATGCTCTACAGCGGCTTGTCCCGGAGGAAATCCGCGCTGGCCCTTCTCTTCCAGGCCTTTATGGTTCTTGCAGTGTAAGTTCGCCAGTCGCGACCCTTTTGATATTTAGCGCAACGCTAATCATGATATAGATCTACATTTCAATGGTTGTTTTGGGGATATTCTCTTACCTATTCAAGAGACGGTGGGCCCTTCATCGGTACACTGAAGAACTTTGGACTGATGGATGTCTTGGTGGCGCCCTCGCCCGGCTCCGCGGTCTTACCGGACGTCGTCTTCTGTCTATTCCAGCTCCTATTTTGTGCATGCACAGTAAGTTTGTCCAGGTGATACAAAAGCGATGTACTAAGGTTTTAGGTAATGATTGTCGTTGGAGGTGCCTTTGAACGAGGTGGCATTGTACCTTCATTGATCTTCAGCTTCTTCTGGGCGACCATAGTTTACTGCCCGCTAGCCCGGTGGACATGGAGCAGTAACGGATGGCTCTACAACCTACCGGCCATTGATTTTGCGGGAGGCGGCCCCGTGCATATCGCGTCCGGGTGTACAGCTCTGGCGTATGCGTTGGTTTTGGGAAAGCGTAGGGATCACGGGGACCCTTCACTGCGCAAGCCGCACAATACGACTCTGGTCTTCCTCGGGACAGTATTGATCTGGACTGGATGGTTGGGGTTCAATGTACGTGAGGTCCTGTCTTCTCCAGTATTCGAGTCTAACAGCAATATGATGATAGGGGGGCTCGAGTCTGAACGCCAGCATGCGTGCCATGGTTGCTGTTTTCAACACCAATACCGCCGGTTGCACAGGCATTCTCGGATGGGTTCTGGTAGACATGATCCGGTACAAAGGAAAGTTCACAGTTGTTGGTGCGTGTGAAGGTGCTATTGCTGGCTTGGTCGGGATCACGCCAGCGGCTGGTTGCGTCTCGCTATGGCTCGCAGCATGCATCGGTTTCATTACCGCCATTGTATGCTCCTCCCTCAAAAATGTGAACGAGTGGATCAATGTCGACGAGGGTATGGATGTGTTCAAGCTGCATGGCCTTGGTGGTATGGTGGGAGCTTTCCTGACGGGACTGTTCGCAAGCGAAAAGATATCTGCCTTGGATGGCAGCACGCTATCCCCCGGAGCGATTGACGGCAATGGAGTTCAGGTTGGGAAGCAATTGGCAGAGATCTGTGCTATCGCATCGTACTCCTTCGTGGTATCCTACATTATGCTTCTCATTCTCAAATATATTCCCGGAATGCAGTTGCGGGTGAGTGACGAGGATGAAATGCTGGGACTCGATCGGACTCAGTTTTTCGACGAGCAGATTGGGGATTGGTCCATGGCGATGCCTGGCTCAGCGAGTCCCACGCTGGTCGGGGTACCCAAAGAATCCTCTACGAGTGTGACGGAGTGCCGGGAAAGAAAGGGGAGCGAAATATAGAATATGTAGAAGCCATCTATGTTGCTTTTGCGATATGTGAATGATAGAGTTCGGTCTGTATGCAGGGAAATGCAGCTCTAGGACGGTCCGTTAACCCAATTCGGTCTGCTGACGGGGTAGCCAGTCAGGTAGTTATGTGGGTAATCTACCGACGCAATGCTTAGAATAGTGTCTGCAGGTGCAATGCACAGCCAAGAGGAGGGGTCCAGCTGGAGAGAAAGTCAGGCATCGGGATGGCACCAGATGATGATGCAGCGCACCCATGGCCGCGTCATACTATACGAGGGTGAACAGCAACCGATCTAAAAATATCCCGACGGTGACTCTCTCTCACTTTCTATCATGGGAAGAGGATCTTGCCAGTACAACCAAGTATATTTTATTCCTTCTAGTGGTGTCGTTGACCACTCTCCGCACGAGGGAAAGAAGACAATAACATCGCCGATATACTTCGAAGAAAGTCTTGGCTTTCTTCATAAGTGGGGTCGATCGAGTGGAGGCGGATTTCAGATTGATTCCCTGTCACATAATCCATGCTGACATGCAGATAGATACAAATAGCAGAACTTCATCAGATGCTATGGCAACGCAACTGATTAACATGTGACGCTACCCATAGCTTTAAATCCAGCTGTTGTACAACCACGCTCTAAAATAGGCAGGGTAGTTAATAGCCTATGAAAAAGTACAGACACCACTCTTTTAAGTACGCTGGCATGCATAAACACGATGTTTGAGGGTGCATGTATTCGCAATCCGACGGATGATCCCCTCGATTGCGTGTGTCTTTCCTGCGGAGTAAACCTTCACGCGAATGGCAGGTCATTTAGTTGGTTGGTGTCGATCTCGGGGTTCAAGGACACCATTTTTACCCGCTGGTCTGGCACATCTGTCATCATCCCCAGAACCTACTCCGTGCTGGTACATAACCTTGGCTTGAGGGAGGGAGGACGACGAGAGAGAACGAGAGGATGGATGGCGGGGGAGGGAATCGCCGACCGAGCATCACAGCCAATCATGGATGAGGGATGGCGCAACAAGGCTGGCGAGCTTACGTCAAGCGGGCCGGGGTTGCATTCTTGGCTGGCCCAGACCCTTTTTTTCCCTTTTCTTTCAACTTTTTCTATTTTATTGGAGATGGATGTTCCCTCTGATTCTACTTTGGTCTATAAAGATGGAGATATCTTGATATATCTATTCAATAACTGTATAGACATGTACTTGCTACGATAGAGCCACATCAACGGAGATCCCATTATTATCACAAAGCTAGGTGGAACGCCAGCTCATTTCATCTTTAAATTAATTCAGCTGGACCCATTCCCAGACGGGATCCAGGTTCCCGACCTTGCCCGATCGGGACTAACGGCAAGCCTTAGGCCTGCAGTTGGTCGCGTCAGCCAGCCGTTCCCGGCGAGAGGCAAGACGAGGCCTTATCTTTTCTTTTCCCTCCCCTTCTCCTGCTGCTTGCTATCCCCACCCTTTCCTCTCCTCTCCTCCTTCTTCTCCAGGCCTTTGGTTTGGCTTTGGCTTCTTTTTGACTTCGTCGTCGTTATCTTGCTGCTTTCTAGCAAGGCCATTCGTTTGACTTCCCTCTCCGTCTTTCGGCAGGTTCTTCACTCTCCCACTAGACATTGTAATCAATTATCCGCGTCGTCCCACCTCCCATACTATTGCAATTCCAGCCAACGACTTCGCCCCCTTGTCCCGCTCACACTTCGATAATAAGCCTTGTATCCATATCACGGATCCACTCGGATTGTCATGGTTGGCGATTGTGACTGCAATTAATTCACGAGTATCATTCTCTTCTCGACATCCTCATGGGCAAACGTAAGCCTCCCGTCGCATAGTCCGCAATTCTCGCCGATATGGAGACTGACGGATATTTACAATATAGACCGATATGGAGTCGTTCTGGACGCGGGTTCGTCCGTAAGTAATACTGCGCTATGTGTACCTCTTCGCCATCTCTAATCCCGGAGATAGGGAACTCGAGTCCACGTCTATCGCTGGTTGGACAATGCTGTCGCGCGGGAAAAGGGAAAGCATCTGCAGACATTGCCCGAAGTGAAAACCAAATCCGACTGGACGAAGAAGATACATCCCGGTACGTCTGGTGGATGGCTCGGTTCACGTTGCCATGTCTCACGGTGGATACTAACGCCTGTCTTCTGTATAGGAGTGTCGTCGTTTGCGACCAAACCGGAAGAAGTCGGTCCTGAACATCTGGCAGAACTTCTCGAACACGCGAAACAGATCGTCCCTGATGACGCCGTGAAGGATACACCCATTTTTCTACTCGCCACTGCGGGAATGCGACTGCTTCCTGGCGTACAGCGCAACCTCCTGCTTGAACAGATTTGCTCTTATGTCGGCTCGAACTCGGATTTCCTACTTCCCGATTGCGGCGTCCATATTCAAGTCATTCCGGGTGTCACCGAGGGCTTGTACGGATGGATCGCGACAAATTATCTGTTGGGAAGTTTCGATTCCCCAGGAACGCATGATCATGGCAAGGGACACCATACGTACGGCTTTCTGGACATGGGTGGTGCTTCTGCGCAGATTGCTTTCGCCCCAAATGCGACTGAGAGCGAGAAGCATGCGAATGATTTGACTCTCCTACGGCTGCGCAATATCGATGGATCGACCCAGGAACATAGAGTCTTTGTCACCTCGTGGCTCGAATTCGGCGTCCATGAAGCGCGCAGGCGCTATCTGGAGTCGTTGCAGGCGGCCAGCGCTATCGGAGACGTCAACGAGCTTCCTGACCCGTGTCTGCCGTCTGGATTACGTACTACGATCGATGGCAAGCTTCTTGCCACGGATGACATTGATGGGATGCATCTTCTGGGAACCGGCAAGTTCGATGAATGTCTGCGACAAACATACCCGCTACTGGACAAGGACGCGCCGTGTCCCGATCAGCCCTGTCTCCTGCACGGGATGCATGTTCCGGCTATTGACTTTGACGTCAACCATTTTGTTGGCATCAGCGAGTACTGGCATACGACTCACGATGCGTTCGAGATGGGTCACAAGGACAAGGCCTACGACTTTGCCACTTACCAGGAGCGTGTGCGATCATTCTGTTCGCAAGATTGGGCGACCGTGGAGAACGGTCTCGAGGCCCACCAGTGGGGAAAGAAATTCGATCGGGAATCGGCCTCGGAGATCTGCTTCAAGGCGTCCTGGATCATGAACGTGTTGCATGATGGAATCGGGATTCCGCGCGTAGGACTAGAGGACATTACAGGCTCGGGTCACAACGGAACCAAGGAGGTGCTGTCCCACGGTCAGAGCAAGGGCTACTTGGACTCCTTCCAGGCCGTGAACAACATTGATTCTACCGAAGTCAGTTGGACACTGGGCAAGATGGTCCTCTATGCCTCGTCTCAGGTTCCCTTGGAAGCAGAAGAAGCCCTTCCTGTCGGCTTTGGCAGCAATGTTGCCGGCGTACCCAGCGATTTCCAGTACCCCAGCGTGGAGCTGCTGCCTAGTCCCGAAGGCATCCATGGCACAACGTGGCATGATGCGCTCCTGGAAGGGAGCTCGTCACGCCGAGCCCCGGGCTTCATCTTGTTTCTGCTTATCGTGATATTGGTGGCCTTCTTCCTTTGTGGCCGAGGCCGTCGTCTGAAAGTCTACCATAAGATTAAGAACGTCTTTGGTTGGGGTGGTCCGTCTCATCCCAACTATCCGAAGCGGAGGAGGATATTTGGTGGCAAGCTCCCCTTCTTTGGTCCCAGAAGCCCTACCTATGAGCGCGTCCTTGAGGAAGGCGCTCAGGAATTCGATCTCGGCGTGAGCGGATCCAGCCGCAGCTCGTTTGACGGGGGGCGTCCCTCTGAAGCCGATGCCGCTAGATTTACGGCGCCCAAGCGGGCCTCTAGTTGGGGCAGTGGTAATACGACACCCACCTTCAAATATGGATTGGACAATTCCTCGTCTGGGACCATTGGGCTCGGAATCTCGGCTGGGTCAGGAACAAACGCAATGGACCGACACGGGCTGGTTGTGAGGACCGAGAGCAGGGATCATCTGGCACCTCTGGCATTGGGACCGACAACCAATGGACGCCGCTCCCGAGCGGGCAGTCCTTCGAGATCCCATCCCAAGTCACCACTTATGACCCCGCTAGCAGACGACTAATGCTGCTGTATGATTATGCTTACGTTGCCGATGTTGCATCACTCTGGCGTTTGGTTCTGTATTATTCATGACTTGCAGGGGGGAATCTGCAAGCCCAGGTCGCTGCTTGAAGCCGGCGTATGACCGCATAATAGTCCTTTGCTTCTTGGTGCCATATTGTCAGGGGCGTGCTCCGGAGTACATAGCTACTCTCTAACTTTTATTATACTAGACTATTTATGAGAGTCATAATACAATACAAATTAAAAGAGACATAAATTCCTATCCTTGCTCGTTCTCATAGTAAATGCAGACATCCTGTTATAGTGGAACTGCTCACGTGCGTAGCTGACGGCGGCTCACCGCCCGGGCAAAATCAGCAGCGGCAGTCAAGATAGTCAAGATGCGCGACAGAGCTCCGTCTTCAATCTCATCATCCCCGCTACTTCAATTGGCCTTTCTCCTCGATCTACTATTTGCTCTACATCAGTCGCTTCGCGCAGCTTCCTTTTCTTTCGTGCATGATACCCCAATAGAACCCGTTATCGATCCCGCCCGCCACCATGCGATTGACCGTTGAACTGATCCAAAATTCCCTGTCCTACATTAACCCGCTCAAAGACCGCGAGCTAGATCTTCGAGGTGCGTTCCAGCCACCAGTCCTGAAAAGAACAGATACTACACTTTTGAGATGAGCTTGATTGATATCGGTTTTGTGTTTGAGTCGTATAGGGCACAAGATACCCGCTATTGAGAACTTGGGTATTGCCAAGGTAACCTCTTCCCACCACCTCATTTCTCTCTTGGAATGTCTTCGCGGCATTGTATATGGTATAGAGGCTAAGAAAGGAACGGTAGGACCAAGATGCAATCGACCTAACAGACAACGATATCACCTCCCTCGGAAACTTTCCCTTCTTTCCTCGCCTCCGCACCCTCCTCCTCGCGCGTAACCGAGTCAAGCAGATCCAGCCGACGATATCGACCTCGGTGCCGAATCTGAGCGCGCTGGTGTTGACGGCGAATAACATGAACGAGTTGGCGGATTTGGACCCGCTTAGAAATCTGGCCCAGTTGACGCATTTGGTGTTGCTGGAGAATCCTGTTACCAGGAAGGAGGTAAGCTTCCCCTTTTCTTCTATTTCCTTTCCTAGCGAGATCAAAGCAAAGCAAAGTCTAACATAAATGGTATTGGTGTAGCACTATCGCTACTACGTCATCTGGCGCATCCCCAGCGTCCGCTTCCTCGACTACCAGAAAGTGAAGGACGCGGAGCGCGAAAAAGCCACCGAGTTGTTCGGCACAGCTGAGGAGCCGTCTGCGCTGGCGTCTAAGATCATGGGAATCAAGTCTCGCACGTTTGATGTGCCCTCGGGCGCAGGGGGTGCGGATCGTGGTGCGCCCGCGGATAAGGCGGTGCGGGTGAAGTTGACGGAGAAGGAGAGGAAGAGGGTGGAGAAGATGATTCGCGAGGCGAAGAGTTTGCAGGAGATTTCGCGGTTGGAGAAGGAGTTGAATGAGGGGAGGATACCTGGAGGTGCATTGGATTATGCTGATAGTGATGAGGAGATGCAGACATAGTAGTAGATGGGGGAGTGGTTTGTTTTGTTTCTGCTCGGGATTGCTTGATGTATTATTTGTGGTATATTTATTATGTGGTTAGTGCTGAATGGATGGCACGGTGTTTGGTCAATAAAAGACTCTTTCTGATACTATAATCCAGATGTACTGGTTTGCAAATTTCACAGATATATGAGTAGGAAACTGTCACGTATAATCAATTCCCGGCCGTGTAGCTGGAAATCTACGACAATCATCGAGTCATAGGAGCTTAGCTCCGTTCCATAGATAGGTGGTTAATCAACTTAGAAACTACAAGGAAGTAGAACAGTCACCTACTACTCGAGTATAGCAGATGTTATATTGACATAACTACCATCTACTAAACAACTAAATACTAACCGATATACTTTAGTCAGTAACCCCTATACACAGTTACATAACTTGCCGCAACGCCACGAAAATCACAGTTAACTCGATAAGTACTGTAGCTCTTCCCCATCTTCACTATATTAGTACACAGTCTTGAAATATATTACGATATTTTTGATTCTGCCAGTTACCCTGCATCAGCACCATCTTCATCTTTACAAATACATGATTACTACCCGATGGGAAATTGAAGCGTACTCTATTTATCACCTGGCAGTATGGTATGGATTGATGGTATATATACCTGGCAGCTGAGTACCGCCAATCTGTTCCATGGATGCACTTTTCACGAACCCATGATTGATACTAGCAAACGAGTAACAATTTCCGATCAAATATCATAAACTTACACTAATGGATACCCAATAATAACCATGAGTCATTTACCTCACAACTATCTCTACATCCACAACTCAATGATGCCAATCACCAACCCAACCACACAACAGATCAGATAAGATAACAGCACGTGCCGCCATCAACACCACACACACACACACACTTAACGTCATGCAATAGCTATCATCTAGTAGCTCCCCTCATCATCTCATCTCATCGCTTTTAACTCACACACAACCACCATCCACCCCCCAATTAGTATCCCTTTATTTTACAAAATCAACACACATACAAATACACGAAAATGCCCCCCAAACCAGGCCCCTACCTCCCCCTACTCTCATCGCACCTAACCTCCTCCCCCACCTCCACCTCCATCTCCCTCACCACCCTCTCAACCCACCCCATCACTCGCACCCCACAGCCTCGTTCCCGCACCGTGGAATTCCGCGGCTTCTTCCCAACCTTAAACCTACACTCCTCCGCCATCCAGTCCCTCAAGGATCAGCACATAGGCCTGAACCCCGATATCTACGAGTCGGAGATGATTGCCCTCACGACGGATAAGCGGATGGAGAAGGTGCAGGAGATGGAGAGCTCGGGGGGTGTAGTTGAGGCGGTGTTTTGGTTGAAGGAGGTGGGGAATCAGTGGAGGGTTAGGGGGAGGGGGGTTATCATTGGAGGGGATCCGGAGGATCAGGGGGAGAGGGAGGGGAGGGGGTTTATTGAGAAGGGATTGAGGAGGAAGGAGGATGGAGGTAATGGGGAGGGTGATGGGGAGTGGAGCTGGGAAAGGCAGGTCGATATGTATTTTGCGAATCATTCGCCGGGAATGAGAGGTCAGTGTTTCTTCCTTCATGTTTTGGGGATGAGATGGGGATGGTTGCTAATGGGGATTGTAGGAACGTTTAAGAATCCACCTCCTGGTACGCTGCGGAGTCAGGATCCCGGGAACCCCGAGCTCAAGCTGGGTCAGAAGGTGGAGGACCTCAAGGATAAGGTTGCGAGGGAGAATTTCAGGGTCGTGGTGATTCGACCTGAGGAGGTCGAGAGGTTGGATGTAAATGATCCTTCGAATCCGATTCGGACGAGGTGGACGGCTGTGAGGGATGGGGAGGAGTGGGAGGAAGTGGATTTGTGGCCTTGATTGATACATCTTTTTTTTCATTATTGATGGGGATAGGTGCTATTTTTGTTAGGGTGATAAAGGTGATGTTATGTGTTTCATTATTTTGTGTAGATTATATCATTGTATCTTTGTATGCTGTGTCGGACAATGCGACTAAATGAGAATATGTGATAAAGCCTGGCTCGTCTTTGAATGTAGCGGTGAGATAAACCCGAGGTTCATTATCTTGTTTGTCACGGCTTTGTTTCTTGTCCGGATAAAGCGTTTTGTGTGGACATTGCCGATGAGTTGTATTCTGAAACACATAATTAGCATAAAGAACACCTCCATCGGGACAACATCGTTGTGTTTCATGCCGGGATCAGTCTATAAATCGGCTATAGCCATCAGTAATTATTATCCACTCTGTCCTACCGTTATAAATCATAGCTGAATCGACTCTCTCCCTGTATTAACATCCTCCGCTGTGTAACCCACGAACAAACAAATCCTCAAACCCTCAAACCGACTACATGTCTTCGTCCACCGAAGGTGATAGACTCATCTGCCCCGTGTGTCGAGGCTACTGCGACGTTTCAGACAATTGTCCCACGTGTACTGCCGCTGAACCGGCTATGCTCAAGGCGGAAATCTCCGATTCGCAGGACGACACTGCTTTGAAGATGGCTCCGTCTGCTGAAGATTCCCCCCAGCAGGTGGGTTGCCCCCTTGTTGAATTGATGTGGAGCAGCGCTAACGATTGTTTGTCAGGATAATTCCGAAGCTTCATCTGCCACAGCCAAGGCAACCTCGGCTCCTCAGTCCCCTTCTGCTCCCCAATCGCCCCAAGCTCCGCCTCCCCCTCCTGCCGCTCCAAAGAAAACCTCCAAGACCGTCAAGATGTCCAAGAAGATGGAATCTTCCAGCTCTTCCAGTAACAGCCCACAGAAGGAGAAGTTGACGCCGGCCTGTGCGCCATGCAAAAAAGCAAAGAGACGGTGCGTGCACCGCAGCGTTATTCCAGGTGGGTTACTATAAATTTTTAGTACAACTTATTTATTGCTAACGTGGCATAGACGCGGAAGGACAAGGGACTTCCCAGCCCCCCAAGAAGCGCAAGCAGACTGCTGAATCAGGGGCCAATCCTAAGAGGGCCCGCAAGGATTGCGGCGATGCCAGCGGCGATAACGATACTGGGTCTGAAGGGGGGCAGCCCATCAAGCTCAAGTTTAAGAATGTCGAGTTCGAGACCGCTGAAACAGGCGAATCGAGCACACCGAAGAAGAGGGGTAGGCCATCCAAGACATTGCCTGGCAATGCTGAAGTTGGGACTCTGCCTAGTATAGAGGAAGAGGAGGAAGAAGAAGAAGAAGTCCCACGCAAGCGAGCAAAGGATAAAAATTATGGGTTTCCAAAGGATAGCCTCCTTGCGGCGTCAAGAGTGACGGCCTTCAAACACTTGGACAAGCAATTACAAGACAAGATAGTAGACTGCGAGGACAAATGGAAGGCGGCCAAGGATACTATCGAGGAAATCCGGTATATACTGAATAAATGGATGGAGCTTTGGGAACATGGCAAGGTATAATGATCGGTACGGATTATACTTCTTTCTTGCGTCCGTTTCAACAAGACCGTCATGAGTTATCTGGTTTCTTTGAAGTTAACAAAGGGGTATTTTTTCTTTGTTTATTGCTGTCCTCATATTTGATCTCGGCGTTAGGAAGGCAGCTAGTGTCCGGCGTCACGGATTGATTTGGACTGCCAGAGCCTAGCCCGACGAACTATTCGGGTCGAACAAGCTAGAAATGGACAAAAACACCTCATATTATTAGGCACGGGGGTATCTCCGTTGAAAATGATAATGAAATGCATCAACATATTGCCTGACTTACCACTGGCGGCCGGCCCGGGGGAGTGCAGCGGGACAAACTTGCTGCACAGCTCTAAAGTACCGCAGGGGTGGGGGAAACCTCGCAATGCAGTGGAATCAGCAGACAGGAATGACATGGTAGCTGAGTATTTAGTACACCGAAATCCAGGAATCATGGACGAACAAGTCATCATGCCCAGGACCGTTCTCCAGGATTATCTGGGATCACAGCATAACATGCCGCGAGAACAAAGCCAACCATGTTTGATGGCTCTGTCATCCCACGGCTCCGTGCGGGACGATCGGCGGTCCCGCAGCCCAATCCAACAAGAAGAGCAAGACATAATGGGAGGAATCCTGGGCGGGTCACGGCCTTGCAGTGGTCGAGGCATCTGTCAGTCAATGGCAGAATATCCTGGTCATTTCCGAGAGCTCTGACTCGTCTTGAGATCCCTGCCTGGCCGTGGGCACCGGCCGTTACGTGTCATGACTTTCTTGGGTAAAGTCGCCGTTAGCGAGTCTTGGATGACTTTCGGCTTTGACCGGAGATTTCAAGTTCATTCCTTGCAGCTGCGACATTGGACAATGGCTTGATGCAGACCCATGTCGATGGAAGTGGTTAGGGTGTTGTGATTGATTGACTGATGAGGGATGGCTGGTCCGTGGTGTCAAAGGCAGAGTTCTTTGTGACGGGTTGGTTCTGTGCCAGCACGTGTTCCGGCTCGAAATTTTTTGACTATAGACTATCTATTTATTACTTACAGTAGTTGTGGATGAAACTGCCACTGGACGTGTTTGGAATATATGGGGAGGAAAGCTTCCAGAATGCCACACACGGGGACCTCATTTCTGGAAGGCCTTGTTGCTGGTGCCGGTCGGGTTTCATCTGTGACGGGAGCTCGTCTAGAGGTTTCCTCCGAACCCAGCCTGACACTACTGCTGCTGCTGCTGCTGCTCGTTCTCCTGCTCCTCATTGATCATCACCTTATGATGCTTATTATTATCTGGGTTCCCCCTCACGATGGTAAGATACAGAGGCATGAAAACACTCACCGCTGGTCCGGTGGTGTCTTAGCAAGGACTTAGTAACAAGTTGGGGAGCACCGAATATGTACTTTGGGTGTAAGTACTTAGTCGCACAACACAGTCTTCGTCTCGTAAGACAACCAGCCTGCAACCAATCCGGGGCCCCCGAACAATGACAAAGAAGTGGAAAGAGGGAGTGGAACCAGCCATGGGATTGCCCGAGTGGCCCGGCACTGGCAGGGGCACCCCTGTCAATGGAAGCATATCGAGGAACCCTAATAATAATACCGAACATTGCTTACTACTTTCGCTCTAGTCCATAGTTACATACTGGTATCCCCCTGGTCGTCGTCATGTGAAAGAGCGGGCTGAAATATTACGGTATTGCATCCTGCTGCATGGCTCAGACCCACGCTTCGGGCTTCACTTTCGGGGACGTCACTCACCCTCGCAGTAAATAGTAATAGTATTCTTCTTCTTCTTCTTCCTTCTTTGGTCCTGTCAGCTCCTTCACAACCAACTCACTTCTCCTTCCATTGCTTCTCTTTTCTGCCCTCCTTTCTTCCCCTCTCCCCCCCCCTTCTTTTCATCCACCTGATGGTGGTTTGATCCTCTAGTGTCAATCACCTCTACTCTTCCATCATTCATTCTACCTTCTTCTTCCCCGGTACCTTATTTTCCTCCTCCCGCCCACTAGCTCGACACCGCTCTCGTGCGCAGTCCCCGATCCATGGAACAGTCGTAGGTTCCTGAATCCCTGCACCTTTGTTCTCATCACCACCGCCCATCGGCTGTTCACGACTCCACGACGAAACGAATTCGCTACTTCGACCATCATCCACTCTGCCGTCAAATCAGTTTTTAGTTATTTTCTCCTTGCTAGCGACCGAGACGGCTGGGAACTTCTCTAGAGTGGGCCTGGTGGATCACCAACCACACACTTGACTTTCCGCCCGGAAGTACAGATCCGGTCTATGAAGCACATGTTCTCCTTCGCCTCACACTGAATTCACATTATGCCTGCTCAAATGGACGCCCTGGGGGCTTTCACCCACCTTACCGAAAACATTCCCTCCTGGATCGATCGACTTGCAGAATTATCTGCCCACACTGCTGCGAAACACGCAGAATACGCCGAGGCCTACAGAAGGCATGTTTCGGTGAGACCGCGCCGTCGCAAGAACAGCTCTGTCTGCTCCATCCGAACCGAGGACCTGCGCTCGTCGGCCCCCGAGACAGAAACTCGCCCTCAATCTTCCGCAGCGGCAACAAACACCACCGTCACGACGCCTAATACCTCCCAACACGAAGCGAATGTGAACCCTCGTAAACGGGGTGCTGAAGATGCACCCTCCATGGAAGCCAGGGACAGGGACCTGCTTGTCAGTACGCGCAACAACCTCATCATTCATTATGACGGCCACACGCAGCACGTTTTGGAGGAAATGGTGCGCCATATCGGAACAGCTCGCAACAACATTCGCAAAGGCAGAATGACTCAGCTGCCGTTGCCAGGATATCGCAGCAAGATGCTGGACAGAAGCGCAAGGATGAATAGCTTGGCCCCTTCACTTTCCCCCTCCGAGTCCGGCGAAGACGATGTGTTATCTAGCATCCGCAAAGCCCGAACCCGGGGCCCTCCGGTGCCTCGCGCCCCGGAGATGCCCAGAGAGTCGCCATTTGATATGGCGGAGAAGCAACTGGAACTGGTGCACGGAGTGTGTGAGACGGCTGCATACCAGTTTCTTCGGTCCGGAGACTGTTCGACGGAGTTGAGCAGCGTAGAAAGCAAATTCAAGAGCCTTCTAGACCTGGCTACCAATGAGGTCCGCCGCTTGAAGGCCGAACAGCCCCAGGAACCGACTGTTGAGGAGGACGAGACGGAAGCACCGGCTATGGAACCCGCGACCACGACCATTGAGGTTGACAGGCAATCTTTGTCGAAGATGGACACCATTGAGGTGGATGATAGTGCGCAGTCAGTGGAATCAATCGACTTGACAGCTTTTCGCGCTAATCGCCTTCGCCGAGGATGAGCCATGGCGACTCACATACAGCATTGCGGGCGCACTCCTTTCGCGTGGTTGGGTTGCATACCCTTCAATATTCATTCTACATAAGCGACGATACCACCGGGATACTTTTTTTTATTTTGCTTTGTGTTCCATCCCTGTCTCTTTCTGAAGCTGCATTTTTCTAGCCATTTACTATTGATCATATCTCATCTACAAGCGTGACTGTCATTAAAGCGCGTGGAGTTGGCTGGGGCATTTGTTTTGTCTGGACTTTTATCATTCATCCCTTCCTTGCTATTCATCAAAACACCTCTTTCTATCTGCATACTAGTTGTTGTCAATGGGTATATATATTGTTCGACCACAAATTATCCACTCGATACGGACTCAATGGGTTAGTTATCAATGTGGTGCCAATGGCATCCAGTCTGTAACCAGGTTGCCTTGTCCCCCACGGGCATCTAGCTACATTTAGTGGTTGCCCAGTCCAGTCTATAGTAAGTATTACCTAGTGGGAATCGTCACAGGGGTGACAATACCATACCGGGCTCCATCCCTCGGGCTCCACTCTCATACAGACGGAGAAGGCGGAAATCTGACATTCCTTCCTCGTCGCTACTGTCCATAATTGGTCCATCGCCTCTTTAGCGATGTTGTTGAACCCCGTCTAGCCATTGAACCTGGAGCTGATCCAGTCCCGGCCCCGCCGCGATGGACCAGATTCCAGTGCGAATCCGGGAGGGATTGACAGCCGCGACCGGGTCGGAGCAATTTAGTCTGCTGGCACACAAAACTTCTCTTTCTCTTCCTTTCCAACCTCCAATGGTTGTCGTCTCGCTGCCTTGTTGATGGTGGATGTGGATCTTTTTGTTCGCGGGGTCGTTGTATTGAAGGTGTGGTATGGATCCCGTCCCGTCCCAGACTTTCTTTTCCACACACACACAACCCCCCCGCCTCTCCTTAATCTATTGTTTCTGCAGTGTTTTATGGGGTATTTTCGCTGAAGACTGCTTAATTATTTGACAGTTCGTAGTAGGAGATGGATTATGGGTTCAATACTGATAAGCCGGTCTGCATGTAAATCAGCAAAACTACCAAGTAAACTGAGTGATTTTTATCTTCACCGAAACGCATCCGCGGCATAGCCGGCGCCGCCGAGGCACCGATCTCGCTCGCTCGCTCTCTCTCTCGGCTGCAACTTGGCTTCTACACAGTAGACGAGTCCATTACTGTCTGTTGTTAGTAGTTACCCAGCGGGCAGTAACCGTAAGCCCGGTCACTCTCTAAACTCTCCAAGCATTAGGCTTCCCCCCACCCGAACCACAACTGTTCTTACAGGGGGGGGTTGTGGACATGGATGTTTAACGTTAATCCAGGTCATTTGGCCACTACTCAACTAACTTTAACTGACTCAGGATTATATTACTCTGTGGATGGCATCTAAATGGCTGGCTCTGCGCGAACTAAAATTAATGTCAGCATCGTATTTTGCGAACTATACTCTATTGGTTTTACTCGCTTAGGAAGTCATCTCTACCCGAGGGTTTAGTCTCGCGTGTGTCTGAAGAATAACATCGAGGTATCGACTTTAGAGTCGAGAATCAAGGATTAGTGAATATGCGAAACTTATTCGGATCCATAGCACCTTGAGGAGATTTGGCTATCTCCAATCTCTGCGAGTAAAACCATCAAGCATAGTGATTATATAAAAAGGCCAGAGTCTACGGCCCTGCTAGTATGTATATGCTCAAGTCCTTTTTGATGAAATCACACTGACCATGGCATGTGCAGAATGTCTGGACTTATCTGGTCCGCCTAGATGCTTTTCTATCTCATGCTCCTATCCGAGTAGTACAAGCGGTCAGATGTGGCCACGACCTGACCGTTTACCGGTCGTACCTGCCTTTCCGTGGCCTGTGACTAGACAAAATGTCCCAGTCGATAATGTTCCAACGGAGCTGCATTCTGGCTCCTGATCCCAAACCCAAGGGTATTACTATGTCCACCTGATTACGCATATCACTATTATGCCCGGCTATCATTATAATCTGTTCCTCTTCACTATGGCCCTTTAAGGACCTGACAAAAACCCTAGACCATGCGCTCCTCTCAGTGTTGCGGCAATGTCCAAACCCAACAGTCAAAGGCCACTCCACGTTATCATAGTGGGTGCCTCGATCGCTGGCCTCACTCTCGCCCACTGTTTGTCCAACACTGGAGTCAAATTTACCCTTCTCGAAGCAAGATCGGATACATATCCCGATGGTGCTGGGCTTGCCATCCTTCCAAATGGCGCCCGTATTCTCCACCAGTTGGGACTGTATCAAGAGATGTTGGTCCAGGGTCAATGCATGGTATCGCATAGCACTTGGCTTGAAACCGGACACCTCCTGCGACGAGTTGATGCGGGACGAATTCGATCTTTCAGACGGTATGCGTCCGGTGTGTCCTTGGAAGGGATGCGGACTGACTGCGTGTAGAACTGATTATCCTGTCCTCGTTATCTCCCGACGGGCACTCCTAGGCATTCTATATACTCGCCTCCAGAGCAGTCGGCTGTTCTTCAATCGACCAGTCGTCCGCATAGTGTCATCTGCGGATAATGTTACGGTTCATAGCGCAGATGGCACGAGTGTTTCCGGTGATCTGGTGGTTGGTGCGGACGGCGTTCATAGCACCGTGCGTAAGCAGATGTGGCATCATATCCGTGAAGCCAATGGTGCTATTGCCAGCTCTCGCTGGTTATCTGAAGTCCCCTTGACCAATTCCTTCGCTGGTGTTTTCGGTGTCGCTCAGTCGATTCCCAGGCTGTATAGAGGAGACGTCCATCGGACTTATGGACATGGCTGGTTAACAGTTATTATGGTGGGAGCGGACTCCAGAGTTTGCTGGTTTATGTCGATTGCGCGCACAATGATGCCAGTGTTGAACTCGCGCCACACTTCCGACCGCGCCTGCGTATCCAGGATCGTTGAACCTTTTCTGGAGAAGCATGTTACCAGCGACGTCACATTTGGCGAAGTCTTCAACCGCTCTGAATCATGCATATTGGCGTCACTGGAAGAAGGATTTCAAAACAGATGGTCCTGGGGCCGATTTGTAGGGATAGGGGATGGGGTACACAAGGTAACTCTCGCACACCTTGAATGCGTCATGGTGGGGTAGTTGACAATGATCTATAGATGGCACCGAACATAGCAGAAGGTGCCAATTGCGCCATTGAATCCGCCGCATCGCTTGCGAACCATCTAGTTTCCTTCACCGACGAATCCCCTTCTTTGTACACAGAAGAACGACTCACTCCAATGTTGAAGGCTTGGGAAGATTCACGTAAGCGCAGAGCGAGGGGTCTATTTCTCGTCTCATGGTGTGCGGCCCGCATAGAAACGACAACTAGCTGGGTGCTCAAGGTACAACAAGTGTTTCTTGCACAATTTCATGCAACGGGAATTGGCTTGCTTACTTCGATCACCTCGCGTACGGCACGAGTAGACCATCTTCCTTTACCACTGCCGCAAAAGAGCAGTACACAGCAAGTCCCGAAGAACAAAGAGCACGAAAGTGTATGGAACCTTCATGTGTTACTACTTCCCCTAGCAGCGGCAACCAGCTTCATGTTCTATGCTTTGCATGCCCTGGTGATGTAGACAATGAATCATCACTCTGGGCCAAGGGTGGTTGGTTTTTAAGAATGACAGGATATTATTATTAACTGCGTTGTTTTCACACAGAAACAAATTAAACGATCCAACAGGCAGCTAGTATGTGTAGGCTAGAGTTACCAGAAGCGATCAGAGTGAGGGACTTTATGGCTTTGTTGAGGGGCGAGGTTAGTGTCAAAAGTAGTCAGTCCTCCGCCGTCTTTCACACGCTTGAGGGATTTACCCAAGCCACTGATCTCAACCGCACTCCATCCTCCGGTCCAAATTTCCTCAACCACTGGTTCTGGTAAAACCCGCAGGTGTCATCGGCCGGGGGTTTCTATCAATCTATCACCAGGCAATGCTCGCATGGCATCCGCACTGACCTTGCGCGTGGTTGACAGTCTGAGCCTCCACTTCCTACTATAAAATCTGTCGCGCACGGTGAGATTTCAAGTTACTGCATACAAAAACTTTTTGCGTTCTATTCTGTATTGTCCTGCTCTTCTCGCGTGGTGTCTTTTTTCTCTCAACCGGCTGGACTGGGCTCCTCTACTTCTTCAAGATGGACGCGAAGTCAGGCGTGTCACTCAATGCCGAAGCGACTCGTCTCCGCTGGCAAGAAGGCGACGAAGAGTCAGGCGTAGCAGCCAGGATAGACCCCCCGCAGCTTTCTCGAACGACATCAGTGGCATCCAACAGCTCTGCTCGCAGTCGCGCACGAAGAGCGACCGTTGACCCCTCCCTTTCTCTGCCAATTCATTATCGTACAGTGTCAGTGCTGCACTCGGTATGGATAAACGCTCATTGAGCGCTGACATCATTTGAATAGTTCATTTGATATCGATGAGGCAAGAGACCGTGAACGAGCGGAGGCTGCAAAGACAAAAAGCAATGTCGCGACCGGTATGCTTCCACTCAGTTGCCGATCCTTTGTCAGGAGCCCTCCGTGCTGACGATAGCTTTCTAGATCTCTCCAATCTCGACTGGCACATGATTTCTCCGGAGGAAATACAGAAACGATGGCGAGTGGACATCTCTCAAGGCCTATCGCACGATCAGGTCCAGCAACGGGTCCGTGAGTTTGGGAAGAACGCTCTGTCTCCGCTGCCACACCAATGGTTCTGGCAGATCTTTGGCTATTTCTTCAAAGGCTTCGGGGGCATCCTACTGATTGGCTGCATACTCGTGTTTATCTCTTGGAAGCCCTTGGGACAGCCTCCCGCTCCGGCAAATCTTGCCTTGGCTATAGTCCTGCTGGCAGTGTTCTTCATTCAGGCGGGTTTTAACGCGTGGCAAGACTGGTCGTCCTCTAGGGTCATGGCTTCAATCACAGCAATGTTACCTGAGAGCTGTCTTGTTCTCCGGGACAGCTCTCTGGTGGTAGTCTCTGCTCCGGATATTGTCCCTGGAGACGTAGTACATCTCAAAGCGGGAAACAAGCTACCTGCAGACGTGCGCTTGGTTGAGGTCTCCAATGACGTTTGCTTTGACCGTTCTATTTTGACTGGTACGCTACCATCCGAAGAGCTGGCAGCATGGGCTAATGAATCGTTTAGGCGAGTCGCTGCCGGTCAACGGGACTATCGATTCCACGGATGACAACTACCTTGAAACTCACTGCATTGGACTTCAGGGAACACATTGCGTCGCTGGAAGTGCAGTCGGTGTGGTTGTCTCTACTGGAGACTCGACTGTCTTTGGTCGAATTGCTAAATTGACAAGCGAACCCAAGAAAGGACTGTCTACTCTCGAAAAGGAAGTCTTGCGATTTGTATTGTTGATCGTTATTATCATGCTCACGATGATTATCATTGTCATTGTGGTTTGGTATGTAGTTTCCCGTAACCATCACGCTTGCTTACTGACATCCACAGGGCTACATGGCTCCGAGTCGACCATCCAGGGTGGATTAACGTGCCAACACTCATCGTCGACTGTGTCAGTGTTGCAATTGCCTTTATTCCAGAAGGCTTGCCAATTGCCCTGACTGCAAACCTGACCATTACCGCCAATCTCATGAGCAAGAACAAAATTCTGTGCAAGTCTCTGAAGACGGTTGAGACATTAGGTGCAGTTTCGGTGATCTGTTCCGACAAGACTGGAACTTTGACAAAGGTCTGTCCTATACCATCCAGGCTCCAACTCTGCTAACTCATATGCCTGGCTTCAGAACAAAATGTTTGTTACCGATTGCGCTCTCTCAATGTCTCATTTTAGCACAGAGCTAGCGAGAGACGAAATGGTAATCAAGGGAAGGAAAACCGGAATGCATCAGCTTCGTGGTGTTGCTGGCCTCTGCAATGGAGCAGAGTTCGATGCCTCATCCCTGAACAAGCCCCTTCATGAGAGAGAAATCCACGGCGATGCAACTGACCAGGCTGTCTTGAGGTTCTCTGAAGGCCTTGGGTCAGTTGCAGAGCTGCGGCGTACCTGGCGGAAGACATACGAACTGGCATTCAACAGCAAGAATAAGTTTATGGTCAGGACTTTCAGTCTGGTCGAATCCGCAGGATTGAGTCTTGGAATGTCCGCAGCGGAATCAGCCCAGTTCAAGCGGAACGATACGTTAGTCAAACCCCTTCTCTGGTCACTGCCCGTGCTAATAATCTCAGTCTTCTTACTATAAAGGGCGCACCCGACATTCTGATTGAGCGATGCACACAGGTTGTAGATACAGATGGAAGCGTACAACCTCTGGATGGACGGATACTTGCTCATATTAAATCTGTCAAGGATCAGTGGTCTAGTGAAGGCAAACGTGTGATCCTGCTTGCCCGGAAAGTTCTTCCAGTTTCAGATATTACGCCCCTTCCTTCGTCCAGGGAATTCGAATCGCACGTCATGTCTCACGCGAAAACGGGCTTGATTCTTGTTGGCCTGGTGGGCATAGTCGATCCCCCGAGAGAAGAGATTCCTGGTGTGGTCAGAACACTGAGGCGCGCGGGAGTCCGCATCTTCATGGTTAGCTTCTCTACCTGGAATCCGGATATGTCTGCTAACTGCCCATAGGTGACTGGTGATTATGGGCTCACTGCTCTGGCCATCGCCCGACAATGCGGTATAGTTAGCACTCACGGACCAGTCGACACTGCCTCGTCCCTGAAGCGGCTCCTTGAGTACGATGAAAAGCCACCTAGTACTCCATCTACCATGGCAATTACACTGAGCGGGTCTGAACTCATGAGCTTGAACGACCACCAATGGGAACAGCTATGTCAGTACCAAGAGATTGTCTTCTGGCGTACCACTCCGGAACAGAAGTTGCGTATTGTCCGTGAATTCCGCGCTCGCGATGAGATTGTCGGCATGACCGGCGATGGAGTCAATGATGCACCATCCCTCAAGGCTGCAGACATTGGAATTGCTCTGGGAAGCGGCTCCGACATTGCCATCGAGGCGTCAGACATGGTATTGATGGAATCATTCTCAGCTATCGTCGAAGCGGTGCAATATGGCCGTGTAGTTTTCGACAACCTGAAGAAAACCATTGTCTATCTTCTACCAGCCGGTTCCTTCTCTGAGTTCTGGCCCGTGTTCACCAGCGTTGTGTTCGGTCTTCCTCAGGTCCTGTCTTCTTTCCTGATGATTATCATCTGGTAAGCACCGCACGAACACATACCACCCTCACAAGAACCCAGCCCTCCTTACTCACATAACCTACCTAGTTGCTTCACCGACTGCGCCGCAGCAACCGTCCTCGCCTACGAGGCCCCAGAAGCCGACGTGCTCCTCCGTCCACCCCGAAAGCCCAAACAAAATCGCCTCGTGAACTGGAAACTGATCTTCCACGCCTACGGCATCCTCGGCATGATAGAAACAATCGCCTCATTCGCAATGGCCTACTGGTACCTCGAGCGCAACGGGATCCCCTTCTCAGCCCTATGGTTCAAGTTCGGCGCAACCCCAAGCAACATTGACAGCGACTGGCTCAATGCCCGACTCAACGAAGCAAGCTCCGTTTACTTTATCAACCTCGTAGTCATGTATGCATCTCATCTCATCTCCAACTCCCTCTATCAAGCCCCACGCTAATAACTTTTTCAGGCAATGGTTCAACCTCATGGCTGTCCGAACCAGACGTCTCTCCATTTTCTCGCACCCACCGGCCTTCAATAAACAGACTCAGAACCTGCTTCTCTTCCCCGCGATCCTGTTTGCATTGGCGATGGCCGTTTTCTGGCTATATATCCCGCCGTTGCAGAGGGTGCTAGATACGAGCAGCGTTCCGGTGGAGCATTATTTCTTGCCGGCTGCCTTTGGGCTGGGGATTCTTATACTGGATGAGTTGCGCAAGGCGGGAGTGAGGAGGTGGCCTGGTGGGGTGTTGGATAGGTTTGCTTGGTAGATTTACTTGCTTTGTGAGTTGTTTACTGGGTGGGGTCTCTTATCTGGTGAGTTAGTTTGTTTGACTTCGTTGCACATATAGTTACGGATCTGTGGACGATAGTGTAAGTAGTAATCTGATATCCCTTTCTTTTCCTTTCCCTATATGATCTACTTCGGCATGATACATCCAGAATCTACAGTACGATCCAGACACCAAAAAAATATGAAAGAGAATGATAATTCCACATAATGTATATTGCTCAACGTGACGACTTTTTCAACCAAAATTCCCAATCATGTACAGGCTAACACCTCGAGATCCAAAAAAAGCATAGCATAGCAGAAGCAACCAAAGTTACGCACGTGAGTCGTCAGATCCGGAGCCAAATCGAAATCGAAATAAAAAGATTACAATGTAGAAAATAAAATAAAAGCCGCAAGAGGGGTATTCTTTACAGACGGAATCACCAGAAATAAGGATTGCCGTAGACATCCTGGTAGCACTGATAGGCGTCGGGGCAGCTGTATTCTCGTTAGTATTATTATTTCTCCACTACTCTTTTTAGACTCAACCCGAGGAACAGGGGAGGGGGGAACGTACTAGACCGGATCCTTTCCAAAAATAATATGCCATGTATACTCCATCACATGGGCACTCAAATCATCCGACAACCCTGTATTCAACACCCAGTCATAGAACCACGTGTAGTGCTCCAATGGCCGCTTGAGGACCTGCTCCCTCGACACAGCGAATTGCGAGCAGCACGCCACTCCAACCACATCCGGTACGTTGGTGTTGTTGAACAGCTCCACCCACGCCTGCGCGTACACGCGCTCCGCCGTCTTTCCGAATTGCGGGGGGTCTCGGAAGGGGCGAATCTCATCGGGACAGCCGGGCGTCTGCTGGCACCGGAGGTTGACGTAGCCGTTTCGTTGCACGAAGTCGGTTTGTAAGGCTCGGATGGAATCCACGTTGCTGTAGGCCATGGTGTCGGTGTGCCAGGCGCCGGGCCAGCCGTCTTTGTGGCTGTGGAGGAAGACGATCGTGCTGGGGAGGTCGTCGTAATGATCCACGATGTATTGGAGGTAGGCGAGCGATTCGCGACCCTTGTTCTTGGGGGTGTGCCGGGGTGCGGTCACGTCGTCGACGGTGTAGATGACGTTGCGCCATCTGGTGATTCAGTTTTGTTAGGGATTTGGTTCGATTGTGAGAGGGTGTGCAATTAGGATACGTACTCTGCCAGATCATTGCTCACCCAGCTGGTGTCCTCGGTAGATAACTTTGCCATGACGATAACGCGATCATTCGGGACGATAATGGGAGTGGTTTCGTAGAGTGGACGCGAGACGGCCGAATCGGAGGAGCCTTTGGTTTTGCCATTGCTGTTGCTGTTGTCGCTGCCGGTAAGAATAGGTTTCGAGTTCTTCGGAGTTGACACCCCGTCGTTGCCACTGTTCACATTGTTGCTGCTGCCATCCGCTGCAGATTCGGCGGAGAAGGAGCTGAAACTCCAGCCGGACTGAACGCGCGCATCATCCTGGACGAGGTCGAGGTGGCGTTTAATGAGGATGATGGCGAGGATGATAAGTGCAGCCGCACCAATCCGGTAGGATAGTCTCATTTCATAACGCGCCTGCGAAAAGCCCAGGCTGAGACCACCGAATGGGATTGGAAGGGAGGGAAGGGAGGGCGGAAGAGAGAGAGAGGGAGAAGGAGAAAAGCGAAAGCGAGAGAGCGAGAAGGAGAAAGAGGCAACGTGGGAAGAAAGATCCGACGAAGGGGTTTAGTGTTCAGCCAGTTGATTTTGGTGAAATTAACCAGGACGGGATTGTTACCAGGTACGGGGGTCTGGGAAGTACAGGAAAGAACAGCCGAACGATGGAAAATTGAAATGCAAATAAATTCTTAAACTGAATTAACGGCAGCGACTTGCTGACTCTGACGCCCGCCCGCCCGCTGGAGGCTTATCTCCCTGGGGGGCGCTTGGCGCCGATTGGTGGGTTTCCGGGCGGGATCATCAGGGATTCTTACCATTACTCGAATTACCACCGATTCTTTTCTTACATACGGTATGTGAACAGGTCTGTTAGTTACATGGTAGCCTAAATAGCAGGCAGTCACTTCTACTCGGGGATACGAAATGCGAGATTGCTATGGAGTCGGGTAAAACAATAATCCCAAAATGTTTCAGACCTGTCGGTATAAATAGTCTCAGTCATCATTCTAGACTCGGGCGCGAAGGATCAAGCTTTGTCGAGGATGGAGTAGTCTMTAAATAGTGATTATTCTCGCCTCGTCCTATTTTAAACCATTAAGGAACGTAGTAAAGCAGATAAAAGCATTAGCCTCGTTCTAGTTTCAAAATTTAGAGTACAATAAAGTCCCTGACTCAGATGAACCCCTCGCATGAATTTTTCAATTAGCAGCTGTAATCTTCGATTGTTTCTTTCCTTTCCTTTTTCTCTCTCGTCTCCCCATCCACTGCCGATCCCCCCCAGCGAAAAAAACAATCCGTCGGGCTCCGTGCGACAATCACATTTATCGCCAGGGTCCAAAGGATACTAACCACTATCCGTGCATTAGACCGGTCGCAAAAACAGCAAAGTTTCTCCGTGAAGAATACTACCATAACCCCCGCCTCCAATAAGGATCATCTCTCTCACAACCAGTCAAATCCATCCTGGTGCGACGACCTGCGCTGTCAGAAACGCTGACACTGACAGTGGCAGGCAAGTCCGATCCCATCCCGTCTCTAATCGGGCTACGATCCACAGCCACCGAGTCTATCTCAAACGTCCCACAACTTGGGCCAGTCCTACTGGCCAGCTGGCTTCTCCCGGCTGAACCCTGAATATCCACCCGTCAGCAGGGCTGTGTTGCTGCCGTTTTTCACTGTTTTTACACGGTAACTTACAGTGTGATTACCAGAGAATGCTATGAAAAGCAGCGTTGAAACCGACCATCTCATTATTTAAGTAGGAATATGACTGACATCATGGTAGATGTGACTATTACCTCCCAACCGAAGAAATCCGAGTCAAGGGTTTATGTCTGAACCTATAACAGAGAAACGAGTTGTCTGTGTTGTCTTTGTCGTTGCCGACAACATTGCCATAGAGGGCAAGGATCTGAATATGCCAAGCAACCAAGCATCGACCAGCTGCAGGGTCAATTCATTGACGAGCAGTCAATTACCCCACTGTCTTTTGTTTTTCTTTTCCTTTACCATATGCAAATGCTCATCGTTGAGGGGATATCAAGTGTTGCCTTGATCGATCCGGGTTGCGCCCCAGGCAGTTTCAACTTAAAGGACAACCCCAGATCCGAGAATCACCCTTTGCGCCCGAAGGATTGCACGCAAATGAGCTATCACATACGGAGTAATAGCGAAGAGCTTAACCTAGAATCCTACTTAGGTATGTAAGTAGTTAGTACTGCAGTGACCAGCTGTCCCAACACAAAAGCGTATCAATCAATCAATCAATCAATCAGATTCCTGTTCACCCCCACATGATCCCTGCCGATCCGTCTATTCGTCCATCCATCAATGGACGGAATTATGTCTGCAGACTTTATCCATTATATCTACCATGGCCTATAACATGATAAATACGAACTTATGCAAGTGTCGGGGATACTACGTACACACTAGCAGGATATAGCACCAGTCTGAGATTATATCTCCGGGGTAACTGTGAAGAACCGAGACGAGTAATTGATGAAAGTCGACACAGTAGTAGTCAAACACGAAATCCTATGAGATCACTTCTCATATTTGACAATTATCCCCTGGAGTTATGTACAATCGGACTGGAACTGCCGTAGTACTTCTGGACGGTGGCACATAATATTGTCGCGTGGTGGCACTGCTTATTATGCGATGATATACCCCGGCCATGAGCATGTGATGTTGTCTTGAGTATGACAGCATTAATGCTTACTCTTTATTTACTGTTATGTGTTTGACTTTTGAGCTTACGGGTTTTTATTTGGGGGTGTTTGTATATCAAAAGAAATACTAACTTACTGCAGAAGTAGTACTAGGAGCCAAATTGATCGAAAGTTGCATAGCTCATTGTGGTTCTGGCTCGGGCAACATCCTGTGATGAAGGATATATTTTCCGAACTGGAGCGGCATTGGCTCCTCAACAAGAAGGAATTTAATCGGACTTTGTTAACTAGAACTCACTATGCTTCCGATTTCAACATGAATGAACTAATAAGGAAATTCTTTTACTTGTGTTATGGGAAAACAATTACTTATCTTCCTGGGCCTTGCTAACACTACGCGGGAGGCCCGGTCCTATATTAGCCTCGGTCGTTTCCATTGTCCATGGCTATGAATGGAATTACTCTGGTGTATACGAAAAACCGATACAAGTGAATTGGTGATCGGATTAATATATAATATGTCCAGAAACTAGGTACGCCACCGTATTAATTGGGTCGATTGAGTAGCATTGCCATTCGGCTTTTCCTTGGGCCTCCGGCGAAAGTGGCTTGAATGCTAGCGAGGTATAGATGCTGCCTAATATGGAGATTTTAACAAGCCAAAAAGCGATTCGGAGCACAGCACCTTCTAGTTATGCTCGGAGTTAAGAATGGAATTGTTTTACAAGACATAGATACAGTGAGTGCTCCGTACAGTGCTATGGACTATAAGAGGTTTCCCGATCAGGCAATATTAGTATGAAAGCACACCTTATGGCATCACTATAGTTTCGTCACAACACTTCAACATACAAAGCTAAGTAGCTAAGTAAGTAAAGCACATTAGCTCTATAATAACAGATATTAAGGTTGTTTTGTAAATACGCTTTCAAATAATATGGTTACAAGCCCAGAACCTAAGGTCGTCTCATGATATTTTACTGCTGGCGACTAGGAATTATAAGCCTGCAGGCTTATACTACTATACCTTCAAATAAGTTCTACTAATCCGCCCAGCCATCAAATAAGTGATTTTCAAGCAAATAGCACTTTCACACGATCATAATACCATCCGCTATCTCAAAGTCACCATCGATATTCGCTATCCAGTTTGACGTGAGCAATGTCAGTGAGAGTATTTAATATATGACAGATAAATCGAGCATGTTCATCTCCCAGTATTCAATGCATTCGATTGCATAACCTAGAAAGTGGAGAGTTATCGCATGGGGATAGTATCTCGATATTGCAATGTGCCGCCCGTCAGCGGTGGTCCAAGTGCACGGTCGCTGATTGCTTAGGCCGAACTAGTTGGATACTGAAGCCACCATCATTGTGCACTATCAATGCTCTAGGTACGGTGGTACCATCCAGTGGCCTGTGCCCTGGAATGACCCAGACTTTTGGGACTTGCGGCTGAATGGAAATTAAATTGCGTCGATGGGAAAAAGACCTGCTTCAACCCATCCTGTCATAACCCAGGCAATGCACGGATGACATTTTGACAGCCGGGTTGACGTGAGAGAGCACGAACACGAGATACGAAGTCGTGCTATAAGATTTCCAGATTCTTGATAGAGTCTGTGGCTGAAACAATGGGGGGTAAGCCAGGAAGCACGTAAGGGGCCAAGAAGGATTGCTGGTTGATTCAGCTGGGGCTGAATCATTCTTCATCGGTGACTGATTTGATTCCTCCTTCATCCTCTTCCATCCCATCCACTTGTCCTTGTCCTCATTATCCTCATCCTCTCAGGACCAGGACATTCACTCGATAGACAATAAGACGAACACCTGACCAGGGAAAGGTTCGTAAGTGATCGGCTGATCCGCGCACTGCCCTGTCATGCCGGGTTGAATCCATCGCTTTGGCTGGATGGCTGTGGTTAACTTGTTTCTTCCTTGAGCCTCGTTCCCGCGCCCTCCCTTTTCTTGTTTTCTCTCTTTCACCCTGTCCTTCTCTCTCCCTCTTCCTCCTTCCCTATTGTCTCTTTCCCCCCGTCCCCAACCCTCTCCTCGCCTTTGTTTTGAACTTTTTCTTTTTCTTTTGTTCACGAATTCCGTTCCCAACGCCTCCTGAATTCCTCATCCATCCGATCAATAAATTATCCGCTGGATCATGCAAATCCAGCTCTCCGGGTACCCCACCTTAGCCTCTACCCCGCCATGAGCTCTTCTCTCGAGGCTAAAATTGTTGTCCTCGGCGCCCAAGGTCAGTTTCTCCTTCCTCTTCTCTCTCAGACTCCACCCGACTAAAACCGCCCAGGCGTCGGCAAAACCTCCCTTGTCGATCGCTATGTCAAGAACGACTTCAACCCCTCCGCTACAGCCTCGACTGTGGGCGCCTCCTTTGTGACGAAGCGCGTCCTCGACAGCTCCTCCGATACCATCGTTCGACTTCAGATCTGGGATACAGCCGGTCAGGAACGTTTCCGCAGCATCTCTCGTCTCTACTACCGCGGCGCCAATGCCTGCCTTCTCTGCTACGACATTACCGACGAGCAAAGCTTCCAAGAAATGACCGGCTGGCTAGCGGAATTGAAGAAGAACATTGTTGAAGACGACCCCATTGTGATTCACGTCGTCGGAACCAAAACCGATATTGTTACCCTTGATCCCTCTCGGCGAAGAGTCCCCTTCGAACGCACCATCGCCTACGTCGCGGAGCAGCTTTACCCAACACAAGCATCCACACCGCCCGCGACGGCCGGCCTGGGCGGGCATTCATCCAGTACACTCGCAGGAGTTGATAGCAAGCGCAGTAGTGCGTTCTGGGGCCAGGATATCGGGTGGGATTGTTGCCATGAGATTAGCGCCAAGGATGGTGAGGGTATCGAGGAGGTATTCCGGGTCATAACGCGGAAACTGGTCGAGCAGCGCAATAAACGGGAAGCGGGAACAAGTTCATCGCAGCGATCATCGACGGTTTTTGACGGAACGACGTCTTCTCTGACCCCCGGAAATATCGATGGGAATGGGAGCTTTCGCTTGGGGTACGGGGACAAACGCCGCAGCTGGTTAGGATTTCCGCCCAGTAGTGTGGGGGATGAATTGGAAGATATTGTGGAGGGTCCTAAGCGAAAAGGAGGACAGTGTTGCTGAGCTACTATCCTCCTGCTGGTTTTGATGATGTGACGACGACGGATGTTCAGTCTCTTATTTGTTCTCCTGCATTTTGACTTCCATGATGATGACTGACTGCATTATGAAGCTCGGCTGGCGTTATTGTTGCATTGTGCCTTTTCTGACGTTATGCTGATGTTGTTCGTGGTTTATGATGCGCATTTGCATGGTTTGTGTGCGTGTGTTTTGGATGATTGCAGCGTGTTGAGCATCGCTTGGTTTTTCGTTTCGTTGATTCTGGATGATAAAAGGTGCGGGCACCCTCCATTTGGATTTGAAATTTAACTGGCGAGGCACAGTAGATGGCATGATGGTTGATACTTAACATGGATGAATTTATACAATTATGTGATTTAGCTTGTTTGTGACCTTTGAGTGACTAGTGTACAATGAAGAGCTAACAGGTGATAAATCCTATCGGGATGAACATGATGCTGTATGCCTGCAGCAAACATAGTACCTGATTGTTCACCATGCAATTCTAAGCTAATGGCTCACGTTGCCTGGGATCCAAGAGTTCCAGCGATCAAATCATGATCMTACTTTCGAAGGATTCTTCAGTCTGACCCTCTGTGTGCGCGACCGTTGTACGATCTTGTCTTGTCTGAAGGTCTTCGTTTGGACTTTACAAAGAATACCAAGTCCAGATAAGCGCAATTTAGACTGATATTCTGAGTGCCATTAAGGCCATCGTATTATTAATGTTGCAAGTGCTATTAGTAGAGGCCGCCATTGCCTCTTTCCTGCGCTAAGCTGGATTCCGTAAGTTGTGCATATCTCGAACTCAGCGTCATGTCAGATCGGGTCTTCCTGACCACTTGATATATCACTCTGATTGAACAAATTGGCCATAGTAAATCCAAAATAAAACTGGTTCGTCAAAACTTCCGGACTGCCGACCTGACCGCCAGCGTAGACCATTTGGTTGACTGAAGTGTTGCAGAACAGCCGAGGTGGTCCCTGACTGGATGCAGTCGGCCGAGAAAAAGCGCGCAGTCACCCGAAGAGGAGGGATTGAACGGTTCTGGTTCCCCCCCGCCTTCTTGAGCTTAACGGGATCGACCAACGACCGCCTGCCGATTTTCTGTGCCCGCCGCTCCATAGGCTTTCGCTCCCCATTAACCCGAGGTCTGGTTTGGTTGCATTGCCAACAATTCGTCTTTCCTCTTTCTCTCTCTCTCTTTTCTCTCGGGCGATACGTCTCTTCCTTCATATACTACTCCAATATCCCCTCTTGCTTTTCTGCAGTTCTTGTTTTTATCCCTTCTCTTCTCCTCTCTTTAGTATCCTGTCTCTCCCGATCACCTCTATCCCACCCTACCACGCCACTATGAGTAAAGGCAAGCTTACAGGCGCTGCTGTCGCCGAACACAACTCCAAGGACTCGTGCTGGGTCATTGTCCATGGAAAGGCCTACGATGTGACCGAATTTCTCCCTGGTATGTTCCTTGTCACCAGTACCATATGCTTCTGTTACTGATAAGATCCTAGAGCACCCGGGTGGCCAGAAGATTATCCTCAAGTATGCCGGCAAGGATGCGACCGAGGAGTTCGACCCCATCCACCCACCGGACACCCTCGACAAATACCTCGATTCTTCCAAGCATCTCGGAGAAGTCGACATGACTACCGTCGAACAGGAGGAGAAGACTGCCGATCCCGAGGAGGAGGCGCGCCAGGAGCGCATTAAGTGCATGCCTTCGTTGGCGGCCTGCTACAACCTGATGGACTTCGAGACTGTTGCCCGAAGCGTAATGAAAAAGACCGCATGGGCCTACTACTCTAGCGGTGCAGACGATGAAATTGTAGGTCATGTCTCCCTCGTTCCTCCCCCCGCATGTACTAACAACGAGCCTGTCTAGACCATGCGGGAAAACCACTCTGCCTTCCACAAGATTTGGTTTCGCCCCCGAGTCCTCGTCGACGTCGAGCATGTCGACTTCTCCACAACCATGCTGGGTACCAAGGTATCAGTGCCTTTCTACGTGACCGCGACCGCCCTCGGAAAGCTGGGCAACCCCGAGGGTGAAGTCGTCCTCACCCGTGCAGCACACACCCACGATGTCATCCAAATGATTCCCACATTGGCCTCCTGCTCCTTCGACGAGATTGTCGATGCCCGCCAGGGCGATCAGGTGCAATGGCTTCAGCTCTACGTGAACAAGGACCGCAACATCACCAAGCGCATTGTCCAACACGCCGAAGCCCGCGGCTGCAAGGGTCTCTTCATCACTGTTGATGCCCCTCAACTCGGCCGTCGTGAGAAGGACATGCGCTCCAAGTTCTCCGACGTCGGCTCCAATGTGCAAGCCAGCGGCGGTAGCTCCGTCGACCGCTCCCAGGGCGCCGCCCGCGCCATCTCCTCCTTCATCGACCCCGCTCTGTCCTGGAAGGACATCCCCTGGTTCCAGTCCATCACCAAGATGCCCATTCTGCTCAAGGGCGTCCAGTGCGTCGAGGACGTCCTCCGCGCTGTCGAAATGGGCGTGCAGGGTGTCGTGCTGTCCAACCACGGTGGTCGTCAGCTCGAGTTCGCCCGCTCCGCCATCGAAGTTCTCGCCGAGGTCATGCCCATCCTCCGCGAGCGCGGCTGGGAGAACAAGATCGAGATCTACATCGACGGCGGGATCCGTCGTGCCACTGACATGCTGAAGGCCCTCTGCCTCGGCGCCAAGGGCGTGGGTATCGGCCGTCCCTTCCTGTACGCAATGTCGGCGTACGGCCAGCCCGGCGTGGAACGCGCCATGCAGCTCCTCAAGGATGAGATGGAGATGAACATGCGTCTGATCGGCGCCACCAAGATTGAGGAATTGAACCCCAGTCTGATTGACGTGCGGGGCTTGGTGGGCGGCCATAGTGCCCCTGTGCCGTCGGATACTCTCACCACGGGTGCTTATGATCCTCTCCAGGCGCCTCGGTTCAGCGAGAAGGCGAAGCTGTGATTATTGAATAGAGGATAGATGCTGTTTATTTCGTTTTTTTTTTTCTTTTCATTGCAGGTCTGATACATATACATCACTGCATTTGTGTATATACTATATACCCCCGTTTTAGCCGATAAACAAGACTGTATATTTTTGATTTAGATATGGAAGTTATGTAGGACATTAGTATTTATGAAACGAGCAGCTTGGGAATGATTCTCTTAGTCTCCTGAGCTTGACCCCGGCAATTATTTACAATACACCCTGCAACCACATACCTTTTCCCCTTCTAGGCTCTCCCTTATATACAAGGAAAATGACATGGAAAACTACCATCCATTACCAACCCCCACAAACCAAATCACTTGATTAGTGATCAACCTACAAAACCACAACCCTGGGCTTATTCCTCAACTCACCCGAATCCCTATACATACAAGCGGCATTAACCACCCACCCGGCATCCCTATTCTCCCCACCCCAGACCCTGGCCCAAACGACCCCCAAAACACCATACAGCACGACCCTCGCCGAATCCACCAAGCCGGAGAGATCAAACAGATCTCGCAAGAACCCAAACAGGGAGCTGAACCTCGACAGACGGGCACGGGATTTCCTCGACGCGCAGAGTCGTTCCCACGCGCGCTGGGCCTCATCGTAGAAGACGCGCTCGATGCCGTACGCTGCGTGGACGTGGCCGAAGACGTGCAGGGCCGGGCGCACGCGCCATAGTTCGGAGAGGAGGAATGGGCAGCCTGCTGAGTAGACAGGGGAGAGGTCGAGGCGGGATTGCGGGGGTGTATGGGTGACGAGGATGTCGGTGGAGGCGGGGATGGTGTTGGACCAGGCGTCGTGGTGTGGGGGGTAGGTGAAGGCGTGTTCGGGGCCGAAGGGCACGATGGCGGGGATTTGGGGCGCGCCGTAGATGGTTAGGGTGCGGGGGCGGAGGGGGGTGGTGCTGGTGATGCTTGATGAGGAGGAGGAGGATGCGGTGGTGGGTGGGAAGGTCAGGGTGATGGAGGAGTGTTGGAGGTAGTGGATGTCGTCGCCCCAGTCGATGCGGGGGTGAGGGTCGTCGGTTAAGTAGTCGTCTAGGGAGCGGAGGGAGGCGGTTGAAGAAGAGATGGTTGCATATGTGGACGAAGTGTTGTTGTGAGATGAGGAGGCATCGATGCGGTCTTCGGGGAGACGCGATCGCGTGTCGAAGTAGCTGTCGTGGTTGCCGCAGATGACGACTTTATGTGGGTGAGGGAGACTGCGCAGCCAGTTCACGGCGGCTTGGATTTCGCGGGCGCTGCCATCGTTGCAGAGGTCGCCGGCGTGGATGAGGAGGTCGCCATCGGGAACGTCGGGGTATTCGAGAGTGTGGGTGTCGGAGATGCAGACGACGCGGATGGGACGGGCGTTCGGGGGTGGGAGGTGAGGAGGGCCGCGGAGGTGGTTGAGGAGTTGATGGAGAGGGTAGATGAGAGTTGCTAGAGGGGATGAGAGGAAGTAGTCGGGGAAAGGACGGCGATGGAAGGGCGAGGACATGGTGGAATGAATTTTCTTGTTTTTGAGGAGAGAGAGAGGAAGAATAGGAGGAGAGGAGAGAGGAGGAGAGAAGAATAGTATGAGGTTATTCCATGGTAGTGGTGGTTGTTGTTGTTGGCATTCAGGTTCAGGTGATTGAAGCAGCTTAACGTGGATTCATGCGCTGCTGGGCGGAGGTGGGGGGTTCCGGTCACCAATCAGAGCATTTGCACCTGAACAGCCAATTTGCGTGGGATCGATTGGGCAGTGGATATTTCCAGGTACGGCTTACAATGTAATAGGATACTACGATGGTAATATATTGCCTTATTTGCTACAAAGAGTATGGAGGAAGAATATGGATGGTTCCAAAGGTGACGCGTTATGATTGTCTGAGGCGACAGGATACGAATCTCGGTCTTGTATTGTAGTATCCAAGGGAGTCTTAATCCTGAAAATCTCCTGAATCAGTTTCAGTCCATCGAGTCTGATGTTTTGAACGTCAGGCGTAAGGGGACATCACGTGCACGACGAGGGGAAAGAAAAGACAGCAAGAAAGAACGAAAGAAAGAAAGGAGAATGAATCATCGACTCCGCAAAAGAAGCTGGACAAGACGGACACTAACCAAGTAGCACTTCCTGTCTTCGTCGTCCGGAAGTCGGCTGGAGCAGGCGATCGGACGCTTATCCACTGGGCCGTGAGTGACATCAAGTCTAGATCCCATGTCCCACTCCAGCCAGAGAGTACCTCTGGCTCGTCTCCCATGCGGTCGCTATCCCTCGAGCATCTGTAAATCCCCCTATACTACGGCTCCACGTTTCTTCCCCGATCGCTTCCATGCAACGTCTATACTACTTAATATTTAAAAAGGTCATAAGGTGCCTGGATCCATGTAGGACGAAGTGCGGGTTGTAGTGTCCCTCTTTCCGTACCCGTTGTTACGCCGTAGCCTGGCTGGGGATGTAGATAGACAATGAAACCTCCGCCTCATCCTCCATCCATCTATCCCTCGGATGACACTTTTTTTGTCCCTTTCAACAGTTCAAGCCCATTGTCTGGTCCAAAGAGCATCTCTCCCCAAAGCATGAGGTTCCCCAACGTTGACCGGTGTATATGCTCGAGCCTGAAGACTTACTCAGGCCCAACCGGGTGAATCGATCCAGAGCCCATTCATGATTTGCCACATGCGTGGGTGGTCAACAACTCTTCTCTTCTCTTCATCTACGCTTGCGGACATTCCTTGTCGATCTCCAACATCGATCTTTCACGTCCCTTCTATCCTGTGGCCCTTTTCTCTTCCCCCTTTGGACCACCTTGAAATCAAAGGGTTGTGAGATTTGCCGGATCTACGAGTAGTAGTGATCAGCCCCTCGTTGCATTGCTCTCTCCTGCTCCATCCATCGTGTTCAATCGCCCCGTCTATATCGTTTGCGTCATCCGCCCAGCCCCAGTCATCTGCACTGGTTTCATAGTATTAGGCTTCGATTTCCATGTTCTGGAGTCCATGTTGGCCATTCTTTGAAATTACTTGATTGTGAACACCCACCATCCTCCAGGTGTGCACTCCTATACTAGACTCTTATCCCGGATTCCCCTCCCCCAAGTGAGTCTGCTGCATCTGGCATTGGCGTTTTGTGGGCGCTGCTGAACCCAAACCAACCCCTCAGATTCGCACAACCAAAGGCCGGCCAAACCAAACCAGACCAGCGCCAACCCGCCTTCTCCTCCGCTGTCGCCGCCGCCGGCCACCACCACCACCACCACTGATCTGCCATTTACTACTCCAGCTGAATCCTGTCGCTACGAGACGCCCGCCATCCACTCTTTTGGCTCTGCATCTCCCTTTCTTGACCCCCAACTTACTTTTCAATCCGATCGGTCGCAATTCTCTGGCATCATGGATGGGGTTGATATCACCAAGGCCGTTCTCAATAAAGGGAAGCAAATGGCTAGTAGTGTCGCTGCCTCCGCTACCAATGGCAATGGCGGTAAGAAGAGAAGAAAAGGGACCGACTTAAAGCCGATCGTCACCAACGAAGCCGCCACGCTTGGAGTCGACCCAGCGACCACCACCACCACTACTACTGAGGGGTATGGCTTTTACCCTTTCTTTCTTTTTCTAGATTTCCTTTTCCCTGCCCGCCCGTGTTTTCCTTGCTTTCTCCCTCCCGCCTTCTTCTTTCTTTTGGTTTTCCCCGCCTCATCCTGATTCTTTCTAACCGCCATGAGTGGCAGGGTTCCCGCATACGGCGTCCCACCATCGCGCTCGTCCTCTTCATCCTCTGGCGAAGAACTCGAGACAACCGCGGAGGAAGAGGACTCGGAAGACTACTGCAAGGGTGGTTATCACCCTGTCTCGGTCGGTGAAACCTACAACAATGGTCGTTATGTGGTCGTGCGCAAGCTAGGGTGGGGTCACTTTTCGACCGTCTGGCTGTCCCGCGATACGACAACTGGGAAGCATGTCGCCCTTAAAGTCGTCCGTTCCGCTGCCCACTATACCGAAACCGCCATCGATGAGATCAAATTGTTGAACCGCATCGTCCAAGCCAAGCCCTCCCACCCCGGTCGCAAACATGTCGTCAGTCTGCTGGACTCGTTCGAGCACAAGGGGCCCAACGGTGTCCACGTGTGTATGGTGTTTGAAGTGCTGGGAGAAAATTTGCTCGGGTTGATCAAGCGATGGAACCACCGCGGTATCCCCATGGCTTTGGTGAAACAGATCACAAAACAAGTGCTGCTTGGATTGGACTACCTCCACCGGGAGTGTGGTATCATTCACACGGATTTGAAGCCAGAGAACGTGCTGATTGAGATCGGCGATGTGGAGCAAATCGTGAAGACGTACGTCAAGGAGGAGGCGAAGAAGGAGCAGAAGGAAGACAATCGCAATGGTCGGCGACGGCGCCGGACCCTGATCACTGGGAGTCAACCGCTGCCGAGTCCGCTCAATACCAGCTTTGAATTCAAGCACAGTTCGCAAAACTCTCACAGCAGTCTTAGTCAGATGGTCAGCGAGTCATCTGGTATGTAACACCGCCTAATCATTGCTACGAAATTGCTGACTGGGTTTAGTGACGCCCAATGCAGAAAGCACATCGATGAAGGAGATGCTCGGAATCAAGGATGATGATGAGAAGCAGAAGCAGAGGGAAAAGACGGCGTACGTTGATCTTATGATTATGTGAAGGGAATACGGCTGATGAATACAGTGATTTGCTGGAACGGGAGGTATCGGGCATTTCGCTCGACAAGTCTCAGTCGAGCGAGGAGCAAGAGCCGGAATGCGACATAATTTCTGTGAAGATTGCCGATTTGGGCAACGCCTGCTGGGTCGGCCATCATTTTACCAATGATATCCAAACGCGACAGTACCGTTCGCCTGAAGTTATCCTGGGCTCCAAATGGGGCGCGAGCACAGATATCTGGAGTATGGCTTGCATGGTATGTCCTGATGCTTCTGCGCTGTTAAAAACTCCTCTGATCATTTGTCGCAGGTATTCGAACTCATCACTGGCGACTATCTTTTCGATCCGCAATCAGGTACCAAGTATGGTAAAGACGACGATCACATCGCGCAGATCATTGAGCTTCTGGGTCCTTTCCCGAAGTCCCTGTGTCTTTCGGGCAAGTGGTCGCAGGAGATTTTCAACCGCAAAGGTGAACTGCGCAACATTCACCGGTTACGTCACTGGGCGCTGCCCGATGTGCTGCGGGAGAAGTATCATTTCTCCGTTGAGGAAAGCATGCGCATCAGCGAGTTCCTGCTGCCGATGCTCGAAGTGACCCCGGATCGTCGAGCCAACGCCGGCGGCATGGCATCCCACGAATGGATGCGGGATACACCCGGTATGGACGGGATTGATCTGGGCATAACGCCTGGCAGCCGCGGCGAGGGCATCGACGGATGGGCGATGGAAGTGAAACGGAGATAAACAAAAGTACATTTAGGCATGAGGACTCCTGACCAGAAGCGTCAGCAGAGTCGGGTGACGAGTTTCCTTGTTTCTGTTACCGTGCGGCGGACCTCTTTATACTCTACTACCATTTCTTTTTGGCTGCGTTGGCCGTTCACTGGATGTTTATGATTGCCTTGAACATGATGCTTGCATGCGCACTGCCCTCCCCGACCCCCTCCCTTTCTTTCTCTGTCCGATTTTCTCTCAACTTATAGAGTTGCGAGCTTACCATCCTACTTATTTCCTTGTCCGAGTCTAGTTCATGTCTGATGCATGCTCCCACAGCTGATGGGAAATATGGCCCGAAAATGGGGATCTACCCTACGGGGAACTGTAGATATTGTGTGCATGAATGGGAGAGGTCATTGTTCTACTTTATGCTACTGCGTGCATTGAATAATCTTAACTTCGTAGCCTAACCAACTATCATCGATCTATACCCTCCTCATCACCATCAAGATGATCGCCCTCACTATCCTCACTCGGCAAAACATCAGGAAACCACCCATACCGCCTAAAATCCACATACCACTCGCCCATGCTATCCTCCTCCACCTCCACCCCTTCAGCCCGCAACGCTTCCGCCTGTCGTTCCGCACTTCCTGGCTCCCTACACAGTTTCCTCGTTAGCATCGCCATTACCTTCCTCCCCCCTCCTATTACATCCACCCACACCCCCACAACCCCAAGGAAAAGGTCAAGAGAGGGATAGACAAACCGATGCGAAATCATCCCCCGGGAATTAATCACCCTCTGCCACGGCACATTCCCCGAATGGAAGAAGTTATCTGTCTCCGGGGCGGGGAGATGCTTCAGGCTGATTCCTACTTGGCGGGGGCGTTTTGCTGACAGTTGATCATAGTATTTAGTATGTAGTATGATGCGGTAGGTGGTGAGGAGAAGGTAGGGGAGTATGAAGATGATGGAGGTAATAGTGGGGATCTAAATGGGGATGAGAGAGGAGGTAGCTTACGATATCCTAATAATGTCGCGATATGCCCGTAGGTCGTGACTCTTCCCCGGGGGATCTCTTGGACCGCGGAGTAGACGGCGTTGATGAAGTGTTCGGCTTCGTCGGTGCGGGGCATTTTTCTTCTTCTTCTTTTTTTTTTTTCTTCTGTTTATACGGAGTATTATGGTGTGGTGGTTAGTATAAAGGTGTGGTTTTAAGGAGGGGTGTTGCTGCTCTCTGTAGATGTAGATGTAGATCGTATATGCTTCCTGCCTGAGGCATACGATTCATGACTGGGGGTAGTTCAAGCTTACCCGGAAAATCCCTCCCCCGATTATCAGATAGAGATATGCTCTCAGGTATCCGACCTTTCAACTTACTACACATTACTCTCTCATCTATACACACTACAACAATCAACCATGTCCTCCCTAGCAGACTACCTCGCGAAAAACTATCTAAACGCGGACCCCGCCCCCGACCGCCCTAAAAAGAAACGCAAGAAGAACACCAAAGCCAGCGACTCCACACCCACCGGTCTCATCATCGCCGACGACGACCCGCCCGATCTCCGCTCCGGGGGCAACAATCTCCTCAACGATGACGAAGACGCGCCGTCAATAGTTACGAATGCTCGAACGGGCGAATTCCGCCGCAAGAAGACCTCGGGCTGGAAGACCCTCACGCCTGGAGACGGGGGCGCTGAACAAGACGCGGCGGATAAGATATTGGCGGATGCGATCGTGGAGGGGGAGGAAAGGCGACGCGAACAAGGGGGTGGTGATGAGGAGGATGATGATGCGCCAGTTGTTGAGGGGGTTGAGGAAGATGAAGAAGGGGTAAGGATGGAGTCTGGGGCGCGGGCAGGGTTACAGACGGCGGCGCAGACGGCGGCGATGGTAGCAGCGCAGGAGAGGAAGAAGAAGGCGGATGCGGCGAAGTATAAGGAGTCAGCGTTGGGGGAGAAGGCGCAGGAGACGATTTACCGTGATGCAAGTGGACGGATCATCAATGTTGCGTTGAAGAGAGCGGAGGCGAGACGGGCGGAGGAGGAGAAGAAGGCGAAGGAAGAGGAAGCGAAGGAGGCGCTGATGGGTGATGTGCAGAGGAAGGAGAGGGAGGAGAGGAAGCAGCAGTTGAGGGATGTGAGGGCTATGCCGTTGGCGAGGACGGCGGAAGATGAGGAGCTGAATGATGAGTTGAAGGGGAAGTTGAGGTGGAACGATCCTGCTGCGCAGTTCTTGACCAGTGTGAAGGAGGGAGGGACGAGTCGGACGGGCAAACCGCTGTATAAGGGAGGGTTTGCACCGAATCGCTATGGCATTCGTCCTGGGCATCGGTGGGATGGAGTGGATCGGGGGAATGGGTTTGAGAAGGAGTGGTTTTTGGCGAGGAATAGGAAGGGTCGCTTGGAGGCGCTGGATTATCAGTGGCAGATGGATGAGTGAGTGGGTGTATTATATTGGTGGTGTTGTTGTTGTTGTTGCTTTGGGATTTGGGTTTATCTGGTGCTGGACGCTGGATGGATGGTAATATGGGTTTGTGTGTATATGGATCGCATGCATGGCGGTGTTTTGCCGGAAAATTCATTGTTCTATTTACTGTCTTTGATATCTACATCTCCTGGTTGCATAGGCTCGATTGTGAGTCTGAAGTAAATGTGTTCAGTGTGGGGTATCTTTGACACCAGATGGGATGAGAGAAGACGCAAAGACTAGCGGTTTGATGTTATACCTTGGTTATATTTGTGCTTTGCGTTGCAGAGCTAACTGAAATTAATGCGTCCTGAGATGATCAGAAGAGAAACTCGACCAATAAAGCCTTGGCTAGACTGAGAGTGAATTATAACTGATATTGCCCCAACTTTGGAGTTTGTCCAACAAATCTGCAAACGCCGAGTACTAGGGACTATGACACATGCCAAGTAACCTTCATATGGTCACCGATTCAAAAACACTACTCAGGTAAACATAGTACTTATCGGTAGATTCCTTTGACGTATCCGTCTATGGTAGGTGATAATCATGTAAGTCGGGAAACGTTTTGGGAGATTGTCTCAGCGTCTCGAGGGAGTGTTATGACTCAATCTATTACTTCTAGAGGCTGAGAGTGGGGGTACTGGCAGCCTAGATCTCGAGGCTGTGTCGCATTCAAAGACGTATTACGACATCTACTAGGTACTAAGTACAGGGGTCACTTATATTGTGCATAATGACTAGTAGATAGTTGCTAGCCTTCTACTAGAAGAAAGTTGCATACATTCCGGCGACCAGTACAGAGCATGACGAACACAAAGAAAGAGAGTTACCAAACACTGTGCACAATCATCATTAGATACTAAACAATACGAGCCAACCTAACTATTTCCTTTGTACAATGATCCAATCCAATCAGTCTAATCAGCAGCAAACAGCATTCCAGCTGATGTCACAATCTTATTAACCAAGCTGCATATGCCATTTGCAGCATCCCAGCCATCACATTGCATTCATTGCAAGTGACTGGCGCAGCAATCAAGTCAGCTGCCGGCGCTACTACGGTCAGATCGCAGATGGCTCGGAGCATGGGATCACCCGCTCAGCAGGACAAGCCCGCCGATAACAGGCGTCACGGGTAACCACGAGCAGAGGCGATTGGCAGCTGCAGGGTTGATTTACGGCGGCATTTTCCTGAACTGCGCCCACTGATTTCCCAGACAGAGACTCCGATCCTAAGGAACCGGGCGGAACGAGATCCATTCAGCATGCAATAACGTGCCACCCTTGACAAGTGACGTTCCAGATCGACCACAACGTGCCTGAGGCAGTGGATCACAACCCATACGGTTGGCCCTATTTTGGGGATCCTTCCTTTCAGCCTTGGAAAAGACCAACGGCAGGTTCCAACTTCTCAGCGGCTGGAATTCTGGCCTTGCGCGTTTAACCTCGGGAATACACTTACTAGTAAGAGCAGAGTGAGGGGCGCCAAACCGTGGGTCGAGGAGTGGCGCTCGGGGGATCGGCAGCAGCAGCAGCAGCAGCAACGATAACAATCCAGGGGGGATAGTCTACTACCGCGCCGTATTGATAGCTGATTCCCACCCCCTCCGATAGTAGAGATAGTCGTTTCCTTGGATTAGTTAGCTAGTAGGCTACGATGACGATAGATGATTTCCAACAGATGACCTGCCACAATCAGCATCGCCTCGCGCGGACCCCGTGCTGCCTATTTAGTCTTCCCCCCCCTCGGAGCGCGTGCGGTTGGAGATAGTTATATCTTCCCCTGGATGACTAGCCCACCCCCAAGGTGTCACTTTGCTGCCTCTTTTCTGTCCTCTTCTCGACTTGTACAGAGAGGGGTCTCCTTGTCGGATCTCTTTATTACTCATTTCCCATCGTTGTAAGAGTCTACCGTGCGCATTTGCCGCTCGACATCCTCGGGTCGTCGATGACTGGAAGCCCAGCCGGGGCCTCTTTATGACTCAGACCAAAGACGCCCTGTAACCTCTCTTGTTTATTGTTTATCGGAGATTTTTGGTTCGCGGGCCTGCCTTAGTATTCAGTCTTTTGTCCACCGCTCTCGCCTCAATTTCCTGGCTTTATATTCTCCTGTTCCAGACATCCCTCAATAACGGAGGCAAGCGCCACCCATCACCCCGAGCGTGGTCTACCCATTTCCTGTATATATCTGAGACTATCTTTGCCCGCATCCATCGGCACCAAACCCGTCATCTTCAGTCATGTCTGACTCCTTGCTCGATATTCGTCGTGCTGGCGTTGAGGCCAAAAGGGCGCACGATCACAAGGCCAAGTGGGCGTACGGCAGCCGTTCTACCCTGCCTCGTTATAACCAAGATGTCCACTCTCATGTCTTGCATAAGGCTAGGCCGAGGATGCCAGCTACTCATTATACAACGTATGTTTCTGTGCCTGTCGCTTAATTAATGTCGCTGACAGCCACTAGCTTGACACGCCATATGCGGTTCCAGCGGAAGGCTGAAACCAACCACCAACTCAGCGATGCGAAAATCGCCCTGCGTGCTGACGTCCGGGAGGCTCTCGATAGTGGAACGTCGGATTCTTCCAGCGATGATATCGATGACCCTGCCGCGGCGGAGAAGATTATCGATGATGCTGAGGGGAAGGATACACTGCCTGACTATGATGTGGCGGGCCACACTATACTCTCTGATGCCGTGAGCAAGGCTGTCGAGAAGTTCGAGACGAAGGAGACAGAGAGGATCGTAAAGGAGTACGAGATGATCTCCTATGAGGGTGAGAATGCCCTGGGCTACATGGCTGACGACGATGACTTTGAGCTGGTCGATCGGATCAAGCTATGACACGTCTGTTGCTTCCTCATCTCATTTTGTGCTTTTGGCGTCGATATCCTTAACCACGGTCCTTGATTCTTGGAGTTGGGCACAGACTGATCACTGATTCGTTCTGACATTTCTGCATGTTGTATATCACTTACGCGCCTGCTTCCAGTCACTCGTTCTGTTGTGATCGACACGCGGAGGAAGTCCGGGGTTGCTTGTTCTCTTTTCAGTTTCTCAGCGTTCATTAATGATCCCCACTGTAGTATTGCTTAGACCGAATATACCATCCCAGCAATGGAAACATGTTTTATCATGACAGAGATGACTCCTAAGAAGATGATGGGTAGTCTAGTGGGGAAATTGAAGGTTAAGCGGGCGCGACCGACGAGTCAACGGGAGTCCGGGGTGATGGCCCCCCGCAAATGCCATGCCATTGTGCTAATTGGATTAGTCCCTTAATTGTGCTGCTTGAATGGAAGTAGCCATTCACTGGTTTGGCGATCATAATTACGGACTGTCAGCCTATTAATAGGACAACTGCGACCGTGAGGTGCATCAGGGCGACTGCTGCACGTCACAGTCCAGCACTATCTGCAGCCGCATGCAATTTGATAACACTTGGATATTTACTTCATCGCATTAATGTCACTGTAAAATAATGTACTGTAAAGCTGAAGGGAATCGTTTATATCACTGCGACTGCCACGGGTGGCCTTTGTGACTCCAGTCGTTGCTCGGCGGCGAGTCTGGATTGTTTACCAAAACAAAAAAAGACAGGAATCGGAAAAGTCCGCATCTCCGATCTTCCTTCTCATCACCCTTCATTGTCGTCACAGCCACTTCATATCCACCAACCATCTTCATTTCTTCATTCACCTCGTCGTCTCCATCCTCAAGATGGATAAACGAACGGCGGAGAGTCCGATGGACTTTGAATGGCAGACAAGGGCCCCAGGAGATGTGACCTCGCCCTTTTACCAGCTTAGCATGCAGCATGACAATCAGAAGAAACGTGGGTCTTGGATGCAGCTCTCTTGGAGGCAAACCTTTGTTTTTTTGGCGCCTAACAAGCTCTTCGACAGGCCCTCATAGCATTTTCGATTCACCCGAGAAGAAATCGATGCCTGCTCTGCGAGAGCCCAACTCCCAGCCCTTCCTCTTCTCCCAGCCCAAGCCGCAGCAACCCCCCTCAACCCCGAAGCCGTTCTTCAACCAGTCAGCATTCATGACGCCTCGCAAATTCGATGTCGACTTCTCATCCGGCGCCGAGAATATGTCATCTCCAGAACACGCGGACAACGAAGATACCCCCGAGCAACCGAAAGCCCACCGGAACTCGCTGTTCAGCATGTACGGACGGTTTGCGCCGAGCCCTGGCCGCGGCGAGATACCCCGGGTGAGCCACTACTCCAACGCGTTGGCACGCCGGGTGCAGAAGAGACGGCGGAGGGACAAGGCGCTGGACCTACAACTACGGAGAGACAGTGACGACGAGAGTGACCGACCAAGCAGCACTGAGCTCAAGCCAACCAAGCAAAGACAGAAGCCGGGACAAGGCCAGCAGGAGACGCCTCAAACGGGATCACGTCTGACATCATTCTCAGATTTCTTTGCCCTGCTGGAAGCACACCCGAATGTCCCTAGCATTCTTTCTTGGTGGGCGCAGTTGGTGGTGAACCTTTCGTTGTTCTCGCTTGCGGTATATGTGGTCTTTGGATTTGTGTCAGCGATCCGGGCAGAATTCGAGCAGGCAGCCGAGGAGGTATCGGATACGATCCTGGCTGAAATGGCGGCATGCGCTAAGAGCTACGTCGACAATCGATGTGCGGGAGGAGATAGACTGCCGGCCTTGGAAAGTGTGTGTGAAAACTGGGAGCGATGCATGAACCGGGATCCAGCCAAGGTCGGGCGGGCTAAGGTGTCGGCACATACGATGGCTGTAATCATCAACAGCTTTATCGACCCTATCAGCTGGAAGGCGATTGTAGGTTCACCATCCTCCAAAGCAAGTTATCGGCTAATATTTCCAGATGTTTTTCCTTGCTACGATTTCGACCGTCACCGTTGTCAGCAACTGGTCCTTCCGTTCCTTCAGAAACCGTCTCAATCAACACGACTACTCTGCACCCCCTAGCTATTCCCGACAATCGTCTGGGCAGCACCCGTCGCTTGCGCCGTCGCAATTCCCCTACCAGCAGAATTCGATGGGATACATGGGAGCGCCGAACCACGGGGCTACTGGGTTTGATAAAGCAGAGGCACCGCTCATGCTGGAGCAGGCCGCGACCAAGGACTTTGTGTCTGACCGGACCCGCGAGCGGGGCTCTCGTCTGCGTACGCCGAGTCCATCCAAGCGGATGAGGTAGGCATATTCTACTCTTTGTGGCATCAGCGGGAGGTCGGAGTTGCACAGGCACTGCATTGGGCGAAACCAAAAGACTGGACTGGAGTTGATTGGATTTTTACTGTTCATGTATATACGTAATAACCTCATCGACAATGCATTGTTATTGTCACCTACTGGCGTGTAGTTCCCCATCCTTCTACTCTGTATTCTATATCGGTCAGATGACCACCAGATGACGTCGGCCACGCCTGGATGATCACCAGCCACCGCGTCGGCCCAGCTTGACACATCCAACATAACCAGGCAAGATCGCGACACCGTTGCCTTAGCAGCGAAGATCAGCCCACGGTCCAGACATGAAATACAGGCTCCCCCTCCAGGGGGTGAGGTAAGGCATCCATGGAGTCTTTGGGTGCCCCTCTGCTACCCGTGCGGGCCTGAGTCGTGCCCTCATGCTGACGTATTGCCATTCCGTCGGAGATATTATAGAAATTGAGCTTGCCCCTCGCTCAGACTGAAAAATGCAGCTCGAAGCATTGCAATTGATTTTCTTCATTGGTCGCGTTGATTTACTACGTATCAACTCTCTCCATCCAGAATGACGAAGCGCAACCTCATCGTTGTTTCGAACCGTCTCCCTCTGTCGCTGAAAAAGGTCGACGGGGGATACGAATCTTCCCTCTCCAGTGGAGGTCTAGTCACATCTTTATCGGGATTGACTAAAACCACTACCTTTAGCTGGTTCGGATGGCCAGGCATCGACATCACCGATGAAACCGAGCAGGGACAGATTCGCAAGAGCTTGGATGAACATAACGCTGTGCCGATTTTCTTGGATAATGAATTGGCAAATAATCACTATAATAACTTCTCTAGTGCGATTCTTCCGTTCATTCGGTTTACTGAGAATAGGGAGATTGCTAATGGTTTTTCTGGTATCTAGATGCCATCCTCTGGCCCATCCTCCACTACCAATCCGGCATAAACTTCGAAGAAGGCCCCTGGGAAGCTTACCAACGAGTCAACGAGATCTTTGCCGATACGATCGCCGAGGCAGCCCAGCCGGGGTCATTGATCTGGGTGCACGATTACCATCTTATGCTGTTGCCGCGGCTGTTGAGAGATCGATTGGCGGGGAAGAATTGCGCGATTGGGTTCTCGCTGCATACGCCGTTCCCGGCGGGGGACTTTTGGCGGAATCTGCCGGTGCAGAAGGACTTGTTGAGGGGACTGCTGGCGAGTGATGTTATTGGATTCCATACGGATGAGTATAAAAGAAATTTTGTGCTTTGTGCGGAGTCTCTGTAGGTTACTGTCTGGTGATCTATGGTGGGATACGTGCTGATATGAATGTATTAGGGCCGATGCGAAGGTGAAGGAGTCAGGGACGCTGGAGTACGAGGGTCATGAGGTGGTTGCGGAGAAGTTCATTGTCGGCATCGATCCGCAGAAATTTACGGATGCACTGCAGAATGAGGAGGTGCAGAATCGCATAAGGGACTTGCAGCGCAGGTATATGGGGATGAAGGTTATTGTTGGGGTGGATCGGCTGGATTACATCAAGGGGCTCGTGCAGAAGTTGAAGGGCTATGATGCTTTCTTGGATCAGTATCCGGAGCTGAGCAATAAGGTGGTGCTAATCCAGGTGGCGGTGCCCAGCCGGGAGGATGTGAAGGAGTACCAGGATCTGGAGACGGAGTTGAGCACGCTGGCAGGAAGAATCAATGGAAAACACTGTGGGTGGCCTCCTGCGTCGACATTTGTTGTCTACTCTGTGCTGACGGGTCTAGCTACCGCCGATGGCTGTCCGCTGATCTACATGCACCGATCAGTTAATTTCAGCGAACTGACAGCGCTGTACTCGGTTGCCGATGCCTGCTTGTTGACTTCAACGCGGGATGGAATGAACCTTGTTTCGTTCGAGTACGTTGCGTGCCAAGCGCAGCGGCATGGAGTGCTAGTGCTGTCCGAGTTTGCCGGAGCAGCGTCTTTTATGAAGGAGGGGTGTCTTACTTTCCATCCAGCGAATATGTCAGAGATGGTTGATGCGGTTCATCAAGCAGTCACGATGAGTGGTGATGATCGCAAGTCTCGATATGAAACGTTGCGGCACTTTATCGAGACAAACACTAGGTGAGTTTACTGTCACGGCACGATACTTGGGCTTTGCTGATAATGTAGTGCAAAATGGGGCGAGACGTTCATCGAGACATTGACCAAGCATGTGGAAGGCGGGCGTTGAGCCCTGACATGGACGGTGTCAGATAGAGACCGTTGGAAGGCTGAACCACAGGGCACACGGCACGTTGAGGACCCTGCATGCCGGTGTATCCGGATAATGGCAGATAATCCCGGCTAATTGGGGGCGACGGCAGCTACGGCTCACAAATTGTGATGGAATAGACACGGCATGATGTTTCAATGAAGCTCCAAACTTTACAGTGCTAGGCTGTAAACGTGATTATAATCACGATGTAATTGATTATCATCTACAACTCAACCCCCGCACCAAGAAATGAATCCTCTCGTCGGAAGAAAAAGACGGCATTCCAGAAGAACTTTTTCCTAGATAACAAACAGTAATCAGTCCATCCGTCCCTGACGATCCCCCCATCGAACCTCGGTAAGACGCTCGACCCAAAAACCAGACCGACAAGCTTTTCAACCTCCCTAAACGAAACAACGGCTGTGTTGATCGTGAACGTGGTTGCCTATACCAATACGAGAACCATATAGGATAGAAATTGAGTTTACCGTGGAAAAGCCACCCGCTACAGTTTAATTAACCAACCCACCCACATGCCCAAGGCACCTGTAACAGGGACTACTGTCCAGAGAGTGGATAGTGGCTAGTGGGCAGACGTCGGATGAACTCCGGAAGACCCTAACTGATACGTAGAACCATCGTGAACCCTGGTTTGTCCCTAGTTCGGGGCGCTATTCCCAGCGTAGAAAAGCGGCCGATCCTCTGAAACAGTTTTCCCCCGGGGTATACTTGCTAGTTAGTCACTATCATACAAAAGTAGTGTAGTGGACAAGACCAGGGTCTACTACTATTAGTTAGTTCTGTTTCATCCCGACTCAATTTTGCGTCCCAAGACCCTGGGTTGTCCGGGCCTGTCTTGCCCAACACGAGATGTATGGAGTAAGTATGGAGGGAGACTAACCTCGGAATATTCTTGTCTCTTTTTAGTACTATCTAGCCCTTAGTGAGACTATAGCAGTAGTGAACCAGAGAGAGAGAGAGATGTCTATATAAGTACAGTCGTAGATCCCTAAACATGACCAGCTTCAGACTCAGACTCGAGCAGCCAGTGCAGTCCAGTCCACTCTTTCATTCTCACCCCTTCTTTACTATCTTACAATAATTTCTATTCAATAAGTCTGCAGTGCAGCACCCACACACATTCATTCTCTGAGAGATAAAAAATAACAAAATGGCCCCCCTCAAATCCCTCCTCCTCGGCGCCTCCCTGGCCACCCTCGCCCTTTCCACCCCACTGGCAACCGACGCCGAAAACCTCTACGCACGTCAATTCGGCACGGGCTCTACAGCCAACGAACTCGAGCAGGGAAGCTGCAAGGATGTGACTCTCATCTTTGCGAGGGGGTCAACTGAGCTTGGGAATATGGTATGCTTGTTGCCTGCCTTTACCCGTACTATACTATCCCAGAACATACCAAGCACAACATCACAAAACATGTGGAGCCAGGAGCTAATCAGTGGTGGTGATGATATGATGTAGGGCACCGTAATCGGCCCCCCTCTCTGCGACAACCTGAAATCCAAACTCGGATCCGACAAAGTCGCCTGCCAGGGTGTCGGCGGCCAATACAGCGCCGGACTCGTGCAGAATGCCCTGCCCCAGAACACCGATCCGGGGAGTATCTCCGCCGCGAAGCAGATGTTCGAGGAGGCGAATTCGAAGTGTCCCAATACTAAGATTGTTGCGGGTGGTTATAGGTATATATCCCTTTCCCCTTTACCTTCCCCCATATCAATGCTAGAGGCAAAGGAATATCATGCTAATGTAGATGTTGGGGAAACAGTCAAGGAAGCGCTGTGATTGACAACGCCGTGCAAGAACTCAGCACCACCGTGAAAGACCAAGTGAAGGGTGTCGTGCTCTTCGGGTTCACGAGAAACGTGCAGGATCACGGGCAGATCCCTAATTACCCTAAGGATGACGTGAAGGTTTATTGTGCCGTGGGCGATCTGGTCTGTGATGATACGTTGGTTGTTACGGCGATGCATCTGACGTATGGCATGGATGCGGGTGATGCGGCGAGCTTTTTGGCCGAGAAGGTGCAGTCTTCCAGTAGTTCGACTACTAGCTCCAGCTCGGATGCCGCGAGTAGTTCATCTGCTGCGGGGACGTCGTCGTCGGGGTTGTCGGGACTGTCTTCTTTTTTTGGAGGTCTCTAAATAGAATTAGATGAGATGAGTGGTCCGGGTGGGGGTTTAGGGGATTGTTGTTCGTTTCTCTTGGATGATTTAGTTTCCGTTATTTACTTAGCTGGGATAAGATATATGGTACATAGTATAGATGTGTTGTGATGTTATTCTGGCTATTTTGTACACTTTGACATGATCTGCGATATGGGAGCGTCTACTATATCCTCGCCACCGATGCCTCCGGAATCCGCAATACTGCCCTCCCACTAACCGCATACCGTCTCATCCTCTCCACAACATCATTAATCTCCTCTAGATCAAACACTTCGTAATGCGTCGACACCTTGCCTGCCCTCGCCATCTCCAACAATGCCTGCATTTCTGTCTCTGTACCCACCGCACTGCCGATTATCCGCAGTCCGGAGTCGACGCAGTGCTGCGGTGCCACAGGCACATGGAAGTCCGGACGGGGGAATCCCACGCATACGAGCGTGCCCAGCGGACGGAGAAGAGCAACGCCTTGTTCGTAGGCTTTCTCGGATCCGACGACGATGAGGGAGGCGTGAGCACCCACGCCGTCGGTTAGGGATTGAATTTTGGCGATCAACTGAGTAGTTAGCATATATGTAAACTAGAAGGGGGAGGGGGGTGTACGTTATCATCTTTGAAGTCGAAGTAGGCGGATGCACCGGATGCGAGGCAGATGTCTTTCTTTGATGGGCTGGTGGAGACGTTAGTACCGTATGACAAGAATGGGAAGGGACATACCTGTCTACTGCGATCATGTTGTATCCCATTTCCTTGCCGATTTGAAGGCCCCTGTTCATCGTTAACCGACTGTCCAAAACATCGGGCACGGAAGGCATACAAATGACCCAATCCACCACCTGCACCCATTATAACCACCCAATCTCCTTTCTCATATAACTTCTCTATCTTGCTGAGTGCGCCGTACATGGTGAGACCGGCTGAACCCGTCAGTAATATTCTTGCTGGAAGAAGAACGGAAGAACGTACCACAGAGCAACGGCGCCACAGCCTCCGGATTCAGATCCTCTGGAATCAGCGAGACGAAGTTCGCGGGAGAGACCACGTATTCTATACCATTCTTAGCCGAATATTCCTTTTCAAAATGAAATAACAAATATCTCACGTTGAAATGTCCCAGGAACATTCTATTGCCATCGTAATTAGTCTCATCCTGCGACATTGAAGGTGGTGTTCAATACTCACCCTCCCCGAATTATCCTGATTCCTACAATTCGTATACTGCACCTTGCATGTCGGACACTTCATGCAGCTTTTGTACAGCCATCTAGACAGCTTGTTAGTTTCACTACCCCCCACAGTAAACAGGAATAGATAGATGTACTTCACACCCACTCTCCTCCCCATCATCTCAGCCGGAGTATTGGGTCCAACTGCACCATCTTAGCGTCCAATCCACACCATAATCACAAATAACATTGTCCAATTCACGTGGCTCACCTTTTACAACCCTCCCCACACCCTCGTGACCCGGAACATTCGTCGTCATGACCAATTCGCCATTGATATTGTGCAGATCGGAGTGACTATCCATTGTAATATAGCCCATTAGCATAGTCCACAATAAAAACAATTCTGTGCAGTTGTGAAGGAAGTCCTACCAAAACCCCGTATACTCCAACTTCACCAATACCTCCCCCGCTCCCGGCGTCGGAACGGGAATGTCATGCCGGATGGTGAGGGTCGCGCCGGGACTGGGATTGTCGATGCAGGCTGCGGTTTGGTGAGTTGGGATGGATGTTGGTGACATTGTGGATATTTACTATACAAAAAGCAAAAGTGGTATGAGAGGGAGGAAAGTAGATGGAGCAGGGATTGAGGGGAATCTTAGATTTTTACTGTGAAGATGCGGGGTGGACCCAGCGCGGTTTCAGAGTTTGAAGGAATTCCCGATCCGACCTCGGATTAGGCTGCCGATCATGAACGTATGGGGGTGATAATATGCGCTACTGGGGGTCTTGATTGGTTTATAATCAAGAGTTCATATCTAGTCAATTGTTTGTCCGGCAATACGGGTCTACAGCGAGGGGATCAAGGTAGTATGCAGTGTTGATTGGATCATGATTGCGATAGCTTTGGCGGAGGACCAATCTCAGAGCTAGCTTCCCCAAATCTCATTGCCGAAAAGTCAACCGATCTGACAGCTCAACCATTCTGCTCTGTTATCTGCACCTGCTCAATAATTGTCTGCAATTATTCATATTGTTTTTTTTTTTTTTTTTTCTTTTCTTCATTCTCTTTGCTGTCTCCGGTCAACCCACCGACAGATTCGCAACCCTCCCCAGCAAAAACTCCAGCTGGCGATATGCCGCCCCCGGTGCATATTCCGGGATTTCTATTCCTGTTAGCAACCCGCTGCATCGCATACTGAGATATGGACCTACCATGTCCTGAACTAAATACTGTCGAAAATGTCAATCCACGCTCTGTATGTGCCGTTCCCAGCACGCCTCCTCCCGATGATCCACCATACGGCACGAACAACGGCTCCACCGGCTCCCGCTCGAACCCCTGCTTCCCATTCCAGGTCATATTCTGGATACTGATCAGGGTTCCCTGCGCCAGCAGCTCGAAATCCATCAGGCCGTGCGCAATGATGGTATTGTTGGTCTGTTCGATGACGCGCGGCAGCGGTCCCAGGGAGCTTGGAGGGGATGTGTCCAGTCCGTTGGCCGTCGGGAAGATTCCATCCTTGCAGACGAAATAGTCCGTTGGGTACGCGTTGATGGCTTTCTGGACGTCACTGCGGTTGAAGTAGTTGGTCGGACCAAGTCCAACGATGGGGCCGCCGACTGGGTTCCAGGGGGTGGGGCAGGCGTCGGGGATATGGTAGCGGTTGAAGCATGGGTTGAGAGCTAGAGAAGCGTTGTTTATGATATCCCAGATGTTGCAGCTAGCATTATAGGGCACTGATGGGAATTGAGAACGGGGTGGAAAGGTAAGGGCATCGTCAAGAAACGAAGTGTAGCCACAATCGTCGGAAAGCTTGGTGATTTGACTCATGAAGGTGTCATTAAAGGGAAAGAGGGAGCGGTGCTGATTGACGGTCGCAACTGCAGGCACTGGAAGTCATCAATGTCAGAGGAGTAAGCAATAACCTGTGTCAGAGGCATACCATCTTGCAAAACTGGCAGCTCATTGATGTAGGGATCATTGATCTGGATGCCGGCAACCCGGAAATACTCATCATCATCCTGGTCAAGCATCTGCGACGCGATGTATGGGATGTACTGGCCCGCATAGCTCTCGCCAGTGAGATATATCTTTCGATTCTGCAGATCGAATGTTTTCATGAACCGCCTCCAGAAGTCCATAAACTGTCTGGCTACATCAAATTCTGAGACCACCGTAGACGGGCCAAGCGAGAATCCCGTTCCAGCAGGCTGATCAATGTACACCATATTTGTGAGGTTGTTCCAGGCATAAGGGTTGCGCACGGGTCGGTAGGTACCAGGTTGCCATAGAAAGGGGCCGTTCTCGAGCATGATGCCTGCCAGAGAGCTGCATCCTGGGCCGCCATTCAGCCAGACGGTGATCTGTTTATTAGCCGTGCGAAGCATATGAGACGGCGATAAGCATACCTCATCAGACGCATCAGGATCAGAAGATGGAAAGAACCAGAAGTATAGACTCGAGATTCCAGAAGGCGTGTTGGGTAGGTAGCCCGCATAGGACTCGCCAATGTCGAAATCGACAAAAGGAATAGCAGAGCCATTGACGACGAATTCTAGCGCTGTTAGTGGGATTCAAACTGACGCGATGTGGTATACCTTTGGTTTTGTTGTTGAAGTATTGAGACTGTGCGTTGACTACTCCAAGTGGCAGCAGGATACTGCACACGAGAAAGAGCCACATGATTCTCTAGTGTTGCGAAACTAGAAGTGAGCAGTGAGAGAGTGGATTGGTGAAGTGAAGATGAAGAGGTGTAGAAGCTCTGCAGGAACTACTGCCGATGTCTTGGCTATCACAAACACACTGCTGAAGTGGAGACTACTGGTCATATTGAGTACCATTCAAGCTAGATGCCGCCAATGGTCTCATACCACATGCAAGGGCGACCTTCCTACTATATGAAAAATAACCAAGAGGTACCTGTTTCAGCAAAACGTTAGGGATTGAGACATTGACATCATATGAACGCTGTGGAATGCTGTGTTTTGAGAGTTGACATCAGGAAGAATTATGACTAATATACGAAGGGGGGGATCGATAGCAATGTTTACCAAGTCTACGGTCTATAGCACACTACGTGAGGGCTCATGCCCGCAAATAGTCATAAATCATTTATTTCGTGTTCTATCGCGGCCTATATACAGACCTGGCCGATCCTCCCAATCTAAGCGATGAACTTGGCATTACGGAACGCGAGCTCCTTGTCGTTGTTGAGCATCAATTCCATGTATTCTGTCTCCTGTCAGTAGCACATCTCATAATATGCCTAAGACACTTACCAGCAAAGTTAATGCTGCCGTCATGGTTGGTGTCAAAGGCCTCCAACTGTTCCCTGGTGAAGTCTGTGCGGCCGGTGGAGTTGACATGGGCAAGGGCGTCTTCAAAGGTCATACCGCCTACTGCTGTTAGTATTCCGTCGACCCATATCTCTGTAGATACTCACGGCAGAAGTCCTGAGCCTAGGGGAATAGTTAGAAGTGATCAGACCTGGGCGTTGAGTAACACTTACCGACTTCTCGTACTTCTCCCTCAGCCCGTGGAGGTAGTCATAGGAGTAGTGGGCGTTCTATAAGCATCAGTATCTGAAGCAGAATCGATGCTTATTTTCGTACCTTGAGATCCTGAGGCATGATGGCGGGAAGTCGGAGTCTTGTGGTTATGTCGAAGTAGAGATTAGGAATGGACTTGTGGATGGTAAGAGAACTGCTAGACCTTGACGCCTTTAATGTTCTCCGAACTGCACTTCCTCGACGTTCTTCCAGTCCGATTTTGCACAACTTGCGCGATAGCCAGGCTATCGCAGACGCATCTGTTGGGTGACCTCAGTTTGGGCATTGCAACGTACAGCATGCATTTGATGACATACATTGTCATTCGACCGAACCTGGTACAATGCACGTTGTTCTTGATTGACACGATTTATGGCCTGGAACATTGGTTGGTGGTGACTGCGGGGTACTCCAAGGTAGCTGCATGTAGCAATGCCTGAACATATTGGCCCGCAGCTGTCGACACTTTCATCTGCGAGTATCGATAACCTGCCAGTGTAGTGTATTGCAAGAAGGAAGAATTGAAGATCTTCAGCGGAACACATCGATCAACGGGTAGTATTGGTTGCCAGACACCGTCAAGCTCAAATTTCGTGAAACCGTAGTAGGAACCCCCCCCGGTGGGGTTCGAAGATACAACCGTTGTCTGCTTCATACTGTACTACAGCGATGCCAGTCACATCATTTGTCGCACAGTGAACGCCGCTGCTACCCCTGTCCATAGAATAGAAACAAGCAGGTAGACGCCTTCATGGAAGCTGGGAGCATGAAAGGAAGCTGCAGTGTCGCATTAGACTTCAGAACGACGCGTTTGGCGTATCAGGATCATACCTGAGTTCCGAGAGCTTGCAGCTTGCTCCTGTCAGTCGACGTGGATGCCGATCGAGGGGTCGAGGATGGAGGGGCAGTGGGGAGGGGAAGTGGAAGAAGATGCCGCCGACGCGAGGCGAGACACGTTGCACTCCATCCCAGCCAAAATGGATACCCGCCCGATAAGGCTGGCCAGCACATTGTATCCACTCCTTGATATGATCCCGGTTTGTTTAGAGTCTAGATACACTATGGCCACCGCAAGCTCCTTCAAGGGTAAATGCTGCTCACTGGGGTGGGTGTTGCGTGACGTGGATGCACTGTCAAAAATCCCGCATTGGATCAGGTTGTATCTCGGACTGGCAAGATAGCGGGCAGAGATTTGTGATGCATGCTTCTTGAAAACCATTACTCCTAACAACTACACTAGTTACACCTAGAGATGTGGAGCGTTATGGGATGTTGTGCTACGATAGCATGTGTTAATGGTGTTGCTTTACCTCCTTGATCGCGAAGCCCGTAATCATTCTGCTAACTCGCTTCTAGTGCAAACCATTTCAGAAACACATCTCGTATATGCATACTTTTGAACGGCTCCGTTATCGATACTCATGTGATAGGCAGCTTTATAAGTCTGTGTGCGCCTCAAGAGAAAGTGAACCGCCAAACTCCACATCCATGTCATCTGCTCTGCGGATCCCTTGAGCAAACTCATGATTGAGCCCGCCCACTGGCGCCTCACACTGCGGACAGCGACTTTCCTCCATCGGCATCCCACATTCCCCCACCGCAAACTGGCATATCCGTATTAGTACTCGACGAGAATCTAGGGTAGGGTAGGATCACATACCGGATGGTTGTTCTCACAATAATACCAGTGGCCTGTACCATTGAATTGTGCCGCCATGGCCTGGTAGACCTGCCGTCTTTCTTCGCTGGTGACGCAGCTGTAGAAGGTTCCACCATTGACCAGTCTTCTTGCTTTGTCGATATCTTCATGCAGAGACCACAGTATCTTTGAATGGCGCAAACATATCGCATCGCAGGCTTCGAGTTCTTTCAGTGCCTTTTCCCGGATCTTGGCTTCGGTGGTTCCACTGACAGGGTTACCGCGTGCTTCCCCATTGCTGAGGGACAGCACCGAGAACAGGACATGATATGTTCGGGTTTCCACCTCCTGCTGCAGAAATTTAGCCTCCTGGCAATACTTTGTTAGAGCTTCGCATTGGCTCAGTAGACCACCAATCTGTTTTGCTACCACTTGGGCCAGAGTCACCTTTATGCGTGGGTCAATTCTCTTGTTGCTGTAGATGCTGTCATAGTTCCAGAAAAGAACCCAGGTGAGTCGAAGAGCAAGAACATGGCCGCGTGATTGAAACCCTGTTTGTATATCCGACTCATTGTATTGGAAGGGTGTCGCAGACGTGCCAGCCTTTCTCGCTGCTACCGACGCGAGCATCTCACTGACCCTCCCAAATGGCTGCTCGGATTTTGCCACAGATTTAGTAAATTCTTTGATTTTGTTCAGAATTCTGTTTCCCCGTCCGCGGTAGACATCAACCGAGCGCCTGACGTCATCGGCACTCCTTGTCTCTACAGTCTCCTGGTACCAGTCAGAGACAAATTTCGATTTTTCGCCTATGATATCTTTCTCGTAGCCCTCAACCTCTTCCACCAGGTGACCAAACTTAATGCTTGCATGAGTGGCAAACTTCTTCGTTGCTTCATCGAGGAATGCTTGTTTGATAATTCTGTTATAGCGGTCAATATCGCGGAGTGGTGCACGGCATTGAGGACACCCTTTCGGACGCCCAGAATCAAATAATCGGTGGTTAAGTTTCGGACCAAGTATCCTGCCTGTAGATGGTTCTACTTCATAGTGCTCAGACATCCCCATAATGCCGTCCAGTGATGAGGCTGTGTAGAAATGACCACAGGAGAGGAATACCAATGGATCTTCGTCGACATTGATGTCCTTGTATGGCTTGAGCTCTATAAGATCAACATTCTGCTCCAGAATATCTGGTCCGCCGCATATGCGACATAAGCGAGAGTCTGGACATCGTTCCCCACAGAGACCAGGGCATTGATGTCCACAACTTGTGAGTTTCTTCTTGCATCGCAAGTCGCAAGGGATGTTGCTACATGGGACAGCACATGGCATACCGCACTGTTTGCGGTGCTCACAGCCCCATCCGCATGTCTCTGCGCATGGAGGGCACGATTCGCTGCAAGTCTTTGCACAACGGCTGTGCCGACAGCGCACTTCGCATGTCAAATTACAAGGTGGACACAATGTACCCTGATGACATGCTTGGCCACAGCTGTGCGAGCAAGCTGAGAATCCCCGGCCGCATGGGCTTCGGCAATGGCCATGATCGATGTGGTAGGAATCGCCCTTTGTGTATCTACACTGCCAGCATAGCCGCCGACAGGTATGTCCGCAAGGCATTGGGCTATCACACGGATGAAAGCAATTCACTGCACCATCATTCTCAAAGCAGCGTATCTGGGCGCTGTGGCCGCAGCGATCCATGGTGCGGGAAACGCGCTTAGTGCACCGCACCTTTGCGAGATTGCCCATTTGCCTGCACTCCACGGCCTCCGTTATATGCCCACAGGGAAGAAGGACATTATGGACTACCTGCAAGCATTCCCCACATTGTTCATGGCATTTCTTTGGACATGCATGGCCGCAGCTTTTCATCCGAGTGCACAGCTCCATGCATTTGACCGCTTTGTGTTGTCTTTCCGAGTGACACTTCACAGGACAGGTATGCCCGCAGTCTAGCCTTAGTCCGCATTTCTCCGCACACCCGCCTTCAGGGGCGTGTATGGTGAAGTCATTTGGGCAATTAACGTAAAACCCGTTTGAGGGGTGACGATCGCAACGTAACTCAAGTTTCGGGCCAATATTGGCGCCTTTTTCCAGCAGGTGAATAACGGATGACCACATGGGTGCGGTTGATGCCGTACTTGCATCGCCAATTATATACATGCCATGTTTGGCGCGACTGGAAATACAGTCAGCATCATCCATCATCCATCGAGTACTACTAACAACTGCGTAATATTTACCTTAGAAGTACGTTGATCCTGTTCGGCATTTTCAGAAACCCACAATTTCTGGGTCTGTTGCTGCGAACGAGGGAGACAATAACGACACTGGCTTCTTCGCCCTGGTAGAGAGTGTATTAGAACTATTTTTATTGCTGATTCGGGGTATCTCCTACCTGGAAATTGTCGACCGTAGCCAATCGAATGGCATCTAGCAGGCTTCCCTTCTGTGGAGCCCTCTGTTTGCCGCACCATTTCCCATGCTCGTTCATACAGGGTCCACTGACTTGTAACCCCTCAGATTCGTCAAGCGCATCCGAGTCCGTTTCACTGATTATTATGGTCATTTCCTTTTCCAGGACATTCCTGAGCATCCTTAATTGTCCAACATATGGCGTCAATACAGCAATTTCGCCCGGCCCATACTTGCCTTGTTGACAGAGATGCCGCACCAATGCGGTTACCATCCCAATCTCCCACGTATTTGTCTTGCTTTGCATTGGCTCTGTAGGGTCAGTTGGATCTTCCACATTACAATGGTCGAGCCAAAATAACCTGCGAGCAATACCAGGTACAAGGGGATATGAGGTCATTGTAGGATGATCTTGGAGCTTTGGATATAAAGTCTCGCGTACCAGTTCGGAAATGGATGGGTGCATCCGCCGTTGGTGGCTCAACTGCATCACAGGGAAGCTATATTCCTGCTGATTCTGTCCACCCGTACCACTAGATGTTGATTCTCCGAAGCGGAAGTTCGCTAGTCGCTCAAATAGTGACTCATCGAGGTTGTACTTGGGGTTCTCCCGTTCATAGTCCATGGACAACCTAAGGTTAGAGATGCGTGGACGTAGCTGCAAGTGATCTCCTATCAGAATCGCATGCTGGATCGAGGGTATCAGTGCAGTGAGAACATGCGACTCCAGAACCTCTGCTGCCTCTTCACATATGAGCACCTTTGCATTAAGGTTTCGAAGTAACTCAGCATTGTTTGCTAGTTGGGTAGTGGTTACCCCTACAACCTGGCAGTTGTTCAGGCGTTGCACATCCGACAAGCTGAACGCTGAAGTATATCGCTCTTTTTCTGCTGAATGAGCTTCCAGAAGTGTCAATACCTGTTGACTGATCTCTGCGAGAGCTGCCTCCTGCCAGTAATTAAGGAGACGAGTCCGCTCAGAGGCCTTGAGCGTCCAGACGTCCTCCTGAAGTAGTCGGTCAATGGAGCGCTCAATATTGGCTTCGCTCCAGTCTCCAGGAGCGTCACCAGAGACCCACGCTTGCAATGCATTCGTGTCCGTTTCACCAGGAGACTCCGAAGATATGCGGCTGGCTTGGGCGGGGAACCTTTTCTTCAAAATCCCAAGAACAAGACTGTGACAACCACTCTGGGCCTGCTTCAGGAGCTCGTCAATCCTTGAACTTATGCTGAGTAACTTCACTCGTGATTCATCCTTTAGCCTAGGAAGGCCTTTGATTCGAGGCCCTGGCTCTTGCTTTCTCATGTCAAGTGAGAGCCTTTCAATGTGTGGAGAGGCACTACGAGGGCCAATCCTGATAATATTGGTAACACTCGATCTAAGAAGACCATCAAGAAATTGATCAAGTGCGTGGGCTGTGTAGCATCTGCGACATACAATCAATACTTGGTAGCGCCTGGGCTACAAGACGGGAGTTTTCACGTACACACATAGTATCGGGCCCAGGTCCAGCACATCCTTGTTGTGCAGCAAACATCGAGCTAGCTGTAGCCCTACGTATGATTTTCCAGTCCCCGGGGGGCCTTGAATCAATGCTATCTTTCGTCGTAGTGCCCAAATAAACGCATTTGCCTGGCCTTCGTCTAAATCAGTTGCCCTGGAGAGGTCTGCAGAGAGCATCCTAGGATCGTGGGAAAGAGACATAGACAGTATCTGACTTGCGTCCTCGATATCACCTTGACCTGGGAGGCAAGAAAGGTCGAGTAACAGGTCCTTGTGGAAGTATGCAGGGGGTTGTATACTGATACTGCCAGCGTCGGTGCTACTTCCCTTCAGTGCTTCACACAGTTCATGGTTATCAGTACTCGGGGCTAGCCATGCAGTAAAGGGCATGCGTGCTGGGTTCTGATGTAGCACCTGAAGGCACCTCAGAATACCCTCGAAGGAATTGTACGGAATGGCTGGAAATTCCACAAGTATGAGCGGTCGGGGAAAGGGCTTGCTTCTCGAGAACAAAACAAGCCTCTCCAAGTCTGGCGGATTGGGTGGTCCCACTAGCCCCAAAGTAACCATAGCTCTGTTGCCATCGCTAACTACGTCACTGACACGATCGCCCGTGACAGCGCCCTGTTTGTCTTTGTCGACATAGCTGGTCTCCCTCTTTGAGACAAGAAGGTAGATTGCAGATGTGTCATCCACATCTTCTGCGTCTAACAAGGCCAACAGGGTTGGACCCTTTTTCAAGGCCTTTGAGTCAAACCACCATTGTTTTCGTTTTGCCGGACTTACATTCTTCAGTCTAGGAAGCTGATCAAATTCCAAGTTTACTTCTATCCCTTTGAATTGCTCTGACTTTATTTGTCGGATTTCGACTCCTGAATAAACCCGGACCGGAGTTGGCATTTTGTCACGAAGAAACTTGCGCTTTAGCCGCCAGTCTGTTCCGTGGACAATTAGTTCCCATGCATGTATTATTAATCTTATGCCTTCGCGAAGCACACCAGAAGTGTCTTCTCGTAGAAGGCGGAATTGACTATCGAGAAGTCGACGGATGCCCCACTCGTGATGCATATTGGCGGAGCCGGTAGCGCATCGTGCGGGGAGGAATTCAGGTCGATCAGCATTCAGTATCTCTGATTTTGTAGGCAAGATCTGAATATCCGAGATTGCCGTTTTGTCATTATCATGGCGAGGGCCGTGGTCAGACAATTCGCCGGGTAGGTCAACTATATACCTCGTGCTGTCTTGCTGATTGGATTTGATTTTTTGCACTTGATCGGGCTTCTGTGACATAGGGATCGAGTCCCCCATAGAAAAGATTTCTTGAATCTTGAGTATATTCTCGTATGCCAGCTGCAGGTTGTCATCGCCAGCCCTAGCGTCGGCGTTGTCGGCATGACAGCAGTCGTAAAGCTTGTCGGCAATCTTCTTGAGGTCTACCTGTATTGCAGCCTCATGATTCAAAGTTAAAGTACCAAGAAGCACTCTCGAAACCAGAGACAACACCTCACTTGGCGTGGCGACATGTTTGACAACAGCTGGACTTCTGCCATCACTTTTGAACTGGGTGAGGTAGTCTGTCACTTTTGTGAAGAACCCAATTGCCCTTCGACCACCGGGGCCGTATATGACGTTGTAGATTGTCCCCACGGCCTTCTCAAGTATAAGTGAAGATAGCACCTCATTGTGAGAGACCAGTTGAAAGAACAATATACAGTGTGGATCAAACATAGGCTTCAAAACGCTATAGGATATTGCGAAGTCAGTCTCCACTATCTGTCGGACTTTGCGAAGACCAGACTCGGTAGCCAGGCTTTCGATGAATGTTCTTCTCGTGTCCGGTGACTCGTCGATCATAGCCAGGCCAGCTTCAAGAAATACTTGCATCTGGGCTGCTGACAGCTCATCGCTCGCTGGAGCTTCCGATGAGCTTACCCTGGAAGTACCAGGTAAAGGCCTATATCAAAATTATCAACGCTGGCCCCTCGCTAGCCATAGTGCGGAGACATACCTATAGCCACTCCGCGATGTCTTCCCGGCACGACTATCGCGGTCTGCAGGCTCTGGACGAACGATATTGTCACGTCCCCGTCCCCTGCTCTTGCCTTTCTGGGATCGTTTGCCAGTATTATTATGAGGCAAGGTATTCTCCTTTCCAGCAAGACCGTTATTGCCGCCGGCGGCAACAGGGCCTGTAGTACGACAACCTTTGGAGGCTCTTCTCCCTCGCTGAGGTGTATTAGAGGTTTCCTTCGCACCAGCCATTGTGTAGCCTTTCGAGAAAGAGTATTGTTGGATGGAAAGAGTCCAGCGAGGAGGTGGATGATGATGTATGGGGGAAGATGTCTGTGAGCGATACAAGGGAGCAGAAGTATGTAGTGGGGTCGATAGACAGCACAGACGGCGCTAAGCCTATCTGGTAAGTTGTTTCGTAGGGGAAGTGCCCGCTAATTATGGAGTGAAGCCGGTTCCATGCGGTTTAAAGGAAGTTCCCCAGCACCTTACTCCAGGTCTATTATGGTTTGTGAGACCTTTTTACCTCCATTGTGGATCTGAGGACTGTGTTTGTGTATAATGTCATTGTAAATCAGTTTAATTCAGTCACTACTCACTCGGGTGTTACTACTGTTTGTTTTCTTATTCAACTTGTAGTCAGAAGTCAAGTACACATTGACAAATATTTCATCTTTGCAGTACATACTAGTGCATGGCTTATATTTCAAACTCTTACTATTCAAAATCAACAATGGCTAGTAACAAAGCACAATTAGGCCATGGTTGGTGGCTTCACTGATACGAAGAGCGAAGTGATGCACAGGCAATAGATACTGAAGCCATAAATAAGTGAATCTTATTGCCTGATAGCGCAAAGGCTCACCAGTCCATTCACGAGGCGCCGTCTGCGAGCGTCGAGCATAGAGCCACTATAAGTGGTAACTGTGTAGTACCCGACTTTTTTAATGATTGTATTCAATTCCCAATATGCTTGCAGCTGGACTATAAATTATATACACAAATAACTGCAGCAATATTATCGTAAACACTAGCCTGCTGACTCACAACTTACTGTGGCTCTCTTGGTGAATCTCTAGCAGCCTTTGGCCATATAAAAATTGTACCGCATGTTAACACATTGTTGTAGCTTTTGTCGCCTGGGCTTCATTGAGCAATGACAATAGCAGTTGATATTCCAAAGTGCTAATTAACTTGTGTTAGCCATGCCCGCCACAAATAACTAATACTACTAAGTTCGGGCCGGAATCATGTTTTGCATAAGAAACTAAATTTCCCCCATTGGGCAGTTTGACTATGAATCATGTACTCATCAGTATAGTAACATGTATCCCATCCTTCGGACTAAGAAGGTAATGTCGGTGGAGATATTTCCACTTTCAACATTTGATAATACTTTGACAAATTCGCTTCGCGTTATCAATTATGCTAGGTAATGCTTTGTATACGCGCTCATTGCCATTCCGATGTTCCAGTGTCGTACATGTTGCAATCCGGAGAATCTGAACACCATTCGGACATTGAGACTCACAGTTCTAATAGGGAAACATTAACAGGTGATGAAAACTTCTATAGATGCCACACTGTGGAATTGGAAATGCGTCCTAAAGATCAAGTGATGCACAATGCATAATCTTCACGTCGCGCAAGCCACAGCCGAACGTATTCTAAACGCTGACGCCCGCACCCGCATTTTGATATCTTCCCCGTCCATACTACATACCAAGAATTGGAGAGCATTTTTGATGATATGCCTATCACTATTTTTTCTGTCTTTGGGCTAGGGAAAGGCTTGCACGCCTTATATAGGCGTCGTCTAGCCGAAGTCCATACCATGGCCTCTCATTGCTTATTTCGAATTTCATTGCAAAGAGTGATCTGACTAGGCCCAGGGTCTCGCAACCTTGGCGGTAGGACTCGCAGTATTGCACTCATGGAGAATAAGTCATCAAGCCCCTTCCACTTGTCTCCTTCCGACCATCTATTTCCCCCACCACTTGGAATGATGAGGGTGCTAAGTTATATTTCCGGCCGCAAAGTACGCAGGAGGCTATCGAAGATCTTTATCTCGGTCTGTCGCGGTTGATCAAGCTTGTCCCATTTATAAGTAGGCCAGTAGACCGACGTCATGATTCGGTTAACCCCGAATGCTATAGAGGTGCAGCTGGCCTCTGCGAACGAAGAGACTGCACGGCTTTTCGAGGTCCAGTACTACCCCCAATACGCCTCTTCGTCAGTGTAAACAACGATGATAACAAATGAAGATTATCGGCTCGGATAATAAAAGGATTAAGGGTAGAGCGGGAAAGCAAAGAAAACTCATAGAGATGAACAAGGCCTCTTTCTGATGTATTCCCTTTTAGGAGCTGGGCTTCCTCAAGCGTGCCCGGCTTGGGGGAGGAGGTGGGATAGTATGTAACCTGCTAGGAGCCAATTAGCACTAATAGATTTTAATATTGGGTAAAGGTGTAGTATCATCCGTCGTGATTGGAGAAATCAACGTCTGAAATTAGCTATATACAGTGTCGCTAAAATGACAATATGAAAAGTGGAATTAGGAAATGAGAACAAACAACTCTGAAGCGTGATGGAAACGCCATAGAAAGAAGACAAAAGCCGTTGAAGCGGTGCGATTGGTGGGAGACTCAGTTATGGTTTCCAAAAATGACGATCATCAGCTTCGAAATCAAGATTCTCTCAACCGCATACTGCGCCGACCAAAATAAGCAGGCAGGATCACTAGTGACGGGAAAATCTACCCAGAGGAGGCTCTGCCACCAGGAATAGAACACATCCTGATACTTGGATGAATGTAGCCTTTTCGCTTCTAACTTTCCGAACTAAGCGATCATTTTTAAAGTTTTTCATTCAACTAAAGTCAAACGTTAACTCAATCCTACTTTTGGTGCGGGAACCCACTTTTTGAGAACAATCTACCAACAAGTGGAAACTATTCTTTTGTGGGTATGATCATCTCTTATGAGACGCTGGATGCCACAACTAATATGAAAGAACCTTATGAGTAGAAGAGCCAAAAAAACTGCTGGGCGATGAGGGCTTTTGAGAGCCAATAGCAGATCATGGTACGACGGTGCTTTAATTGTCTCTTACCTTATACTATGACTACAGCCGTTAATGCAGTGTGATTATGCGAATCATGTAGCAATGACCAGCATTGCGTGACAGCCAGCACGTCTGATGAATCGCTCCCTTGCGGGAGATTGAATGCTGCTGTATCCTGCAATCGGGCCGTCTGGGGCCACTGTGCAGGGGCGCAGGCCTTTTTTCCCTGATGCTTGTCCACCACAAACGAATGTGTTGAGTAATAAACCTGTTCCAAGTAGACTGAAATATTGTTAATATACGTATTCAAAGATAAATTTAGTTAAGCTGACCGTAATCTAGACTTGGAATGCTACCTTGTGCAACCTTCAGCGATAGGAGCGCCGATCGTACCTGATATCAGCCATCCAAGTTGTCCAGGGTGAGACATTGCCATCATCATGAGGCAAACGCCTTACGCCGGACTGTCCCAGATCTCTCAACAGCACTTTTGAGAAACGAAATGCACCAAAACTACCGTGGCTATCTACTGGCGTCTCAGATCTCGTGCTACATACCAGTGAGCCGGAGCCTCGGACCCGGTTCTCTTCAGCTGGCGCGGGATAAAAGTGTTTGTCAACGAGGTTTGTCATAGGTCAATGCTAGGGTGGTAAACGAGATTTGAGGTAGCAGTAGCTAAGCCAAGTACTTTGCCACTCTGTTCCCGGAAGGGGGATCGGGCAGATGCGATGTCGTTTTATTGGACAGGGATGCCGCACAGGGATGGATGTGAGTCCAAGCTCTTCTTGTTCACATCTTGATTCCGAGGCTAGAAGATCAGATTCCATTTGGGACAGATTGAGCGAAAGGATAGGACAGATGAGCTTCCATTGTGCGGGCATATTCTCCGGCACAAATCCTATTATAGTTATGACAGCCATTGAGAGGCGCAATTCAAGAAATGGAATAGGACACTGTCTGTGGGAATTGACCCATCTATCAGCACGAACTGGGGAGCTCAGCACATGCCAGGCATTAGAGTCGACTAGCTAGCTCAGCTCATTAGAAAGTGCGCCACTAGTCTCGAGGCTTTTATGGTGTGTAACCAACAATGCGTCTGTAGTTGGCGAAGACTAGCTGCAGTCTACTCATAGTCTGCTACTTGAATTGCCACGGAGTTAGTGCCGAGCGTCAGAAGGGAGACAAGGGATATCACCACACGTCTTTAACTCCTGCCTGAAATTTGGCACTACTGGTGCAAGATGTCCGTGCAAATTTAGAAGCAGTCATTGATTTAAGAAAGTAATATCACGGCGTCGCATCAAATGGTCTAGATGAGCCATGGCCGATAGAATTGAGGCGTGGTGAATGCGGGCGTACTGGGGCATTGTGGTGAGGTGAAGAGGACTCGAAAATGAGACTAAGTGGTGCGGGGTAGAGGAGGGTGGGCCTCCGCTTAGCGTCCGGAGGGTAGCACTCGGTTGGCCGTTTAGTTAGTGACCTCTCCAACAGTTCATCTTCGCTCCCTTCCACTAGGCCTCCAATGTCTCACTTTCTCCCCGCGGACCCTGACCTTCCGATGCGCTACTCTGCTCTTCTCCCTGTGCAGTTGGCGACCTGCATTAGCTAACTTCCACACACGAACAAATGAGAATCCGGGGGCGGGCCGGGTGTAGAGCCCATCGTGGCGCCACCACGCTCTGGTCCTCCTACCAGCGAAGTCAAATTGATTGCTTCTCGCGATGATTACTTTGTTGCGCTGGTCAGGTGCTACCTACTACTACCTTCTCTCCGATTCTATCTAATACTATCGCTGTATTGCAACAGAGTGCCAGCAATGACAATATTCGGGTCAAGATGTGCCAGAAAACCAGGGACTAGGAACCCTCAAGGTTCCGGCCACGCTAAAAGGGGAAAATGAGCATCGGCCCTGCAATCAAACGCATTGGCCCAGAACAATCAATCCCGTGACGATCACCATAGCACTTTTCAGGAACGAGCCAATTCTTGTATCATGGACCAGGCTCGACGTCTCGGTTCGAGGACGCTAATTAGGTCGACCCCAGAATTGCAGGGAAACTTTCCCCTGGCCCACATTCTCGCCTCGGCCGTAGTTCCCTTCCATGTGAGCTGTAACCTGTCCATGGTGTATATAAAGACGCTCACCCACGGTCACTAAGTGTAGGAATACAGCAGAGTCAATCTCAGCCTCAAGCACTCGTTCAGTTCTCCAGCTTTGTTTTTAATAACATACCTACCACTCTTAATATCTATTCAACTACCGTCGTTATCACCGTCACGATGAAGTTCACCGCTGCCTTGTTCACTCTGTTGGCCACCAGTGTCATGGCCAACCCCACCAAGGTTGCTCGCGAGCCTACCCTCGTCGAGCGTGACGCTGCCTCCATCACGAGCGTCCTCTCCGACATTAACACCCAGGTGCAGGCTCTTGATTCGGCCATCAACTCTTACTCTGGAGGCGACCCCTCCAAGGTTGAGTCCGCCTCTTCCTCTTTGGTCTCGGAGATCAACTCTGGTGTCTCCACTGTCAACGGAGGCTCTGAGCTCAGCGCCACCGATGCTCTCACTATCACTGGCCCCGTTCAGGACCTCACCAAGGAGGTGCAGACCACCATTGATGATCTGATTTCGAAGAAATCCGACTTCGTGTCTGCCGGCGCCGGTGCCACTGTCTACTCCCAGCTGCAGAAGCAGTATACTGCTTCCAAGAACCTGGCCGATGCCATCACCTCCAAGGTCCCGTCCTCTCTGTCTAGCATCGCCAGCTCCTTGTCTTCCGGTATCACCGACGCCATTCAGAAGGGTGTCGATGCCTACAAGGACGTGGCTACCTCTTCCGCTAGCTCCTCCTCTGAGGCCTCCAGTGCTACCTCCGCTGCCTCTACTGCCGATGCCACTACCGATGCCACTACTGCTGCCACCACTGCTGCCTCCACCACTGAGAGCTCTGCTGCTTCCACCAGCTCCAGCCCCGTCATCCCCAGCTCTCCCAACAGCTCTGCTTCTGCTTCCGCCACTCCCAGCAGCTCTGCCTCCGCTTCTGCCTCTGCCTCTCCCTCCCTTTACACCGGTGCTGCCAACGTGGAGCGCTTCAGCTACACCCTGGGTGGTGCTGCTGTTGCTGCTGCCATTGCCATCGCTGTCTAAGTGGGAGACTTTTTGATGGACTGAGTGAGTCCTGCGACGAATGAATGAGGTGAACGGTTAAGGTCCACAACACTCCCTTTACTGCTTCAACAAGGCAATGGACTTGCCGAATGTATATCTTACTACTGCCTTTGAGGCTTAGAACCTGTACCAGATCTGAGGCCTGAATATTGTTGTTATTTTGTTTCTTGTCATTTGTTGCTATAGCTATAATACAGTGTATTCTGGCGACGCTTGTGTCTAAAAGCAGTAATATTAATCCAGAGTAGCATTCAGAATCCAGTCCATTCTCTACTACTTCCTGTGTAATGGCTCAATGAACATTAGTTTTCCTGTTCCCATAATACTGTCACAGCCCGAAGGATCGATGTTCGGGTTTGCAGGCATCCGAATCAGAAAGCCGGTCAACGCATCGCCCTTACAGGATCACATGTAACATCGTTGATCAGTCACCGTTGCTCCCTAACCGCGATCTAATGCAGGAGACCAGGAAAAGTCCCGCGAATGCAGCCTGTTCGCAACACATGCCCGTTTTGGGCATCGCGGTTAGTTATGCCTTCTGCATTGTAACAGTGCTCGGAAACTTAATTTCCGGGCTAGTAGCGAACCCTTAGTAGTCTTAACTAGCTGAAGACCTCCTGCATGCACATATTCTATTACGTTATGCTAAAGCCCAGTCCGTGCAACAAGGGTTGGGTTTGTGACTTGCGTATAGACGCATGGCAACTGTGATAAGAGTGAAAGGGTAAACCACCTCGGCATATTGATAAAGTGACTTTGATATGCAAATTGCTAGTTTCTGGTTTCGGAATGTGCTTTAAAAATGAATGTAGTCGATCGCATCCAAGCTGATGATCATTCATGTGCCATATTCGTTTGTAAGTTTTTAGTCCTAATGTAAATATATATTTTTTCTTTTTCGGCCCTTTAACTGTGATTAGTACTTAGTGAGTTACGATTCTGCCGTCTAAAATGTTTATGCTTCGCCTCTACAGTGTAGTACGTGTAGCTCAAAATTATCAGGGAGCTCGAAAGCAACATACATAGTACCTTTAAGGTACTCTAACACCACGCAGAAGCTTTGGCAAGGCGTTGCAGAGAGGTACTAGTATAGCTATGATGGGTCTCAGCTCGGCACGCCATAGCCATCATACCAAATTCAGTCTAGACGTTCCGCATTATCCGTCGTGTTTTCCACCAGACTTCTTTCGGTTAGCATGTCCGCTTGGATGCCCAGTTATCACCCACTCACATCGGCCTTTTGATGTCGGAGTCCGCACGGAGTGAGGGCACACCAACAGTACCTTTGGCCACTAAACAACCTAATGGAAGCGCTCTCCTTTTCCCCACTTCAGTTCATTCGATATCGGGACACATGTCCGCAGAAGCAAAAAGCGCCAGGATTTATCCACACTAGACATGCCCCGACCACCGACTGGCTAACCCGAAGGACGGCGCTTAGCAAAGCGTGACCATGCCTCGATAGAAGAAGGGCGCTTATCCTTAACACACGGCCCCGTGATAAGGCTAGCGGTTATATTAACCTGAGAACAACCTCGATTTCAGGCAGCAACATCACCCCACAGACTCTCCTCTTTTTATTTCGCGTTCTCCTTGATCCAACATCATGGCTCGAAAATTCCCCGTTGACTCTGCTGGCCCAGATATCGTCCGCGACTACATCATTCAAACCCTCATCAGAAAGCATGAAGCCACGCCAGAATACGCAGAGAAACTGGCTACTTGCTGGCAGTTAGGCCGGGTCCGGGAGCTCCGCTCCGCAACGCTGAAGCACCTGCAAGACGACTTTGGTAATGATGTTGGCTTGTGTATCTATCGCGCCATTCGGGAGGATATGCTTGAAGACTGGCAGGAAACGACAGCAGCAGCAGTCACTATTTGTTCGTTGCGCCTCGCTCATCCATAGCTGTGGTCATTGAAATTAACAGTTTCGTTCAGGGTCTGTGTCTACCGCGACGATGATTCATCTGGTGGTTGTTGGGTTGTTCATCCTACCTGAATTGGGACTCATGCAACCTTGTGGTATGTTATCTTTCTGATCAAAAATATTCAGATGGCCCACAGAGCTGACTGTCATTCCTGCTCGTAGAACGTATCCGCGTGGCAAAGTCGCCTGCGTCGTGGCTGCTGTTCGGCTTCGCCTACCTCAACTATCACTATCAGAGACAGGATATTGAAGAGCCGGGCCATATATCACTCGCAGGTCCTATAGGGCTTTTGAGTATAAGCGTGGGCCTGTATCTGTTTTCCGTGTAGAGTATATGCCTTGCAGTTATTTAGTTTATGGTGACCGCTTCAAGGATGTTGAGGAGACCAATGGGGATCCTAGGTGACAATATGCGGTGGCGCGCAATGCATTTTCGAAGAGCAATGTTTAGCATCACCGTCTCTAACATACCCACCCACCAGCATTTAATATAGTGCATTCGAGATACCACAGCCGGAATGATACTGCATACCTTGACATGGTGCCTTGATATGAAGAATTGTTTGTGGATTTCGGTCCTGTCACTTCAAGGCAAATATACTACGGAAAGGAGAATGACCTACCGTGCCATTCTGAGCTCTCAGTTATCTCTGGCTTTGGCCCCCAAGCACCTCACTCCGGATTGTCACGCCGCTTAATGAAGAAGCAGGTCTTGTTCTGCCGCTCATACGTCTCACCCCAAATATATGAGTCTCTCGCCTGGCTTTGACTTACGAAGCCTTGTCAGCAACATTGTCAATCTACAGTTCACAATCCATTAGCATGACTTGCTGTAATTGTCATGTAGGTATTCAATTTCTTCTGGGCGTTAAAGTGAAAGTGCCGTCAGGGTGGATGACGACCTCATAAACCCCAGGTATATTGCTCCTTATTGGCTGGTAAGTTTGTACTCCAGAGTCTGAAAACGGGAAATAGCCATTACATCACATTTCGAACTACAGAAAAGGATTACGTGCATCTTCTCCCCACGGACCAATACCTGGACCTTTGAACAGTTTCCCTCCCTTCCAGACGTGGGTAACTGCCTTCGGCTCCTGAAAGACTTTGATGTCCTCCAATGGATTCTCCTCCAACGCAATCACATCTGCCTCATACCCCTCGCGAAGCTGACCCGTCAACGGTGCTTGTGGACCAACTGACAGGGGAGCGTTCGCAGTTGCGGCTTTGATGGCCTCCAACGGCGTCATACCTCCTCTCTCGACGGCAAACTGCAACTCAAGTGCGGTAGGACCACCGGGGGCGGTATCCGTTCCCAACGCAATGGTAACACCCGCCTTAATAGCTCCCTGATAAGCTTTCAAATGCGAATCGGCAAGGGCCTGCAACTTGGCCCACGACTCTTTCACCAACCCCTCTCCATTACTAGCCAGAAAGATTTCAATAACCGAGCGTGTGGCCACATACAAAATTCCCTTCTCTTTCATGAGCTCCCAGACCTCCTCGTCAGCATAAGACACATGCTCCAGACTCTTGCAGCCTGCTTTGATAGCAGCCATAATCCCCGCCTTGCCATGCACATGTGCAGAAACGATCCGGTTCTGTCGAGCCGCCTCTTCCACTATCACCTTCAGTTCTTCTGGAGAGAACTGTGCAAAGTTGGGATTATCGTCTCGCGACATGACACCCCCAGAGGCCATCACTTTGATAACCTTTGCACCGCGACGGATCTGCAACCTCACTGCTCGTCGGACCTCCTCTACGCCATCGGCGATACATAGCGGCCCTGCCCCCCAGTACCCAGGGCGTGGGTTCATTACTCCATAACTCCCCAGTACTTCGCCTGCTGGAAGAGCGAAGATATCGCCGTGTCCAGCTGTCTGACTGAGTGCAGCGCCAGACGAGTACACGTTTGGACCAACGATAGTGCCATCATTGATCGCCTTTGCGACCTCGCACCCGTATCCGGCTAGGTCGCGGTAGGATGTATACCCATTCTGCAATGCTTCCCAGCAACCACGGGCTAGTCGAGCACCTGATGATGCTGGATGAGTGGCCAGACCAGATGTATAATCGTTGTAATAATCGTCATCCCCGCCAAAATGCATGTGGCAATCCCACAAACCAGGCATGAGCACGGGGACACGATGAGTAGACTGCGTGGACCGGAGGTATTTCTTAGGGATGTCGGCTTCGGATCCAACGAACGCGATGATCTTATCGCTGATGACTAGGGCAGCATTGCGCAGAGGTTCTCCGTCGCCAGGGATTAATAGTCCGGCATATATTATAGTGACCTTGGCCTCGTCTGTTGATGCGATCACGAGAGGTCTTCTTTGAAGATTCAGTGAAACAGGATTAGGACGGACGCAGTATGTTGTGCCCAATGGCGACATGGGCGATTGCACCATAGGTGTAGCTGAAGCAATTCGGCGGACCATGATGATGAATGTAACAAGGGCCTTCGTCAATAGGAGCAGAAAAACTGGGGAAGCTGCCAAATATCAACCCCAGAGGGGTTGGGACAAATGGCTGTCAGCAGGTGTTTGTCATATCCCGGAGTCCGTCGGGGCCATCACAATCCTGCCTTTGCTATCGTTATCAGTTGATAGTATGTGAGATTTTAGCCGGTAAGCTAGACCAACTCGGGTGTCGAGGCCTAAGCCACATTATCCCGCCTGAGACGGCGTAAGGTTTAATCCCTATTCTCTCCCCTATGCAGAGCTGAGTGTGATTAGCGCTCAGTTGCCATTAAGCGCTTATGGTGCTGAGTAGCTGACTCATGATTCTCCCTACGTGGTGACGAGTCGAATCGGCTGATGAGGCTTGCAATGGCCTGAAAACAGTCGTGAACAAGCAGGCGATCGATCTGCTCAACTGCTAGGCCTTTCTACCGCGTGCTTCATTGCGGTTCTCTTCTGTAACAAGCTACCTTGCTTGGGTAATATCCTGTCTGTCGGAGCTAAATGTATCGGATGCTCTGACGCCCACCAACCATCTCGGCATTTCAAGCCATCGCATGTCTGCGCATGATGAAGCGGTGTACGTCACGTAAGCCAACACACATACAGAATCATTATAACAAACACTGACCATGGTACTAGTAGGATCGGTGTCGCTTGTGATGCGGCTATACATACCAATTGTATACAATAGGAATGTCCTTCCTCAATAGTGGAAATAGCTGTTACCGCTCAATTGTTCTCGAGCATCGATGCTGCATCGAACTGTGACAGTGAGCTTTCTTCCAGAGAAGCTAGAAAGGTCACTGAATGTGCCTGACCTTCCAGGAATGGCAGGTCTCGGAATGAGATTGAGCTTTTCCTCGCAAAAACATCGAGTAAAATTCTCGAACGTTTACCTTCTGACAATTCTCTCCTATGGCTCACTTGAACAGTGGCGAGGGACTGTCGTCGCTTAGTATGCTATTGAGGTGCATTTTCAGTGATATTACCCACAATTCCGTCGGGTCGGACATCACAAGAAAAATGAAAAGATCATCCGCTGTTTGTTTGGCCCCTGGAAATGATTCCCGCCGTTCCATTGTTTTGGGGGAGTGTCTCTTCAGCCTGCCTTCCGCCTTCGGCCTCCAACTTTATTTGTCTCAGCCATCATGCGAACCACGCGGATGGGAATGCGCTCATGGAGTCTTAAACGTGTTCACAGCTTTCAGCTACCAGGTCAACCTGCATAAAACCTTATAATTTAACTCACAGAATCATCCAAGCTAACTAGCATTGCACGAACAAATCTGTGGCAAGCTTTTGGCACCACGAACGGATCGATCGATCTCACTCTCCTGATCGACGAGGAACGGTGGATCCGAAGCCGATCATTGCTCTCCTCGTAAGTTTATTGTCCTGAGGGAGCGCACTATGCTAAATAGCAGAAGCAAATCCCACGCAAGGAAATTGTCATTTCCCACCGCGTACTTAAGACGGAGCAGGCCCCTCTTCCCGACAGACTCGCGTGTCACACAACCTGAACGGTCCAATCGAAAGATGCGGCTCTCTCCAATCTACGCGCTATCATGGGCTCTTCAGGCCTCAGCTACCATTCTGCAGAATGGTCAGGTCCGAGAAGATCCATACCCTGGCCAGGCTAAGGCTATTTCGTTGGATGATGGCTCTTGGCGAACATATCAGCCGGATGCGTCGGAGATCGCGTACAAGGGAAGATGGGATAGTAAATATGTTTCTTGTGAGCCATCCCGTGCTGATTACATCATTTGGGTCTTGTGTGTGGTGCTAACTGTCTGATTCTCAAGGGTGGTCGTATGTCTCAATCGGTTTCCTCTGGATGTGATGACGTCGCACTAACAGGTACAGACTTCCGGGTATCAAACTTGGGTTTACGGGCGAGCAGGTATGATAGCGTTGGTCATATGAGATACTGGGACGCCGTCAACTGACATGACATAGCTTGCTGTAAGCTTCGGCCCACAGACGAGTGAAGGCGTCCTTTTGGCTTATCGGTAAGGCATTCAAGCAGGTATACCAGCTCCCCTTTCTGACTTTTTAGAATCGATGGTCTGGACTGGCAATTTTCCAATGTGACTGCGAACTCAACATATCAATTTGCTGGGTCGTGGACCCCGGGGTTGGATTTGTCCAAGAACAACACATTTGAAATGAGAGGCAAGTGCAGTTCTCCATCAATTGAAACTCATACTGACAGTTATCTAGTCACAAACTGGGGCTATGGATAAGTTCATCGATCCATCATCGAGGTGTCTACTGACCTTTCGCACAGTTCAATTGGCTGGTGTCTCGGTCGCTTCGGATTCGCAGCTTGTCACGGTCCCTCAATACAACAAGACTGTGGAAATCATCGGTGATTCGTACGTTCCTTTCTCTCCTCACCAGTCCCACAACTAACAACTTTAGCTTCGCATCGGGACAATATGGTACTTACGAAGGACTTTCCTCATGGGCATACAACTACGCCGCTGGGTTAGGCGACGTCGAATACTCGATCACCGTATGTTTCTGTTGTACTTTGCATTCGCCATCTAACCATGACAGGCATACCCCGGTATCTGCTTGACGGATGAACAATGCTACGCGGACAAGGCGCGCGGGATGGTCAGTTTTCCCTAGATCGCGCAGACGCAAGCATCTAACCTGCTCAGACACACCAATGGTTCTACGCCTCCGATGCAGGTGTGCGTGCGAATGCCACCTACGGAAACCAACCCGAGAAGTGGGATTTCAGTGCCCATCGAGCGGCAGATCTCGTCATCATTGACCTGGGTACCAACGACCACCGAGCCGTAAATGACATTCCCGGCTCGACCTTCTATGACAGCTACGTCGAGCTCGTGACCAGCGTGCATGAAACATGGCCAGACGCGCAGATAGTTATCATGGTATGTACCCCCTTCCCCGCCCCCCAAGCCGAGCGAGAGACAATCGCTGAGACCATATCCAGTCCCTTTGGGGCAACTTCACCCGGTCAGGCGACACCTACGTCCAATCCCCCTTCTACGTCTCTGAGATCCAGCGCGTGGCCGAGCATTTCCAGGACGACGGATTCGTGTATTACTTCGACACCAAGGGCGTCCTCCAGCACAACGACATCGACCCTCAAGAGCACCCGACCGACGTCGGCCACATCAAAGTCGCCAGCCACTTGATGCAATGGACCAAGCTCAAACTCGGATGGGAATTTGGAGCCACAGGACCCGAAGTCCAGCACGACACGCTGTACTGGAACAACGAGGATAGTTATCGGCGATCCTTCACCGGCAGCTACTGAACTACGCGTCTGCATCCATCATATACATAATGATATACAATAGACAGATCAATATTACTAGAATGTGGGATAGCGACTACATGCTGAGACACAGCAAGAAGAATCCTCCTCGCTCTAGGTTTGCAACAACATGAGTGAATCGCATGTCCGCTTGTTATCGGTATTAAGAGGCATACAGCAGACGACACTCGCTCAAGGATGATTAGGGCCTCAGAGGGACTTGTCGTGGCTGGGGTTTAATACCACTTTTTGCTTGCATGGAGAAATCACTTCGTGCATACATTAAGCAAGAAGATGATAACCCAGGAATTCGGTAATTGTTAATGTTGTCGTAAATATGAGGTTGTCGAGAGTCGCGTCCTGTCGCGCCTGCATACATTATAGCAGACGCCGAACGGTGCGACAAGCAGCGACGATACATCAAAGGGAAGAAAGGAAGGGAGGGGGGGTAAGAGTTTATATCTAACCGCTTGTGGGCAGACTAAACCGCTTTCAGTTAGTGTAGGTTACAACCGAAGAATGGGCTTGGCGGGAGGCTGGGGGGTGTGATTGGTTGGTTGGTTGAGGTTGCCGGTGGGAGAGATGCTACATGCACTACGGAGTCGTACCTGTATGAGATGGAATCGTCATTGATAGTTGTAAAGTATATTGCCTATTTACATTTTAATATCATGGTAGGTAGAAATATATATACATATATATGATTATAGTAGTCTCGACCCCTCCACGGCCCTCGCATACCGATCACATGTCGCCGAGAAAAACATGTTTCCTGCTACAGCGATGATCATTGCTCGCGCGTGTTTCAGTTGCACCTCGTTCACATTCATACTGCTACTCGTGAGCAGTCGAGTATACTCCTCATCCATCTGTCTCTCTAAATCCCGCAGCATAAATCGGATCATCATTTTCGCCGAGGAGTCAGAAACGCCCATGAGATCCTGCACGACTCGGACTGCATTGAGACCTGCATCTCCGCTGGCTACTTCCTTGGCATAGGAGTACAGATCGTTTGTAAGGAGCAAATGCTTCGCGCAGAGGGACTTCAAGTAGCTGACGCTTTGAAGATCTGTCGGCGAGGAAGATGAACAAGGAGTAGTGATAGAAAACTCCACGCAACGGAGAATAAGCGTCGCTCCGAAATCCTCTAATCCGTAGGCGATATACTCATCCAGCGAATTGAAATGTGTTGGACCCTGCTGGTGATTCCGGGACGTAGAGCCCCATGATAGAATGTCTTCGACCAGAATAGCCCCGTTGATGGGGTCTGCAGCGAGGATCTCCTCTGAGAGGATGTCGAATGCTTTGTGAGGTGTTGGGCTATTCCTTTCGATAGGGATCAAGACATTGTTGTCGCTGACATTCCCCGCATCCACTGCATCGTCGTGCAAAAAGGCTAGAACGAAGGTTCTGGACAGAAGTTTGATTCTGGCTAGACCGCAGAGTGGGATGAGGTTGATTGCATAGGATACCACTGCGTCTGTCACGGCGGTGAGGTATTTATCTCCCTTCGGGTTGTTATTGGATGCAAAGAGGGTCTGTAAGAAATCGCTTGCCGCGTCTTCTGCTTCGCGCCAGTATTGGGATTGGAGAGCGCATGGGAGTGAGGTTGGCCAAGGGACTTTTAGATCTTGTGGGTTTAGGCGTATAGAATGTTGGTACTCTGAAGTTTGCGTAAGGTTTGGCGAGTGTAGAAATGAGAATGTTTGGGGTATTGGATCAGACTGGTTTGCTGGTGTGGCTGGGTCAAATGCGTAAGAGATGGGACGCGGATAGTAAATTGGGTTGGAGTCGCCCAGTTGGAGTGTTTGGGTGAGTCTGCGACATTGGGGTGTATTCGATGAGAGTATCCGTAGGAGGGAGACTGGTCTCAATAGCCGAGGATGGCAGAGGAATGCCCGACTCGTGGACAATATGGACATGATTGATGCCTGTTGGTGTTCAGAGACGTTGCAAGGGGGATCGGCGGGGGCACGCGTTGAGGCGTGAAACCGCGGGGCGCTCGCTATTCCTCACAACCCGGCAATGAACGGCACGTATCCGTATACATTAGAAAAGACTGCTTCGATTCATTTCAGGATTCTATTCCTGAAGAGGGTCGACCCGACGTAAGAGTTGATGTGCGCCCGTTCAGATTTTTCCATTTATCAAAGTTTTCACATCGCCACTTACTCGGCGAAAAGAGGCTTTGGATGGGAACTGGAGAGAGAACCAGAGTACGAGATTTTACTATATCTTAACTTATATCATGGACAGTACAGTGATGGGTTAGAAATCGTTTAAAAATTAAAATAGCAAAAGTTGTGGAGTTCAATGGAGTGTCCCTGGATGTGCCGGGGATTGTCTCCACCAACTGCAGATCGCAGCGTATTCGTTTTCAATTTCCCATAAAGGATATCCATGACCAAGGTACCGTCGGCAAGCATCACAACTGCCTGGAAATTCATTCGTCATTGCGTTCTATCAAATAATATTTAAGATCCTGCATTCGTCCGGATAATCCAGAATGAATCAACAAAGCCCTTACCATCGTGACAATGATGCTCCCAAAGCTCGCGTCACTCATCGCCCTCCCAGCATTGGCTGCGGCCAACTGCAAAACCGCCCCTGGTGATGCAGCTTGGCCTTCAATCGAGGAGTGGTCGGCTCTGAACCAGTCCATTGGCGGGTCTCTCATTCGAACTTCTCCTGCTGCCTCTTCCTGTTATGCAGGAAATCCACTAAGTTCGCCGTACAACTGCTCCTCGGTGAAGGATCACTGGTCCTACGCAGCCTACCATGCCGCATGGCCTGAAAGCAACGACTACTCCATCTACAACAACAATTCCTGCGTACCCCCAGGTGTCTCTGGGTACACCAAAGACAAGGGATGCAGTATAGGCGGAATGCCCCAATACATCGTCAATGCCACTAC